TTGGGCTTCTCATGAACCCCATTCCTGGGTCACTGGCTACAGCTCATTCACCCTTCGCCTTACCAAACAATACCCCCGCCGCACTTCTAGTGACCCCTACTCCCCAACCTATCACCCCCCCCCCCCACACACACACACACAGGCCCTGATCTGGCATAGAAATGGAAAGCTTAATTTTTAAAATTGTTTTGTACATTTTCGTGGCTATGGTGGAAATTGGAGTTGACCTGTAATCTTAACTCACATTTCTAAAGCTCTTCACCATTTACGAAGCACTTGTAGCTCAGTTGGTAAAGAATCTACCTACAGTGCAGGAGACCTGCATTCGATTCCTGGGTTGGGAAGATCCCCTGGAGAAGGAAATGGCAACCCACTCCAGTATTCTTGCCTGGAGAATCCCATGGACTGTAGCCTGCCAGGCTCCTCTGTCCATGGGGTCGCAAGAGTCCTACACGACTTAAGGACTAAACTACCAGAGTAAGGAGATATTGTTATTCCTGGTTTACAGTTGAGAATTCTGTGCTTGAGGACATTTAATAGACCTGCTTTAAGCCCTACAGCTAATAAGTGAAAAGCAAAATCTAGAGTTCCCTGGTGGTCTAGTGGTTTGGATTCCTTTCTTTCACTGTCAAGGGCTCAGGTTAGTTACCTGGTTAGGGAACTAGGATCCCACAAGCCATGTGGGGTGGCCAAAAAACAATTGTATTAAAAAATATTGAAAGAAAAAAAAAATCAAAATCTAAAGGTTCGTTTTCTGGTTGTGAAGCTACCACCTTTTTACAGGGTGTTGCATGTGTATGGAGCACCTGTTTACCTCCTTTGAAGAAAAATAGTATGTAAAATCACAACCAGAGGAGGTCTACCAAGTAGCTAGTGACATTCAAATTTAGGGAGCCCTCACTTGCATGTAGGGGTTCCAGGGCAATGTGGTCATAAAATTGCAAAAGTAAAATGCTTTTATACTTTTTTTTTTAAGGTTGTCTTCTTGCTCCACACAACTTGGATGCACCTGTGATTATAGGCACCTCTGTTTTCAATAGAGATGGATTTGATCATCTTTTTAACATAGTAATTGCCTGTGATTGGTGTAAAATTTAGACCACTGGAAGAGTTTTGTGTTACCATTGAGACACACCACCTGCAGTTGTGTCTAAACTTCACTTGCCTAGATACAGGCATCATTGTTTAATTTTTAATTTAACCTAATGTTAAAATGTAAATTTATTCATTCAAACTCTTATGGTCCTAGATATTTTGTATCAACAGTGTTTAATATAAATATAATATGAACCAATGTACTTAAAAAAATTTAGTAGCCACATTAAAATGTTTTTAAAGAAACAGGTAAGGTTACCTTTCATAATATATTTTGTTTTACCCAGTATACCCAAAATATTTTCATTTCAACATGTAATCAGTATGAAAAATTATCAGTAAAGGTAGTTTGCCTTCTTTCCTGTATTGTCTTTGAAATCATATAGTCATGTGTGGTTTATAGCACATCTAAATTTGGACTACCCGTATTTCAAGTCCTCAATAAAATTCCAAGTACACATGTGGTTTGTGGCTTCTGTATCAGATGTGCTCAGTGGTATTTGACCCTTTGGAACTTCAAGGACTGTAGCCCTCTCCAGGCTCCTCTGTCCATGGGTTTCTCGGGCAAGAAGACCTGAGAGGGCTGCCATTTCCTCCAGGGAATCTTCCTGACCCAGGGATCGAACCTGGGTCTCCTGCATTTCAGGCAGATTCTTTACCACTGAGCCACCTGGGAAGCCCTCCATATTGTGTACACAGTTCTTTTTGTCTAAGTGAAAAGAATGATTTTTCAATTGAAAAAGTATCCACCCAATAGCCAAATTAAACACTTAATATCTAATGGAGAAAGGAGAAAAAATAATTTTGAAGGAGGTATAGATATTTTGTATTTCTGTCATGGTTAAGGTTTTTTAATAGAAACTTTATTAAATTTAATCTCCCCAAATCCATGCTATTAATAATTAGCTAAATTCCCTGATAGCTCAGTTGGTAAAGATTCCACCTGCAATGCGGGAGATCTGGGTTCGATCCCTGGGTGGGGAAGATCCGCTGGAGAAGGGATAGGCTACCCACTCCAGTATTCTGGCCTGGAGAATCCCCATGGACTGTAGTCCGTGGAGTTGCAAAGAGTCGGACACAACTGAGTGACTCTCACAAATTCGAGTTTAAATTTTTAAAGTTTTTAATATTTATAAAACACTAAATCATAAATTTTTATAAAATTAACATTTAGAAACATTCAAAAGCAAAAAAGTTTTATAGTAAATGCTCCTGTGTATGTTGAGGTCTGTACTTGACCAGCCAGATTATGGTTATTTGGTTGGCTGATTGGTTAATTGGTCATTTTATTTGTTACATTGTTGACTTCTTTTGGGTAAGCTCTAGCATAAGCCTTCACCATCCTGAATCCTACTGTGTTCGTTATTATGTTTTGACATTTTTTCTGACCAACTGTTCAATTGTATGTTTTAAAATATAAAAATTGTGTTGTGCTTTTTTAGCGTGTTTTCTCACTACTAGAAAAGAGTTGGCTTGGCACACCAATACAGTTTGCCTGGCAGAAAACGGCGGGAAACTATCTTGCGGTAACAGGGTAAGATAACAGTGATGGTTAGTAAATCACCCTGACCCCACATGGTTGTATGCCCACCACACCACGCCATCTGTGCAGTAGAAATTCTCGAATGATGGTTGCATGGCGAGAAAAGTAATATATTGATTTCCATTAATATCACAATTCATAGAACCTTTTCCCTAGTGATAACTTTTTACGCACAGATTATGAAACTATCATGAGAAAATATAGAAATCACTTGAATGTATAAGAAAACTCTTTAGATACATAAGAAGTAAATTTTAAATCCTGTCTTTTTGTTCTAATTGCTTTTAGAGCTGATCATATTGTGAAAATCTTTGATCGCCATGGTCAAAAAAGAAGTGAAATCAACTTATCTGGGTAAGTGCAGAGGTAGATCAAAAATTTTTTCAAACTTTGTGGCCTGAAAGATAAAAAAGCACTGTCTTAAAACTTACAATCAGGTAGAATTTTGTAACTTATGTCTAACCTGTATCTCTTCTTTTGCTTTCTCCATTTGCAAAGAGATTTAGTTTTGTATACCATAAGCAGTTAATGAAATAGGTATATAGCATATGAATTAAGAGTTTAATACATTCATTGACATATAAGCTTTAAGGCAGAATTGTAAATGAGTCTACGTTAAAGAATTCTTATTTAATTATAAACAAGCCTTAGTGTATATATTTGCAGATAAGCCCTTATTGATGTAGTATTTCCTCTCTAATATAAATTGGAAAATAGTTACTTTCCACACTTTTTTTAAGGAAGTCGTTCTAGATTACAGTAAGCATAACATAAGCATTTTTAATAATTCAGTGTGATCATTCCCTGTATTAGTTATTTTACCCATAGTCTTAGTGGTTATTACGATGTTTGCATAAGATCTAAGTGGTCTTAAGCTGCCAGGTTTTTAAAATTCACATCAGCCTTCTGTAGTTTATCAGCCACCATCTTTGCAAATTAAGTGGCTCTACTCTCAAACCCACCTAATGCCACCATTTTAGCATTTCCTATTGCTCTCTTAATTGTTGCTTCTGGTTTCTATATTCTGGGGAACAGACAGCAAGCTAGTTATAATTATGTTTAAAATAAAGTGAAAAGGCACTTAGTAAAAAACTTCTTTGAGTAAGTTGTATGAACTTTATTGCATAATCTCTGCAACATTGCTTTTGGTTATGCTATGTCCTTATTTTTTTGCTTCTGAGTTCTTTTGCTGTATTCAACATAGGTGAATTAGACTGACAAAAGATCACCAGATAAACAAAATGCTATTATATGTTGTCTTTAATGATTTTATTAAGAATTTGAAAGCCTCCCTCTTCCATACCTCTCAAAATCTGTGGAAATACTATAGAAAATTAAGATCCCAAAACATATTTAACAGTTTGAAGAATAAAATAACTGAAGTGATTCCCAGATGTCTGAAATGGAAAGCTGAGTGTTGCTTCAAGGGCCCTCAAAGTCTGGGGTCTGAGCTGGAACTGGTGTAATAATAATAGGAATAAAGTGCACAATAAATGTAATGCACTGGAATCGTCCAGAATCCATCTCCCCAGCCCCGGGTCCGTGGAAAAATTGTCTTCCACAAAAGGCCAAAAAGGTTGGGGACCACTAGGCTGGTGCCCAAAAACAGTCTCCAAATGAAAAACAGAATCAGAGAAGGAAGAAAAGGTTAATCTCCAGGGAAGTTCTTAAATTATAATAAACATTTGGAGTAATTTTAAACAGTAAGAAACATATTAAATAGAGCAATTCCTATTTATAACTTTTGTTACCTTAAATCACTCTTCTTATTCTATTCAATATTAAGACATGAAATGAAAATAACTTTTCTTACTATGTATTTCAGAATTCAGTCTATCTTACTGTTTGCAATCCTACATCTAGCCAGCCTTGCTCTGTTTAATACACAGCTTGTATAGATATTTGAGTTCTTATCAGTACCTTCTTTTTCCCTCTGTGCATCTGAAACAACCTTTCAAAAGTTGATCACACAAATTTCCTCTTGATTCCAGACGTGGTTTCTTTCTAGAGTTGCAAGATGAGTATTTTACCAAAGAGCTCAGCTCTTTACAGGTGTTGAGAAAATCTGCTAACCTATTAGATATAACTGTATTTAATATAGTATGTGAAAATGATATTTAAAATAGAATTCAAAATGTTTCCATCCCCTCAACAACAAAATTGGTGTTAGTGTTATCCAGGCAGTGAATGTGGAGTTCTGTTTCTTACTTTAGAAAGTTTATGATTTTAAAAATAGATTGAATGGACTTGCTATAGACAAAAATCACAAATAGTTGAGTGTTTAAATGTCTTTCCCCTACTTAAAAAAAAAAATGTATAGTGATTGTTTTGTCCTCTTTTTAAAAAAAGTAACTGTGTTGCTATGGACTGGGACAAGGATGGAGATATTCTAGCAGTGATTGCTGAGAAGTCCAGTTGCATTTATCTGTGGGATGCCAACACGAACAAAACCAGTCAGTTAGACAGTGGCTTGAGGTAAGGATTACTTTTTTTATGTTTTAAATCTTCACTTAGAAATACTATTTGCGGCTTTGATGCTAAAAAGATCTTACTACATTCATTGTAAATATGCCCTGATGAGTTATTTTCTTATAAAAGGGGAAAATTCATTTCTTTTTAAATTGTTATATATAATCTTATTAGTTTTGTCCAATTAATTAGAATACAGTTATTCTAAAGTATAAAGAGCTTCCTAAAAAGTTCCTTTCAGTGGAATAGACTAAAAAGTCCAAAGAAGAGAGAAAACATTTATGGGAAAATCTGGAACTAGTATGACTGCAGGCATAACTGGATCTAGGGGTTGTGATGATGCAGTCTAGACATCTCACAGCTCTTTCTTTCTCTGTACTGACTTCTTCTAAGTCAGACTCTCTCTCTTTTTTAATTCTGTTGAAGTATAGTTGATTTATAATGTGTTAATTTCTGCTATGCAGCAAAGTGATTCAGTTATGCATATATGTACTTTCTTTTTCTTATTCCTTTTCATTGTGGTTTATCACAGGATATTGAATATTGTTCCCTGTGCTATACAATAGGTCCATGTCGTTTATCCATCCTATATATATTTAGACTCTTTTAATGGCTACTGGCAGGTATCAGCTTCTACCATTCTTCACAGCAAGTTATGCCAGAGAAAAGAGCATGCCACTATTACATCACCAGTATCGTCTCAGTTCTTCAAAAGGTCTCTGAATAGGGTAGGCAGGGCCATGGGGTTGATAATCCTACCCATAAAGATTGGGGTGAGGGTGGGGCATTTCACAAGTGGAAGAAATCCCGGGCAGACAGAATAAATTACAGATCTCTGCTAAAATAGAAACTTTTTGCCATATGGAAAAGAAAAACTTGTCAGTATTTACTACTGAAACTCCAATTTTGACCTTGAACAAGTTGCTTAACCTCTGCTTAAGCCTCAGTTTCTTCGTATATGTACAATGAGTCTAGTAATAATACCTGCCTCATAGCATCATGTGGCCTATAAGTGCAAGAAGAGATCACACATCTACCGTAAGATTAGACTTTGCTTTTCCAACTTACTTATCAAGGAATAACAGCAGGTCAAAACATCCCCCTCGTGCAGGTTCCCTTGACCCTCCGAAGTGACGCACAAGAAATGCATCCACAGGCAATAGTGTCTGACCAGCATCAAGTCTTACTAGATCTGAGAACCTTCACTTCTTGATCTGTCCTTGTACACGTCCGTACCTCACTTTTCAGAAGGATTTGATACACACTGCTTCCATTCAAGAAAGTGAAGGTGTTAATCGCTCAGTTGTGTCCAACTCTTTGTGACCTCGTGGGCTGTAGCCCGTCAGGCTCCTCTGTCCATGCAGGTCTCCAGGCAAGGATGCTGGAGTGGGTTGCCATTCCCTCCTCCAGGGGATCTTTCCAACCCAGGGATCAAACCTGGGTCTCCCACATTGTAGGTGGGTTCTTTTCCAGCTGAGCCACCAAGGAAACCCAAACGTCCTTCTGAGATACCCTTAATAGTGACAGAGCTGGAAAATCTATATCCTTTTTCAAATCATGAATTCCCAATAATTTTTTCAGTTTACTGTATCACATTTTTAGACTTTTTAAAAGCTTAAGATGTTATCCATTAAGATTTTGCCACAATTAGAGTTACAACAATCATTAGTAGACAGATTAATAACTGTTATCATTAGTCATCTCCTGAAATTTGAGATTCCATCATGACTGAATTGAAGCCTTTTATTCATTATACATTTGTATTTTAGGTTTCACTGACTTACCATCATTTTGGAGTGTCTCAAAATGCCTTTAGCACTTACTCTTTGTCCTAAATCATTGAAATTGTAATTTTATACTTCAGTTTCTAAGTAGATATTACAGTTATTCATGAAATTCACAAAGCACTTTTTAAAAGGACTGCTTAGGAGATTATGGTTGTAAATTGTTTAGTAATTTATATCTTAATGTTACAGGGATCAATTGTCTTTCCTTCTTTGGTCAAAATTTGGAAGTTTCTTGGCTGTTGGAACTGTTAAAGGAAATTTGCTAATTTATAATCGTCAGACATCTCGAAAGATACCTGTCATTGGTAGGTTACAGCTGGAAACACTGCTAAATGTCTGGGATGCTTTTACATAAATGTAAATTTTATCACCTCAGATTTCCCTGATATTGCAGGGGAAATTTTGTAGTTTAAAGTTGACTTCCCTTGTCAAGCCATACCTCTGTCTAACTAGAAGATCCGTCTTCACTACGTGCTAAGAACTTCCCAGGTTACATAGAACAAGTTGCCCTAAGGTGAGTGAGCCTGTGCCCCTGGCTATTAATGTGGCTATTAACCACATTAACAGCGTGGTTTCCATCTGTCCCTTTCTCACCCAGATTATGCCTCGCAGGGAGTAGTTCGCGTGCCTATCAACACATTAGTAGATGGGCTAAAACATTTGGCAACTTCTTGGACAGAGTATATCCACATTCCTAATTCTGACCCCTCACTCTCTCCAATCACTAATTTAATCCTAGGAGTGAACTAGGAGTTATTTTTACCTTGGGATATGACTGGAGGGTATGTGTATTTATTCCTTCTTTGACCTTCTTGATTCAGCCTCTTTGATTCCCCCAGCCTCTGGGCACTTAGCATCTGACTACCTAAAGGAAATAGTATTGCTTTTTTTCGATTTTTGTAACATCGTGCTGGTGGGGGGGTGAAATGGGTAGGCTTAATTACATACAAGTGGCCAGTATAATTTACTGCTAATGGAAGAGTTAAATGCTGGAGGTAATAATGCCCACAGAATACTTGAGAAAGTGCTTTTCAATTAAAGACACTTACTCATTTCAAATTATTTTCACATATATGTATATCTTTCCTATGTGTATTTTTAGCATTCTAGCTATACAGTTACATCATTGATCCATTTGAAAAGTTGAACTAAAAAATCAGCTTTCACCATATAAATTAATTTGTTTGACTTCAGTAGGCATTTTCTGTATCCCACTTCATTTACAGGCATGTCCTACCAGTTAACTTAAAATCCTTAGATAGCTTGACAATTGAGGTAATAAGAAAATAATTTGTCAAAACATGATTATTTTGTGTCATTTTTTGTTCATGTGTACATGATTTTATATGTGATCTTTGTATTTAAAATGAATATTGATTCTAATCTCAGTCTAATTTATTAACTGTGTAAAACAGACCTGAAAATATTCAGGTTAATTGTATATTTTAGGCGCTTTCACTGCCTCTTTCAGAGTTTGTTGTGATTTGCAGCTGTGCTTTTTTTTCCTTTGAAATAATTTACTCTTCTAAAACCAAGGCATTTTACTTCCAGTAGCAGCTGCACAAATGCATGATCAGCAAGTGGTTTTTACAGTAACTAGATGTCTGTTCCGTTGTTACATCTTGCTCTGATTTCTTTCCTTGAACTGGGTTAGATACAGGCAAGTCTCACTTTGCATGATTCTAATATGCATGAATTTCATTGGCCACAGTTTACTTAATATTGCCTGTCTCCCAATAACATGATTCACATTTCAGTAACTGTGGTATATTCTTGTAAGTTAATATTAATTAAATGAGTGAATACCTGCCCAGAACACTGTTAAGTAAGCACACGAAAGTGTTAACTGTTATCACTGATGTTAAGACTAACCTGAGTTCTCTTCACTAGAAGGAAAGATTTTCTTCTCTCTGTCCTGAGTGTAGGATGAAGTTTGTCCTTGGCATCTTTCCACCTCTCTTAGTGTACTCTTTTATCCCTTCTAATACCTATTACTTTGGACACCCCAGTTCCATTGTACTACCTAAATCTCTTAATCTGTGATCAGCAAAATCTCCTACATCCCAGTCTCTTCTCTGAATGTTCCCTTCATTTTTGTGCTCTGGTCTCCTGGTTTGAAATACTACCTCTGTGGTCCCAGGTTTGTCTCTTCCAGACTCCAGACTCATACAAGCAACTGCTTACTCAACAGCTCCAATGAGATTTCTAGTAAATACTTCAGATTCGATATCGCCAAACCCTGCAGTGTTCCCTCTCAGAATTGGTATCTTTTCATCCTCTTAGATATTTAAGCCAAATCTTACTGTTATCCTGACTCTTATCTTCCTCATACCCTCTATACCAAATGTGCCAGAAAATCTTGCAGTATCTACCTCCAAATATGTCCAGATTCAACTGGTCTCATCGCTTCTACCACTACCATCACCAGCATGGTATGGGGCTCAGACATCTTCTACCTGCATCTCTGCAGTCTCTTAACTGGTCTCCCTGCTTCAGCTCTTGCCCTGCTATACGAATATTCTCAACTCTCAACTCGCCTGAGCGAGCCTTCTGCTCAGATCTCTCCAATGGCTCTTCATGTCACCCAAGATCAAAGTCAGAATCCTTACAATGGCTAGCCAAGCCCTCTATGACCTGGCCCTTGAAAACTGTGATTTCATCTCTTAGTTACCTTTCTTTACTTCCTGGCCTCCAGCCACACTGTTCTCCTAGCTGAGCCTCTAACACACTGGACACTCTTGCTTCAGGGTCTACTGACTTAATAACTACTTATTTAGAGCCTCCTTTCTGCAGAACACTGTATTAGGTTCAATAAAGGGTACAGGAATAAAATAAACATGATCTCTGTCTCAATAACAGCTAAAATAGCTAACACTTATAAAGCACTTCCTTTATGGCTGACACTCCTCCAAGTGCTTTAGCTCATTTGATCCTCAACCCTGTGAGACAGCTTCTTATATTGTCCCCAGTTTTTGGACAGTGTGACTAAGGAATAGAAAGGTTAACTTACCCAAGGTTTTGTGATAAACAGTGGAGCCACTTAATCAAAATAGGCAGCCTGCTATCAGAAACTGTATACTTAATTAACCTCGGGACGCTTGAGTATTTATCTATTCTAGGACCTTTAACAAATACCTGGTGTTAAGCTATGTGATTTCCACCCCAAAATGTAGTATTTGCCTTGGCTTGACTGCTTAATTAAAAAGCGCTCTGATACTTGGTGGCTCTCTAATATCCCTCACTAGCTAAACGACTCAGTTCTTAACGTAAATCTCACTAAGGTGCATTCATATTTGTACCTCAATATTGTGATGAATCACTGTATGTCTTTTAGTTATATACAAATAATCAAAATTGTGATGTTGAATCTGCTTATGCCAAGGGTCTCCCACATCATAAAGCTGAATGTAATAGATAACTTCAGTGCTTTGAGATTTACTTCTTTTAAGACATTACTGTGATAGGTTTTGTTATATGGTTAAACAAACTTGTCGAGGGGTACGATATCTTTAATGTTTAAAGACCTAAAAAGTTGGAGAATAGGATTGCCCTTATATACAGTTATCTTGATTTAAAACTTGGTTTTAAACTGTTTTAAATAAGGTTGCTTAAACACTAAACTGCTTTGATGAGATTTTAAATTCCTTGTTTGTTTCATTTCCATAGTATATTATCTAAACTTTGAGATTACCATCACAGATTTTGTAAATTATTTTTTTGAGAAATCAATATGTGCAAAAATCATCTCTTTTGCAGGAAAACATACTAAGAGAATCACATGTGGATGTTGGAATGCAGAAAACATGCTTGCTTTAGGTGGTGAAGATAAAATGATTACAGTTAGTAATCAGGAAGGGGACACATTAAGACAGGTAATGCAGTAACATCTCTTTGATTTGCTCTGTTCAGATTTTCCTCCAAAATAAAGTTTGTCTATCAAACTGACCTATAAAATTTTAAAATCTCTGAGAGATGTTTACAATAACTTCATTTTCTAAACATCAAGCTTTTTCTTTTTATGTACTAGGACATTTTTCTTTTAATACTTTTAATAATTTTTCTTTTATCCCAATTTCCTCCTTTGTACACTTCCCATTGGCTAGTGTTAGCTTGGATTATCAGCTCTGTGGTTATAATCAACCATTATATTTGTGAATATCTCTTATTTTATATGTGTATTTACAATGTAAGTCTTAACGACTGGACTCAGTCAGATCTGCGTAATTCTAAAGCCCACTCATTTAATTGATATGTTAAATCGGTCCCAAACTAATCCTAATTAAATTTAATTTTAGGACTAAATTTTATTGCTGTTCAAATTTCCCAAGATTAAGGGAATTTGTATTACCCATAAGCTATAAAATCTTACCAGTGGCAGGGTTTCAATTTGGATGACTTGGCTTTTGATTTAGTATTTCTAGAGCAATAGTGACTGACACATTCTTTGAACACTGCTAGTTACATTAATAGGTCCTACTACTACTGCTGCTGCTAAGTCGCGTCAGTCGTGTCCGACTCTGTGTGACCCCATAGACAGCAGCCCACCAGGCTCCTCCGTCCCTGGGATTCTCCAGGCAAGAACACTGGAGTGGGCTACCATTTCCTTCTCCAATGCATGAAAGTGAAGTCGCTCAGTCATGTCCGACTCTTCACGACCCCATGGACTGTAGCCCACCAGGCTCCCCATCCATGGGATTTTCCAGGCAAGAGTACTGGAGTGGGTTGCCATTGCCTTCTCCGAATAGGTCCTACATTAGCTATTTATTTGTGCATAACAAATTACCCCTGAAACTTAGCAGTTTCAAACAACAGATGTTGTTAGCCGTTTTCATGGGTGAGCTAAGCTGAGGGCTTCTGCCTCAGCGTCTCTCACGAGGCTGCAGTCATTTTAGCAGTCTAGACTGCAGTCTTGTTTGAAGTCTTGGACTAGGGATAAGTCTATTTCCAAGCTCATGTGGTTGTTGATAGGCAGGCTGTTGGGCTCAGGGCTTAGCTCCTCGCACTGTTGACTGGAAGCCTGCCTCATCTTCTAGCCATGCGTATCTCTCCATGGCATACCTCACAACAAAGCCGCTGGCAGGAGAGTGAGAACAGCCATTCAAGACTTAAGCCACAGCCTCTTAATAAATAATCTGATCTCAGAGTTATTTTTGCCATATTCTGTTCTCTAGAAATGAGTCTCTAGGTTCAGCCCATACTCAGGGTCTGGGTGGCGATTGCACTGAGGCATAAAAAGCAGGAGGTAAGGACCATTGTGGGCCATCTTAGAGGCTGCCTGCCATAGGCCCCCTTCTCTCAGGAAGAGAAAACTAATCATGATAAAACACGTGTAGTTTTATATGATTGTCCAATGTGTGATATAGCTTATAAACCCTGTAGCATTTGTGAGATGGGAGGAGATAAATGAATGTTGGATTGTGAATTTGTAAGCGAGAAGATCTCAGTCAGTCAAGGGTGTAGGCTAAACTGTTGTAACAGAGACCCAAAATGACAAGGACCCTAAGAATATCGTAGTTCGGGTGGCTTTTTCCTCTTTCATTTTATCATATCACAGAGGTAAGCAGGCCATCTGTGTATCTCTGCTTCTCCAGGTTGTGTAAAGTCCCCCTTCTCTCCTTCCTCACCCTTCCTTGCATCTTAAAGTTTTGCATTTATTAGGGTGTTTTGCCCTTGTTAGCACCACATCTGCATTTCAGCCCCAGGGAAAGGAAAAAGAGAAGTGAAGGGCAAGAAATTGCAAACTGCCTGATCTGGAAGATGCAGTCATTACTGCCGTTCATGTCAATTGAACCTAGTCATGTGGTCAAACCTAAGTGATGCCTTGGAAGCTGCAAATTTAGTCTGCCTCGGTGACTGTGTACCCTGCTGAAACTTGTTAGGATATTGGAAGACTTTTATCAGTTGCTGTCATTCACTCCAAGCAGAACAGAACAAAGATAAGAGGAAAAACTTACTATGGCTTGTTCAAGACTGGAATGACTGAAAATTTGGGCTTTGAGAATTTGCAGAAGTCTGAAGAAGTTGGTTCTTGTATCTGGAAAGCTTCGAAAGTGAGGTAGAAGTAACTCAGTCATACTGAGCAGACCACAGCATGATTCCAGTGATTCTTAAGGAAGGCATTGCAGTAAAAATAGTTTCTAGAAACCTCGTAATTTTCATCAATCTGTATTGGTGGCCTTTAGAATTTTAATACTACAGGTCCCCTCTCTTGTGTCCATACCAGACATCATCAGTAGATACTGGCATTTTTTTTTCTTCACTGAATCAAGACATGACCTTAGAATACTTTTCCACATATAACATGTCCCAGGAAGCCTCTACCACTGAGCTAGTATTTATATACAAGATAACTATTTCCCATTTTTAATCCCAAGAATTATGCTTCCAGAATATGACATACTAAAGTTGTAATTTAGTAAACAAAGCATATTGTAAGTATTGTTTCATCTGGTATTTTCTCTGAATTGCTTATACTTGGGTATTCTGCAGAGTACTCCATTGTTACTCCTGCAGATTTGGGTTTTTTTATCCTGCTTGTCTTGCTTCCTAAATCTGAAGATTGCTATCATTCATCAGTTCTGAAAAATTCTTAGTCAGTGTGTCTTTGAAACTTGCCTCTTGCCCTTGCTATTCTCTTTCTGCAGCAACCGTTAGACATATGTCGGGCCATCTTCTGTTTCTTAATCTCTCTTTAATAGTTTCTTTTTGTCGCTCTGTGCAATCTGCAGGATAATTTCCACAAATCAGTTCACTTATTCTTCAGATATGTCTAGTCTTCTATCCCATCAATCCTTCCCATTTCAATGACCCTAGTTTTTATTGGCGGAAAGTACTTTGTAGTTCTTTTTTAAAACCTGGTTGGACTTTTAAAGAAAGTGTTGTCTTTTCTTCTATTTATGAGTCGTTTTATGTTTGTAATCATTTTAAAAGTATTCTATGGTCTTTTTCTGACAATTCTGTTCTTTTTAGATCTGCTGACCCTTGCTCTTGGTCCATTGCTTGTGAATTTTCTCATTTTGAATGGTGAGCTCATCTACTGTAGGAAGTTGTTTACAGCCTTGGGAGAGGCTTTAGATTTGTTTTTACTGAACACTGTAGGGAGTTTCTAGACCACTCAGAGTATAACTTTGGACCTTAGACCACAGTGACCATAGGAGGGAAACTGATTTGAAAAGAATTTTTTCTAATCAAAACCCAGCTCAAGTCAAATGGGTTCATTATCATCTCTCTCTATCAGCCACTGCTGCTCTGGATACCTGCAGCATCAGTTCCTACACTCACTTAGCTTTTCAGTTTGATCTTTGCTTATGGTCTGCAGAAATCTTCCTTACCTTCTTTCAGGCTTATCTTAGCCATTTAATAAGGTACATGTTCAGTTTCATCCTGAATTTCTAGAACTTTGTACAGTGGGATTTTCAGGTTGTTCAGTCCAACATATTCAGAAATGAAAGCAAACTACCTGTTTTATTAATGGAATTTGAGTGTGGGGTTTATTCATGGTGATAGTATTTTCACCTCCACAGACACCAGTGAGATCGGAACCTAGTGACATGCAGTTTTCCATGATGAGGACTGATGACCGAACCTCCACTGCTGAACGCACAGTAAGAGTTCTAAATCCAGGCCCAGATTATTTTGGTAATTTTGTGGGATATACTGTCTCCTTTTCTAGGATGGCTCAGAATCTCTAGGGTTATAAAAAAAATTATCGTACATCACTTATTAAACCAACATAGACCCCAGTTTCTCAGGCCTAAATGTTGTTTTTGCCGCCACCTAATCCGGGAGTTGGTGATGGACAGGAAGGCCTGGCGTGCTGTGATTCGTGGGGTCGCAAAGAGTCGGACACGACTGAGTGAACTGAACATCAAAACAATTGAAGATAGCGTCCTGTAGCTCTGTTGTTGCTCTCCTTATGCTGGCAAAACAGTGGGGCGCCTTGAAAAACAAGAGTATTGATGTCTGTATCTTTTAAAATTTTTCATTCTTATCAGATATGGGGACCAGAATGCCAGAAATGACTAGTTTTATTTTTGAACACCTTAGATTTATTTTCCCTGGCACATTTTAACATTCTGAAGTCCAGATGGTTTTCACAATCAACAGGGATATATTTAATGAAGTAATGTTTTTCTTTATTTCTCGAAAAGATGTTATATTGATAATGACTCATAACCAATAGCATCTTCAAAGCAAGGAAATATACCAAAAAGTGTTTCTCTTTATATATATATATATATCCATTACCCTTTGTGAGCCTAAATCAGTAATGTACTCTTCTCTCTCAACACAATTACACTCTCAGCTGAGAATTACAGTTTAGTATTGGCCTGTGAGTAACAGGGATACTAGTCTAGCCACATTGACCAATGCCCTGCAGGTGATGGGAAAAGTGATGATATAAAAAGCTGAGCTAGATTATCCACACAGGTGTGGACAGCTAATCCCATGCGGCTCAAAATCAAAATCAGATGGCCTTAGGGTAGAAGAGTTGCTATACTCTGAATGTGAGTTTAATTCCAGTGGAACTATGCCAGACTTACCTTCTTGTACTTCATGGTACTCTTATTAGAGACAGAGAATTTTAAAAAGTTATTCCATTGAGCTAGTTTAGTATATTTGCAAGGGTATATTGGGTATGTGTAAACCCAAAGATCCTTCCCAGACTACATTTTAGGAAAATGTTACAAATGTTTTAAGTTAGTCACATTGTTTCCTTACTAATTTATAACATTTAACACTGAATTTGGCTCAGTTGTTTTTCTTAATTAGGTTTATGCTGTTTGAATTTGCTTATCATTAGTCTTTTCATGAAGTACTGAGCATTCCTCTAATTCCTTTTTTTGGCAGATAAGTGTAGTGGTTGGCAAGAGAATTTTGTTCCTTTTTAATCTGAATGAACCAGATAACCCAATTGATCTGGAGTTTCAGCAACGCTATGGCAACATTGTCTGCTACAGTTGGTATGTACAGAAGCACAATACAGAAGGTGTTTTTCCCTACTAATTATAATGTGTTTCGTTTTTGTCTGTAGCATTTTCACTCTTCAGTGTGACATTTTCTGGATTGCAGTCTGTGACTTAATGTGTGAAACCGCCTAACATGTTACCTGGCAAATAGGCCCTTGAAAAATTATATTCTCTGTTCCCTTAATGGTAAGGCGTTTGTTTATTACTGCATTGCAAATGACACTTAATCTCCCTTTTACTGTATCACTGCCTTTGTTGCTGTAGGTACGGTGATGGCTACATCATGATTGGTTTTTCACGTGGAACTTTTGTGGTCATTTCCACTCATATTCGAGAGATTGGTCAAGAGATATTTCAGACTCGTAACCATAAAGACAATCTAACCAGTATTGCAGTATCACAGACCCTTAACAAAGCTGCTACGTGTGGTGATAACTGGTAAGTTATATTCACATGTTCCTAGGAAAGTTTATTTAAGGCATAGTCAAGAGATTCAGCAAGGTGTTATTAACTAATGTCAATCTATCCACCATACTTGCACGATTAGAACATGTTTGCAGTTGAAAATTTCTAAGATATCTTTACCTTTGCCTTGAACACTCAGGGTAAAACCTGAAATACTAAATGTGTACCAAATACAAAACCTGAAATGGAATATACTTGAAAATCAGTCATAAAAATAAAATGGGCACTTCTGGGTAAGAGGGAGTAAGTACCCTCCACCCTGTCTCTCTCACCAAATACAGCCATAAAACCTGAACCCACGAAACAGCTATGTAAGGACTCTGAAAAGTAAATAGTGGCAGGCAGATTGGAGAAGAAAGCCAGCGTTTGAGGTACCACTGAGGCGGCGGTGAGTCTCCTGTTTGTCTTCTGGCCTCTCTCAGCTGGGACTCAAGGCAGCCTGAGACCTGGACATAAGCCCTGAAGCAGAGACAGAGAGAGCTCTGAAAGAAGCCCTTTAGTTCTGGCTCAACTTGCAGTGAAGAGGACCGCTAACACTCAGACGAAGTTGGGAAACTCCCTCAGTTTTCTCTTTTCTCCCCCTTCTTTGTTCTCCCATGCCCCAGCCCCCGAGCAGTCCACCATGGCAGTGACAGTGAGGACCCACAGGCACCCGAAACCCTGGAGGAGGCTAACCTTGCTCTCCAGCTGGGGCAGCTGTGGTCCCAAGAAGATGGGGCATGTCCCCACTGTTTATTTTTCTCTCTGTCCCCTCACTGCTTGGCTGCTGGTGCAGTTGTAGGCAGACCAAAGCAGAGTAACTAGCGCCCAGCTTTTGTGCTGGAAGACCAACAAGGGGAAGCCCAGGTATATTCTGATATACCTGGGAGGTCCTAGAGAAGGAGGAACTCTGGAAAGCAATCCTATAAAAATATTTATGAACTCCCAGGTTCATCTCTGAGCTGTGTGTGTGTATCACATCCTGCATGCCTAACGAAGACTTTGAGAACTGAACTAAGGGATAGACCATAGCCTGGGTCCTGTACTGGCCACTGGGTGGGCCACATGAGCACATCCCCAAACACCACTGCAAAGGGTTTGGAAGTGGAACAGACGTTGAAATCATAGCCCACAGAAGGCTGATTGAAATGTGTGGCCTGAACCCAACTGGGCCAATTGCCTCCTTAAAAAAAAAAATTTAGCTTCCTCTGTGGGATTTAAATAAGACAGAGTCTCATAACATAATTTTCAAAATGTCCAGAATATAACCCCAAATTGCTTGACACATGAAGAATCAGGAAAATTTTGACTCACTTGAGAAAAGACAGTCAAAGGATGCCAGTGCTGAGGTGATGCATGTAGTGGGCTATTATAAAAATGTCTGAAAGCTAACAGCATTCTCAAAACGGACTGAAACATAACCTCAGGGGTAAAAAATGGAGCCTATTAAGAAGAACCATAATGGAAATTCTAAAACTGAAAAAATTAATACAGTGTATGTACTATCAGAACAGAAATCACAGAGTAAAAGAGTTGGTGAACTTAAAGATAAATCAGTAGAAATACCCATTCTGAACACAGAGGGAAAAACAGAGCATCAGGGACCTTGAACCTACCAAAATGTCTAACATTTGTGTCATAAAAATCTCAAAAATAAAGGTTGGAAGCGTCTCACATTTGACGAAAGACATAAGCCTATATATTATACAAGCTCAGCAAACCCCAGAAAGGATAAATCCAAAGAAATCTAGGCCCAGACTCATCATGGTTAAACTGCTAAAAACCGAAGGCAAAGAAGAGGTTTTGAAAGCAGCCAGAGAACGTTTTGAATGACAGCAGATTTCTCGTCATAAACCATAGTGACCAGGAAGAAACTCGTAAGATTCTCAAATTGCTGAAAGAAAAGAATTGTCAACCAAACTTCCATCTATATCCAGGAAAAATAGCCATCAGTAATGAAGGTGAAATAAAGAAACACTCTCAGATGAAGGAAAATGAAGAGAATTTACTACATCGGGCCTCTAAAAGAACTACTGATACAGAAGATAACAGATGACAGAATGAAACTCGGAACATCAAAAATAAAAGGAGGACAACAGTAACGGAAAGTAACTGGGTAGATAAAGGGAAGGTGTTGGTCACAAAGGCTCCTGGTGAAATCACATCAGGAACGTATATTTGCTTGTGACTGTGGGCTGCTATGAAGGGCATGCATGTGCATAAAGGAACTAGTGTTCATTTAAGATCACTGCAGGCCACTTGGCCAAACAAAATAGATGCCAAGGCAGCTATATCACGGTGTAACTTAGTTAAACTCTCAACAGACTTGGATAACACCATAAACCAACTGGACCTAGCAGACATCTACAGAACACTCCACCCAACAACAGTAGAGTTCACATTTTTCCCAGGCACCTGTGGAACATTCATCAATGTAGACCATATCCTGGAGCATGGAACAAACCTCAATAAATTGAAATCATACAAATATGTGTTCTCTAGCCATCATGTAATCATACTTGAAATCGGTAACAGATAACAAGAAATTCTCTGTATACTTAGAAATTAGACAGCCTACTTCCAAATAATTCATGGGTCAAAGAGTAAATCTCAAAGCAAATTAGAAAATACATAGAACTGAGTGAAATTGGAAATGTACATTTGTTCAGTCACTCAGTCGTGTCTGACTCTTTGTGACCCAACGCATGCCAGGCTTCCCTGTTCTTCACCATCTCCCAGAGCTTGCTCAAACTCATGTCCATTGAGTTGGTGATGCCATCCAACCATCTCACTCTCTGTTGTCCCCTTCTCTTCCTGTCTTCAATCTTCAGTAGATGTACATAGCCATATCTATTTCAGGCGGCTAAAGCAGAGCTGAGAAAAAAATTTATACTACTAAACTGATATAAAGGAAAGAGAAAAGACATCTGGTCAATTATCTAAGTTCCTATCTCAAGAAACTAGAAAGAGCAAAATAAGCCCAGAGCAGAAGGAAGAAAGTAACAAAGAGCAGAAATTGGAAATAGGGAAAAAATTTAAAAGCTGCAGGTTTTGGGGGAAAATTGATAAATATCTAGCAAGAATGACAAAAATAGAATATAGTTCACCAATATCATGAGTGAATAGAAATATCAGTACAGATCTGAAAACCACTAACAAAGCAATACTACAAACAACTTTATACTCAGAAATTTGACATCTTGGAACATAGGAAACAACTCAGTCAAGGGTATGTTTTTATCTGCCTATTGACCGTCTGTATATTGTCTTTGAAGAAATGTCTATTAAAGTCTTCTGCTCATTTTTCAGTTGGGTTGTTTAGTTTTTTTGTTGAGTTGTATGGGCTGTTTATATATTTTGGAGATTAAGTCCTTGTCTGTCGCATCATTTGCAAATGCTTTCTCCCATCCTGTAGGTTCTTTTTATTTTTGTTGGTTTTTTTTTAATGGTCTCCTTTGCTGTGCCAAAGCTTGTTAAGTTTGATTAGATCCCATTTGTTTATTTTCACTTTTATTTCTATTGCCTTGCTAGACTGACCTAAGAAAACATTGGTATGATTTATGTCAGAGAATGTTTTGCTGATGTTCCCTTCCAAGAGTTTTATACCATCTTGTCTTAGATTTGTCTTTAAGTCATTTTGAGTTTAAGTATATTTTTAAATAAACTTAAACTTTAAGTTAATTTTTGTGTGTGGTGTGCACAAAAGGATGCACACCACCCTTTTGAGGATGTGCTCCGACATCTGATCTCCATGCAGCTGCCCAGCTTCCCCAGCACCACTTGCTGAAGAGACTATCTTTTTCCCATGGTGTGTTCTTGTCTCCTGTGTTGAGGAGTAACTGACTGTAGGGGTACAGATTTACTTCTGGGCTCTTGTTCTCTCTGTTATTTCTTACAGTCACATGTGGACCTACAATTATAATCAAAAGTTTAATTAAATGAAAACAGGGAGAATATATGAAGGAGAAGCACTGGGAGAGTGGAGAAGGGACAGAGGAAGGAGAGAGGAAGGGAGACAGGAAGAAAGAAATATCACAGTTAGGTCCCAACATCATGCTACACAGCTTTCACTTGCATAAGCCTACTTAGACCCTTCCCAATAACCCTTTGAAGTAACATTATGCCTCCACTTTTCAGAGCTTTCTACCTAGGCCCTTCCAAATCTTTATGTTGTACCTCACTTATTTTTGTAGGGAGGAACTCTTGGAGCAGTGGAATGGGGGGAGAAGAGGAGAGGACACATTGCAAAGAGAAATCTGCTTCATTTTACAATAACCGGTACTGCTCAGGGGAACGTTTGCCTACTCAAACTTTTCCCCAGGATCTTCAGCCTCGTTGTTCCTGACTGTAGATCAAAGACTAAGCTGTGCACCACTCCCACCCACATATCAACAAACAAAAATTTTAAAGAAAATTTGATAAATTAAATAACTAAATATAGAAAGTTTAATATTTTCTTACCTTAACTCTAGATCCTCCTGTACATCCCTTTTTGGAGAACGCTGACCTGTTCCATAGCTGCTTATTGCTTAAATGTAACTTGGTGCTCATATTTAAAATGAGTATGTATTTTTTTTATTTTTCAGCATTAAAATCCATGACTTGGCAGAATTAAAAGACATGTATGCTATAATCAACCTGGATGATGAGCATAAAGGTATTGCTTTTTCTGAAGCAAATTGGCATTTGATCATTTTAGTAAGAGTAATGTGTTTGTTAATGTATGGTTTGCATTCATTGTAGGAGGAAGCAAATTAACACCTTTCACTAGAATTCCCTAAAGTAGCCTCTTTATTAGTAATTATGTTGAGTCACACTCATTGACTGGGCTTCCCAGGTGGCTCAGTGGTAAAGAATCCACCTGCCATTGCAGGAGGCACAGATTCAACCCCTGGGTCACGAAGATCCCCTGGAGAAGGAAAGACAACCCACTGCAGTACTCTTGCCTGTGAAATCTCAGGGACAGAGGAGCCTGGCAGGCTATAGTGCATGGGGTCACAAAAGAGTTGGAAATGACTTAGTGACTAAAAACAAAAAACTTCTTGACTAGGAGGATGTGAATATACTTTGATTCAAAGATTTCTGTTGTATTTTATCCCAAACCCAGTTGCAAAATCTAAATTCTTACTTATTTCCCTTTGAGCCAGTTTTGAATACGTCGGGGCTCATGCTCATAAGCCAATCCATGATGAATGTCCTAGTCTACATAAAAGCTACCTCCACTGTTTTTAAAACTTCGAAGATTTTGATGCCTCTGGTAGCTTACATGAAGATATTCAGTGTGCTTGGATTCCTGTAGCAGCATATCTGTCTTTGAATACTCCTTCTCGCGCTCTGTCATTTCAGGGCTGGGCACCTTGTCCTGGACGGATGATGGCCAGCTGCTGGCGCTGTCCACCCAGAGGGGCGCGCTGCATGTGTTCCTGACCAAGCTCCCCATCCTTGGAGACGCCTGCAGCACCAGGATCGCATACCTCACCTCCCTCCTTGAAGTCACCGTAGCCAACCCTGTTGAAGGAGTACAAAAACAGTGTTATCTTTCTTTGGTAATAAAACTAAAACCGTGTTCACAGTTGATTCAGTACTGCTCCTTTTCTTTATCATAGGAGCTGCCAATCACAGTTTCTGTCGACGTGGAGCCCAACTTTGTAGCAGTGGGACTTTATCACCTGGCTGTGGGAATGAATAATCGAGCTTGGTTTTATGTCCTTGGCGAGAATGGCAAGTCTAAATCCAGTTGGTTTCTTATCTAACATATCTAACATATAATTTGTTTTTTTGTCTGTTTGGGAAGCTCTAATAGTTTCTTTTAAGACCAAATCTTTCTTTTTCTTCAGACATCTCTTTCTTAGCTTAAATGGTTTTTTGCCAATCTTCTAAAAATTTTGCATAGTGTTGGGAAAGGTTTTGTTCTTTATCTTTGTTGTGAAGACACTGTGGTGTCTGAGCAGATTGTGATCTTTAGAATTGGGCCCTGGGTTCAAATTCCCTTCTGCCCCTTTTAGCTGGGTGACTGTAGACAAATTCTTTACCCCTCTGAGCCTTGGTTTCCTCATCTGGAAAATGAAGATTCTTCTACTTGTAAAGGGTTATGAGAAAAACTATATGGAATAAAATATGTGATCTGCTTTTGTGCATGGTCTTTCTTAGGCACCCGTTGGTCTGGTAGGTACTGAGTAAATGTTAATTCCCTACCCCTCCCACCGTACGCTTTGAATGACCACTAACATCTGAAGGGAGCCTCACTTTTTCTTCTCCTTTTCATCCTCCGCCTCTTTCCCACAGGAGGTCAGATGACCCTCAGGAATAGAGCCAGCCTGAGAATTATCCTCAGAGGTTCCGTTAAGCTTCTTGTCACTAAGGTTTAATTTTTGGTCGTTTTGCAAGTGACTTTATTTTTTATTACTTTGTTTCTTGTGAACCACTATGACATTCCTAAAGGCAAATTTATATGGCAGCAAAGATTTTCTTTAGAATGGCTAAAATAAAACTTTCAGGTTCAGAATATTCTTTCAAAGGCACACATTTAAAACTTATTTGCAGATCATTAGATTAGATTATTTTGTTTATATTTTATTGTGTCTGTTTTTGTTTTGATTACTACAGCTGTTAAAAAATTGAAAGATGTGGAATATCTGGGGACAGTAGCCAGTGTTTGCCTTTATTCTGACTATGCATCTGCACTTTTTGAAGGCAAAGTCCAGTTACATTTGGTAAGTATTTTTGGTGTCCCATGGCCTCCTCAGGTCAGTGAAGACAGTGAATAGCCTAATGTTTTGTAATCAAGAACTTTGGTCAAGAAACAGCCATATACAGACTAGCTGGAAAGCCATATGTGATAAAGGGTTGACAAAACTCTTTACCCTTCTGCATGAGATTAACCCTCAGTTAACACTTTAACTCTGTTCCCAAGAAACCCAGCAGAGTTTCAGCTGTCTGCTCATAACATTGCTTATGTAAAAATGGCCATGTAAAGTGCGTCTAGGAGGAACTGTAAGTAAGTTGTAAAAACTGATGGGAATGCCATAGGTCTGGCTACCCAGAATGGATTGACCTATGTGTTTGGTCGTGTCACTGGTGGGGATCTTGAAACTGTGCCCCATGAGTTGTTCAGAGATGTTGGCCCTTGAAATATGGTGCTTCTCAACCAGGACACTTCCCACATGTATTTCTTGGCTCTTATGGGAAGCCAAAGAGATTAGCTACAAGACAACTGCAGAGCCTACTGCAAAGACTGTTACCATTAAAGAAAGTGAAAGTGTCAGTCGCTCACTCCTGTCCAGCTCTTTGCAACCGCTTGAACTGTAGCCCACCAGGCTCCTCTGTCTATGGAATTCTCCAGACAAGAATTACTAGAGTGGGCAGCCATTCCCTTCTCCAGGGGATCTTGCCAACCCAGGGGTCAAACCCAGTCTACTGCATTGCAGGCAGATTCTTTACCATCTGAGCCTCCAGGGAAACTTGTTAAAAGGGATATTTAATGAGCCCTGCTGGCAAGCTGGGCTCCCGTCTGATACCTTTCTGAGTAAAGTGGTTTATCTGGTGAGCCTGAATATTTAGTTGAATTTAAGAAAAAGACTCTCTCTTACCACCTAGATGTTGCAAACCAGATTTATTCAGTTAAGTCTATGAGCCACTATTATTCTTTGTTTTAGATAGAAAGTGAAATGTTGGACGCTCAAGAAGAACGTGAGATGCGACTTTTCCCAGCAGTGGATGATAAGTGCCGTATTTTATGTCATGCCTTAACTGGTGATTTCCTCATCTATGGCACAGATGTACGTGTTGTCTTCTTTAGTATAGAATGTGGGGAAATTTCTCATTTTTACCTTGTAATTTATTATATATGTGTGTGTGTATATATATATATGTTATATAGATATTATATGTGCATACATGCTCATGCATACATTACTCGTTTGTGTCCGACTCTTTGCAACCCCATGGACTGTCTGTCTATGGGATTATCCAGGCAAGAATACTGGTGTGGGTTGCCATTTCCCCCTCCAGGGCATCTTCCCAACCCAGGAATCAAACCCACGCCTCCTGCATTGGCCGGCAGAATCTTTACCACTGAGCCACCTGGGAAGCATTGTATGTGCAAAAAATCATTATATATGTATGTAGAGCACATTGGTGTGTGGTTTGCTATTATCAAGTGCTTTTGGAACTCTAAGCAACTTTGATGGCACAGTGGAAAGGACAGCCTTTGGAGTCTAGACAGTCTGGGCTCAAATACTGGTCCTCTTACTTGCTTCTTGAGACTTACGAGACTTCCAGTCTCGTTTTCCTTATCTTGATGCTTTCAGGATTTAGTTTAATGACAAATGTAAGACACCTCATTCGACTTTAGCTGTCCAGTGCCTACATTTAGCGGGCATTTAATTAAAATTAATTGAATATTGAGAATCCCACTTCAACCTTTTGGTCGTTTGAACCACCAACACTCTGTACTCCTAAATGTTACATTAGCCACATATACATAAAGCACAGTTTAGTAATAGCATTTATATTAGTAAAAACTTTTCAAAGATTTTTCAAAGCATATCATACGTGTTACCTTGCTTAGCCTCTAGAAGAATTCACTAAGTTGGTTTTAAAAAAAAAGGCATTGTTTTCCACATTTGTTGCTATTGTTCAGTTGCTCAGCCGTGTCCGACTCCCCCATGGACTGCAGCACACCAGGCTTCCCTGTCCTTCATTAGAAAAGCAGTTAATCACTGTTTCACAGGTTCTGTTTTCTCACATTGTTTTTTTTAAAAGAGCATATTTTAAAACATGCTTATTGCCAGAAGAGAGACTTTTTAAATTTAAATTTGACCCAAAATCAGTTTTTGAGCTTATATACTTAGGTAAGGTAGGTCTCATGTATCAGATAAAGTGGTGGTGATATGGTAAATAAGTAGTAAATAAATTAATAGTATATTTGTATAACACACAACCATTTATAAAGCCCTGATCTCACTTATTTTATCTCATTAACTCTATAAGATAAGCAGGGAAGCTATATATATATATATGCTTATATATATTTATGTATGTATATAGTGTATATAATATCATGATATCCACATGTAAGTGATAGCATATATTTGTCTTTCTCTGACTGACTTCACTCAGTGTGACAATCTCTGGGTCCATCCATGTCGCTACAGATGTCATTATTTCACTCTTTTTTTGTGGCTGAGTAACATTTTATTGTATATATGTACCACGCCTTCTTTATCTGTTCATCTGCTGGTGGATGTTAGGGCGTTTCCATGAACAGTTTTCTCTTCCAGTGCTTCAAAGATGCAGCTCCTCTGTCTCCTTGCCTACATTTACTCCAGTGAAATCTCTCATTCTTACTTTGTCCCTCTCTGTGTCATCTCTTTTTCCTTGGACTGCTTTTAATATTCTCTCTTAATTGCTGGTTTTGAGTAAGTTAATTGTGATGTGCTTTGATGTAGTTTTCTCCATATTTCTTGTGCTTGAGCTGTTGGGCTTCTTTGAACCCGAGGGTTTATAGCTTTAATAAAATTTGGGACATTTTCAGCCATTATTTCTTCAAAGATGTTTTTCCCCCCTCTGTTTGCATTCCAATTTCAGAAACTCCAATTGCACATATATTAAACTGCTTTAACTTTTCCCACAGTCGATGCTGTTTGTTTTTTTGCTTGTTTTTTTTTTTCTGTTTCATTTTAGATAATTGCTACTGCTGTATTTCAAGGTTACTAGCCTTTTTTTCTGTCATATTGAATCTGCCAGTAGTTTCATCCACTGTATTTTTCATTTCAGACACCATAGTTCATCTGCAGAAGATATATTAGAATCTGGTGTTATGTCTTCCATTTATCTACTTAAACATATGCCATACCATTATATTAACTGTTTTAGTTACCTTACTTGCTAATTCTAACATCGGGGTCAGTTCTGGGTCAGTTTTGATGAGTTATTGTCCTTAATGTGGGTTATGTTTTTTCCTCCTCCTTTGCATACATGGTGCTCTTTCCTTTTGGGGGTGCTGGATGTTTTGTATTCCTAAAGATGCTTGTGAGCTTTGTTTCTGGAATGCGGGTGATTTGCTTGGAAACAGTCTGATCCTTTTGAGTCTTGGCTTCTGTGATTTGTTAGGCAGATGTGGAGCACTACTTTTGTTGTTTAGTTGCTAAGTTGTGTCCAACCCTTTCGCAACCCCATGGACACTAGCCCCCAGGCTCCTCTGTCCATGGGATTTCTCGGGCAAAAATACTGGGGTGGATTAATGTCCCCTTCTCTAGGGGGTCTTCCCAACCCAGGGACTGCACCCCCTTCTCCTGCATCGGCAGGCAGCTTCTTTACCACTGAGCCATCAGAGAAGCCTGAAACACTGCTTGGTCTGCAACTAATTATTTCCCACTTTTGAGGCAAGATCATCCTGAGTACTGTATCCAATATCCTGTGAATCACGTTTTCTAATCTTCCTATTGGAAACAGTCACTGTTCCTTCTAATGCCTTTGGATGGTTCTTCTCCCTGGTTTTGACAATTTTCTTGTAAGTGTGCAGTGATCAATACTCTGCTGAAGACTCAAGGTGGACCCTCTGAAGATCTTCAAGGCTCTCTCTCAGTGCATCTCTCTCCTCTCCGGTGTTATACGCTGCATGTCCAGCCATCTCTCTTCTGCCTCACTGAATCCTCAGCTCTATCTCCTGAACTCAGGGAGTCATGCCCCACCTGCACGTTCCCTCCCTTCGCCGTGGCTTGAGAACTCTCACAAGGCAGAAACTGCAGCAACCACAGGACTTCTCTTGTTTCCCATCTCCCAGAGACCATTATCCTATGTTGCCTCATTCCAGTATCTTGAAAATCATTTTTCATGTATTTTGTCATTTTTGGTTCTTTTGGGCAGGCAAGTTAAGTCCAGTCATGCCATCTTGGCCTGAATAGAAATGTAAGATGTTAACATGTGTTTTTATTTTAATTAAACTTTCTATTTTGGGATCATTGTAGACTCACATGCAGGTATAAGAAACAGTACAGAGAGATCCTATAAATCCTTTTCCTAGTTTCCCCCAATGGTAACATTATATTTACATATCGCAACCAGGGTATTGACATTAACAGGCAAGATATAGAACAATTCTGTCACCACCAGCACCCTTCATGTTGCATTTATCTCCACACCCACTTTCTTCTTGCCTCTACCTCAGCCTTAATCCTTGATAACAATCTGGCTTTTCTAGTCTATTCCAATGGTCTGTGTGTCTGTTCCTCCACCAGGAGTACACAATGACTGCTGTAGCTATAAAAACAAAATTGACAAATTTTCCCATTTTTTTCCCACAACTGTTTTACCTATTCTGGTTCCCTTGCAGGGCCATATAAATTTTAGAATAATCTTGTCTATATCTACAAGAAAATCTTATATATCAGTTCAGGAGAAATAGCATGTTTACTCTGACACCAGTCCATGAACACAGTGTACCTCTCCATTTATTTAGATACTCTTGGTTTCTTTCATTAGTGATTTTTAGTTTTCAACACACAAGTCCTATGCATGCTTTCTTAAGTTTACACCTAAGCACATCATTTTTTGAGTGTAAGTGGTATTTTATTTTTAAATTTTGATGTCTGCATGTTCATTGTTATTAGAGAACTATGACTGTATCTTGTGGGTTTTTGTTTATTTTAAACTTAACTTTCTAATTTATTAACAGCAAAAATATTTAAAATAATACACTCTTAACCAATAAGAGTATTTCTTACACGTGGAAAATCTGAAAATCAATTAAGCTTTAATATGAGGATATTAGGATATCTAAGGATATTAGAACTAATAATAGAATGTTGACTCTGTGTCAGCTCAGATGTACATACTCATTTAACTTACTTTCTTGGATCTGTACTTTGCTTATATAGTAAATATTTTTAGATTCTTCCTTGATCAAAAATATGACTTATTTTTTTCAAATTAGGAAATATGCTTAACATAAATGCTGAAAAGTCAGTATTTTCTTGACAGCCTTTCATTTCTATGACTGGATTTTTTTAGACTGGTGTCATTCAGTATTTCTACATTGAAGACTGGCAGTTTGTTAATGATTATCGACATCCCGTCAGTGTGAAAAAGATTTTTCCTGACCCAAATGGGACAAGATTGGTTTTCATTGATGAAAAAAGTGATGGATACGTCTATTGTCCAGTAAGTCTAGAAAAGTTTTCAAATAGTTATTTTTTTAAATGGCAACATATGAAGAAAAAAATGTTTTTAAAATATATTTCATATATAAGATCACTTTCTCTTAAACAGTGCTGAGAATTATATTACTTTGTTATTATGTTTGTGGTTTATTTGTGATTTGTTTTCATGACTGTTTTTTTTCATGACTTTTCATCTAGAAAACTTTTTACATTAATTTGTAATTTTTAAGTGTTAAAAAATCTTGGACTTTTTAATGGAAAGAATAGTTCTTAATCTGCATCATTTTAACCTTATTTAAGGCACAGTACTACAGTGTATCTTCAGGTAACATGAGTTTTCTCTCTGGAAATGCAATAGCTTCAGAGAGCAAGGTCTGTTTCCCTGTCCTTTCTTCCCGCCTCAGTGATTTTCCTCTTCTCTTAAAGATCCTGAACACAAAGATTTTTTTTTTTAATTAGGTGATTCAAAAACAGATGAATGCATTTTCAGACTTTTTTACTGTTATTCAGTCGTTCAGTTGTGTCTGATTCTTTGTGACCCCGTGGACTGCAGCATACCAGGCTGCCCTGTCTTTGACTATCTCATGTCCAAGATAAAGGAAGTTTTTATCTTGGAGGAGTTTGCTCAAAGTCATGTCCTTTGAGTCGGTGATGCCATCCAACCATCTCATCCTCTGTCGTCCCCTTCTCCTCCTACTTCCACTCTTTCTCCAGCATCAGGGTCTTTTCCAATGAGTCAGTTCTTCACATCAGGTGGCCAAAGTATTGGAGTTTCAGCATCAGTCCTTCCAATGAATATTCAGGGTTGATTAAGATTTTTAGATTGAGGGAGGTGGAAGGGGGGATCGGGATGGGGAATACATGTAAATCCATGGCTGATTCATGTCAATGTATGACAAAACCCACTACAATATTGTAAAGTAATTAGCCTCCAACTAATAAAAATAAATTTAAAAAAAGATTTTTAGATTTAGCTCCCCTTAACTTTTACAAGGCTAAATTTCGAAAAAAGGAAATATTATGGTTTTACCTCATTTGCTATACTTGGATTTTTTTTTAATTTTTGATATCCAGTTGGTATATTCTTGTTCATAGTTCACACAGCCTACAGCTGCGCTTGGACTAAACCTTAGAGATTGTTCCCAGGTGTCTTATCTTTACCATAGTGAAGACACATTCCCTGAAGATAGCTCTTACTTCAGGATACACTCTCCTAGATAATAAAACTTCCTTCCTCCCTTCTTTTTCTCTTCTCTTTCTTTTCTTTCTTTCTTTGACAAAGGTGTAACAGCTTTCCACAGAAGTGCCTGAATTATTTATTCAAAATTCCTAATATTCTAGTGCTTTCCACCCCATTTCTCAGTTACAAAATAAATGAAGAAAAATGACCTGAACGTAAAGATGACCTTGAGTTCCCCCTACTTAATAAGGAAATTCAATCTTGTAGAGGTTTCCTTTCAGGATATATATATATAAGCCTATCTGCCTGAGTTTATGGGAATATATGGATTGATTTTTTTTAATAGCTTATATTACTGGAATTACAGTTTGTTGGAATACATTGTCAGAATGCATGTTTTTAAAATGTACTGAGTGGAATTTATGTAGATCTCAAATCATGTATGAATTATTTTGTTTCTTCTCTAGTTGGAGCATTTGTGTACCCAATATTATTGAAAATTTTCCAAGCACAAGTGTGTTCATAGTTAATATTTCTGTCACCATTTTGAGCAGCTTCAACTTTTTTTTTCTTAACCTGAAGTTTTGTGTCCAGACTTGTAGTTTTTCCTGAAAATTCACCAAATTTTAGATAAAACCCTTGATTTTGCATGTAACTACAGTTTTTTTCAAGCCACGCTTAGTATAGAAAGGGGAAAGGAAACTTTTCTTCATTTATCTTAGGATGTTGGCGAGTTGAATATGAATTGGTAAGCTTTGCTAGCTAAGGCTGCAGACAGGCTCCATCCTACCAAGGCAAATGATAATGGTTTAAGTGCAGACTTGGGTAAAATCTGTAAATCCTTAATTTTTAGGTTAATGATGCTACCTATGAGATTCCAGACTTTTCGCCAACCATTAAAGGTGTTCTTTGGGAAAACTGGCCAATGGATAAAGGTGTATTTATTGCCTATGATGACGATAAGGTGTACACGTATGTCTTTCACAAGGACACTATTCAAGGTACTTAATCACTTTTTTGTATGTTTGTTGAGAATTATATTTCCACTGCACTAAAATTAAGGCATTCTTTTTTTTTTAAACATTCTTTTTTTAATGTGTGTGCTGAGTATTAGCTTTCAACATTAAGGTGTCTGTTTTATAATATAGGATCCAAGGTCATTCTGGCTGGTAGCACCAAAGTTCCTTTCTCTCATAAACCTTTGCTGTTATATAATGGAGAGTTGACCTGCCAGACCCAGAGTGGAAAAATAAACAACATCTACCTTAGCACTCACTGCTTCCTCGACAATTTAAAAGATGAGGGGCCTCATAAATTGTGGCAGGTGCTGGCACAGACTTTAATGCTAAAAAGGTATGGCTTAAACACTTCTTGGGGAGCTTCTTATTTCCTTTTGTGATTTTAAAGGTCAAATCTTGTGAAAATATATGGAAAGGAATTCCCTGGCCGTCCATTGATTAATAAGACTGTACTTTTCCAATGCAGGGAGCATGGGTTCGATCACTGGTTGGGAAACTAAGATCGCACATGCCACACAGCATAACCAAAATAAACGATGGAGATAATAGTATTTACCTCATTTATTTCACGGGATTATCATGAGGCTCAGATACGATTGATTTGAGGATATATGTAAATTCTAAAGGAAGGGCTTTTGTACTGTGGGAAAAGCCCATCTGAACAAAAAGGGTTTCTAATCTCCCAAATAGCACAGTTATTGTGAAATTCTAATAAATGTAATTATTTCAACACTCCCTTAACTTCATCACAACAAAGTTTGATTTTATCTTTACATTTTTTTTTGCCCTGCTTTTTCCTCTCACCTCTTCGGGACACAGTGAATTCCTTTGTGTGAATGATGTTCTTCCTCAGGGTTGCTTGTACTCCTTTCTTCTCTTCTCACTCTTAATTCTTCTTCCAGAGTGAATCTCCTCAAGTGAGTGAAGTCGCTCAGTCGTGTCTGACTCTTTTTGACCCCGTGGGCTGTAGCCCACCAGGCTCCTCCTTCCATGGGATTCTCCAGGCAAGAGTACTGGAGTGGGTTGCCATTTCTTTCTCCAGGGGATCCTCCTGACCCAGGGATCGAACCTGGGTCTCCCGCATTGCAGGCAGACGCTTTACCATCTGAGCTACCCCTGCTTTTTCCTCTCGCCTCTTAGGGCAACTGTGAATTCCTTTGTGTACATATTGCTCTTCCTCAGGGTCCCTTGGGCTCCTTTCTTATCTTCTCACTCTAATTATTCTTCCAGAGTGAATCTCCTCAAAGGTGGTCTCAATCCCATTTTATGAGGTTGGCTCCAGAATGTGCCCCCGTGACTTAAACCTGTATCACCACTGCCTCCCAGCCCTGTGTAGCTGGGAGTCCACGAGCTCCTCACGCTCGCGTCGTCATCTTCCGCAGCCTCCTTTTCTCCCCCTGCCCGTAGTCACGTTGTCCACGTGCCCTCCAGCGCATACCCACACGTGTGCATGCACACCCACACACACCCAGGTCTTGTTCCCCTCCCCTGTTCCCCCGCCTTAACTCAGGCCCTCCAGTGGAGTGCTGTGTCGCAGAGCGACTTCCGATGGCTCTCTCCAGGCGGCCTCGAGACAGTCTCTTCTCCACGCGCTTTGGGGAGTGCGAGGCTGGCCCTCAGTGACTGCCCACCGCCTTCAGGAACAGACCCCATTTCTTGGAGCCCTCAGCCTGGCACGCTCAGCTCTTGCCTGCTTAATGCCAGCCTCACCTGCCCCGACTCCCGCACTGCTCTCTGTCCACGGACTGCTTGAGTTCAGTCATTTTTCATGATTTCCTGCCTTGGCGTGTGCTGCTTTCGCATCTTAGACTGCCCTTCCCTGTCTGTGTAGGTAGTAACTCCTCATTCGCCCCCGTTCAGCAGAGCCTTCTCCTCCAGGAAGCCTTCCCTGAAGCCCCCTGCCACTGGCAGTATAGATTGAGGCCTTTCTCATGTGTTGCCTCAGAGCCAGGATCTGGTGTGCAGAGTGGTTTAGAGCACATTGTCTCTTACACTAGGCTGGTTTTTTAAGGCCTCTAGGCCTCACTTTCCTCCTTTAGAAAGGAGAAATAATAATACATAGTGTCTAGGGTTGTCAGGATGATCCAGCGAGAGAATTTATGCAAAGCACTAAGTGCAAAGATGCACATCTCGCAGGCACTCTGGTCCCGCAGACATACTGCGTCACAGTCCTCTTTACTCACCTGGCTCTTCCCCCTTTCCCGAATGTGACCACCCACGGACAGTGACTGCATTTGATCCTTACATCTTGGTTCCCAGCACAGATCCCGGCACATAACGGTGCTCAGTGAGTGTGTGTTGGTGGAAACTAGATTGATGAGTAGATGGGGAGGGTGACATATTCATTAATATAGGGGTCCCACAGAAAAGTCTCATTGACATTTGTGGTTCAGTTTTAAACCAGAAGTCAGCAAGCTTTTTCGGTTATGGTCCAAATGGTATTTCAGGCTTTAAGGGTCCTAGGGTCTATCACAACTACCCAGGCTGGTTGTTGGAGTGAGAGAGCAGCCCAGCCAGGCCATAAAGGGTAGGCGGACTGGGGCTGTCTTCCACTCACACTTTATTTCCCAAAGCAGGAAGCTGCAGGCCATAGTAGGCTGACCTGTTTTAAACTTCCCGGCTTATAGGAAGAGAATACTAATGTTATTAGACTTATATAACAGCAAAAATAATTTTCATATGTTTGTGAAGTAAACCAAAAAATAAATGAGTAGAATTAGTTACTGATGAGGGAGGGTGGTTACACAGCATACACTCAATTCAATAAATTCAGGAAAAAAGTATCTGTACAAAAAAGGAAGAAAAGTTTATGTTGTTTTTTTATAACTTGGAAATGATTAAAGATTGAAAAATATTTTTGCAAAATTTATCTAAGGCATAACACTAAATTACATACAGTCTAAAAACTGCCTAGTAGGGAACAAATAGAACTCCTTGATTATGCTTATATATTCAAATGCCAGGTTTTCTGATGCCTGGGAACTGTGCAAGATTCTCAATGATCACGCTGCCTGGATAGAACTGGCCAGAGCCTGTCTACACCACATGGAAGTGGAGTTTGCAATCCGTGTTTATCGGACTATTGGAAACGGTGGCATGGTGATGTCCTTGGAACAAATAAAGGTGAACAGCATCTTATGGGAATGATCAGATTAGCATTTAAATGATACTGAGTCAAGCATTTAAATTTCTGCAGTGAGTCTTACTTAGCTCAAAAACTGATAGATACTATCACTTCTTTGTAAGCACAGTCCTTAAATAAAAATTAAACCCTTGAGTTTCTTCTCATGAAAACTGTTTTTATTTATAGGGAATAGAGGACTACAATCTTCTGGCAGGACATCTTGCCATGTTCAGCAAGGACTTCAACCTAGCTCAGGACCTGTACCTGGCATCCAGCTGCCCGATTGCTGCCCTCGAAGTAAGGCAGCAGATGAGGGAACGAACGCGCAAAGAGGCTCTCACCTCTTTTAGAGTTAACATCTCTCAGCACCAGCCACCACATGCCTTCCCCCTCCTTGAACTCAGACTTCAGCTCTAAAAACCCCTGAGCACCCATTAACCTTAGAAGTATTTTCACTCTCGTTCTATGGAGCAGTGAAAGGCGTGGATGGTATTGTAACATTACCGAATAATTAGAGTCAGAGTGTATCCAAAGAAAAGAGATTCTGTAACTTACAAAACCACATAGAAATGAAAACAGCCATCATTTATTGAGGGCTTATGTGTACCAGGTACTTTTCTAAGTGTTGACATAAATATTTTAATTCATTCAACCCTCACAACAGTCTTATGAGATAATGCTATTATTTTCTCTATTTTCCAGATGGGAAACCCGAGGCGCATTTATCGTTTATTGTGTGACATTCTCGTGTGTGTGAAGAGGGTTGGGCTAAGGCTTGTGTATCACCACTGGTTTCCCAGAGGTGATTATTGCAAGGGAAGGACCAGAGCAGAAGGAAGGGCCTAGTACCACACGAGGTAGTAGAGAACTGTGGCTGTGTAGAAGGGCGCTTCAGAACGTGGACTTTCGAGTTGGGCGTGACTGGTTTCAGATCCCAGCTCCGTGTGCCCCTGGACAAGTTATTCCATGTCTCAGTGCCCTAGATCCCATTCAAAGGAGGGATAATAATATCTAGCCCATAGGGTTGCCGTAAAGATGTAAGAATGAGATTAGCTCTATGGGAACAGTGCCAGATTGACTGTAAAGACACAGATGGTGGCTGTCGTCACTAACACTCTTTCACCTCAGCCAACATTTCCACAGCCACAGAGAGAAAGCATATTTGCTATTGATTTCACAACTTCTCTTTTTCAAATTGTTCTATAGCAAGTTTCATTTTTAAATTTTAAGTGAACTGAATTTTAAGAAAAAAATTAGATGATTTTCCAATGTTATTGGCTTCCCAGGTGGCACTAGTGGTAAAAACCCACCTGCCAATACAGCAGATGAAAGAGATGTGGGTTCGATCCTTGGGTCAGGAAGATCCCCTGGAGTAGGAAATGGCAACCCACTCCAGTATTCCTGCATGGAGAATCCCATGGACAAAGGAGACTGGCAGGCTACAGTCCATGGGCTTGCAAAGAGTCAGATGTGACTGAAGCGACTTAGCACACGTGCACTCACAATATTATTTGAGATGACTGGGGACACCCTGATAAATTTTCAGGTATTGGATTGGTATGTGCCTCGCTCTTCTGCATTAGCTGTGGATACTTGTCATGTGCTCCTGGCTTTGTAAAGGATTTAAGCTGATGGCTTCACAGTGGAAAGAGGTGACTGCACCCCACTGTTCCTTTAACCTCACTTTGAAGACAGGTTAGCTAAGTTAAAATGTTAGAGGCAAAGTCCTGCTCAGCCCTGCCACACGCTGACGATGAGATTGTGTGTGCAAAACTAGCCTCTCTTTGCCTCAGTTCTGGATCCCTAAAATGGGCACACAACAGCTCATTACAAAAGGCCTAGTTGTGGAAAGTAAATAGGCTAATGTCCTAGAGAAGAAAATATCACTTGCAAAATGTTAGCCATTGTTAATTCTGTACAAAGGGTGAATAAAGTGAGGAATGAACTCCAGAAGATTAATCAGTTACTCAGTTCAGTTGCTCAGTCATGTCCAACTCTTTGTGACCCCATGAACCACAGTACGCCAGGCCTCCCTGTCCATCACCAACTCCTGGAGTCCACTCAAACTCATGCCCGTCGAGTCGGTGATTCCATCCAGCCATCTAATCCTCTGTCGTCCCCTTCTCCTCCTGCCCTCAACCTTTCACCAAATCAGGGTCTTTTCAAATGAGTCAGTTCTTCGCATGAGGTGGCCAAAGTATTGGAGTTTCAGCTTCAGCATCAGTCCTTCCAATGAGCACCCAGGACTGATCTCCTTTAGGATGGACTGGTTGGATCTCCTTGCAGTCCAGGGTACTCTCAAGAGTCTTCTCCAACACCACAGTTCAAAAGCATCAATTCTTTGGCGCTCAGCTTTCTTTATAGTCCAACTATCACATCCATACAGAACCACTGGAAAAACCATAGCCTTGACTAGATGGACCTTTGTTGGCAAAGTAATGTCTCTGCTTTTTAATATGCTATCCAGGTTGGTCATAACTTTCCTTCCAAGGAGTAAGCGTCTTTTAATTTCATGGCTGCCATCACCATCTGTAGTGATTTTGGAGCCCAGAAAAATAAAGTCTGACACTGTTTCCACTGTTTCCCCATCTGTTTGCCATGAAATGATGGGACCGGATGCCATGATCTTAGTTTTCTGAATGTTGAGCTTTAAGCCAACTTTTTCACTCTCCTCTTTCACTTTCATCAAGAGGCTTTTTAGTAGTTCTTCACTTTCTGCCATAAGGGTGGTGTCATCTGCATATCTGAGGTTACTGATATTTCTCCTGGCAATCTTGATTCCAGCTTGTGCTTCCTCCAGCCAGCGTTTCTCATGATGTACTCTGCATATAAGTTAAATAAGCAGAGTGACAGTATACAGCCTTGAGAAGATTAATGGTTTACTCTTTAATGGTTAGTTTTTTATTATTATTTATTTTAAATGAAAGATGAATATTTTAATGATAAAAGGAACAATTCACGAAGAAGATAGATATCATAAACCATTAGACACTTAACAGCAAAGAAAATACATAAAGCAAAAATCAGAAGAAATAAAAGGGAAAAGAAGCAATATATAATCATAGTGAGACATATTAACATTTCTCTGAGACTATTTTATCAGGTGCAGAAAAAAGAAAGGAGCATCTTGAATGATGTCAATAATATAACAGATTCATATTTAACTAATCTGTGTTAATCATATCCTGTGTGCTTGTGTGCTGAGTCACTTCAGTCATGTCCATCTCTCTGTGACCCACTGGACCGCTCCCGCCAGCTCCTCTGTCCATGGGATTCTCCAGGCAAGGATGCTGGAGTGGGTTGCCATCCCCTCCTGCAGGGGATCTTCCAGACCCAGGGGTCAAACCCACATCTCATCTCCTGCATCGGCAGGTGGGTTCTTTACCACTAGCGCCCCCTGGGAAGCCCTAATCACATCCTGCGCAAATATGTTTAATATTTTGTATCTCACATGTTATTGGATGTCCACAGGACATTTAGAAAAACTGGCAATTTCAGAAAGTAGAATTCTTTTTTTTGCGTGTGATTCAGTTATGCATATACACATGTTATTTCTGAAATTATTTTCCATTATAGGTTATTACATCACACTCTTCCGTGTGCTATACAGTAAACCGTTGTTGCTTGTTGCATATCTGTGTTTTTAAATTTGGAAATCTAGCATTCTGTTCATACTAAGAAAAACAAGTGGAATCAAAATGTCACTAATTTTTTAGTTAGGCAAAAATTCATAAGTTTTTAAAAATATATGTTTACAAAAGCTTTTCTACTATACTTGATAAAGATTTGAGAAAGAACATCCAAAAAAGAAAAGATGGAGAAATTGGAAAACATAAACAAAATGAAATGGGAGCACTGAATATGAAATAGAAAGAAATGATACAAACTAGATAAAAATAAAAGATCCTCATATAGTCCAGTTGTTTTTAAACATAGCTGTTCATTAGAAACTGGAGCTCTGGCCAAAAAAAGAAAAGCAATACCTGGGCATTTGTATTTGTATTTTTCAAAAAAATTCCAAGATAATTCTGATATGCATATGAATTTTAAAAAGTGATTACAGGTTTTTCTATTAAATGGTAGTTTTGGTGATACAGAATTGTGTAATTTTTCTGTTGACCAATCATAATACAGTGGTACTGAGTAATAGTTACATAATCACAATAGTAAAAAATGTTTATCAGTTTTCACAATCAATAGCCAGATAAAAAATAAAAGATAATTACAATTTCAAGCCATAATGGGAATATGGTTAACCTAACAATATAAAATAATTACATACAATTTTGGAATTGTGGAATTGTGCACCAGACACAGATAAAAGACCTCAGGAGCCAGGGAGAAATACGTTCACATTTTATTTATGTTTGCTACTATTCATCTCACGATACAGGTTCAGATTTTCTCAGAAAATAAGATCGATTCCTATAGTAAAGTATTTCTCAACTTTTTCTTTACTATCTCCCTTCTAAGAAGAAATACTAGTTTTAATTTAGTTGATTGAATTAATTTTAATTCAATTTAATTTTTTCCTATTGAGACAGATTAAATACTAAAGAGAATAAGCTTTCATTTAGGATTGAGTTTGGGAGGGCCGTGAACCACTGTGACAGCCACAGGCCCTGGCATGCACGGGCTCAGTAGCTGGAGCTCACAGCTTCCGAGCTCAGGCTCACATAATTGTGGCACACGCCGAGTTGCTCCGTGGCATGTGGGATCTTCCCGGACCACACCCATGCCCCCTGCACTGGCAGTGGTCCACTGAGCCACCAGGGAATATAATGACTTTCATTAAAGCCAGCACTGTGTGGTAACTGTGCAGAATAATTTGCTTTTTGAAATTAATATCTTTCTCTTTCTAATAGATGAGAAGGGATTTGCAGCACTGGGACAGTGCTCTACAACTGGCAAAACGTTTAGCCCCAGACCAAATACCGTTTATATCAAAAGAATATGCTATTCAGCTTGAATTCACGTAAGTCCTCATCTTTATATGTTTCAGTCAGTATCTAATTATTGAATATCTTCAGTTCTAAACTGCTATTCATTATAAGGCCATTGATTTAATAATTAAATCCATGGATTTAATAGTGGCTTCTTAGGTGGGAAAAAACCATATTAATTATACATCCAAAAATGTTTTATTCTAACTAATGATGTCTTATCCATGTATCTATCCACTCCCTTTCAGCATCAAAATCTCAGTTTGGGTCTAAGCCTTTTCATATTTAGAATTGTTTTGAATTGAGAAATATCGTTTTGAAACGCATTTGGTCAACAGCAGTTACACACAGCGTCAAGGTGACTCTGCTTTTCTTAATCTACGATCATGACCTTGGCCTCTTTGAACACTTTGAGCATTTGCAGTGTGAATTCAAGGCATGGTGAAAGATACCTGGCTTTGTTCTACAGTTCTATTTACTTCAACTTGTACTTCTGCTTCTTAAATTGAATTGCACATGGATAAAAATTCATCAGTTAATGTTGCAAATCAAGCCAGAAGCTTTTCAAGGTGAATCTGCAGTGCTTGAGTAATAAACCCTGCTGATGCATGATGAATATGCTTCACAGATCTTGCCTACCTTTGAAAATGCCATCATCTGTTCTGAGAGATTTAGAAATTTCTAGTGTTCTTAATTGCTAGACAGTCTTTAACTGTCAATAGTCTTAATTGACGGACTGTACATTTTTACTTCAGTGCTGCCTAAAAGTGTAATTTTAGAGACATTTCAGGATCCAGTTTTAAATTCACATTCAGCTATGGTTAATGTCACTAATGCAGATACCTGCAGAGACAACAAATGAATCATTCATTGACAAATATAAGTTTGCAAGTGTATGTAGTTGCAATGACAACTACATCATAACTTGGCAGTTTCTTTTAACATTTATTATAGGATATATTCCACTTTCAAAAATTATAAAATGGGAAAAACACTGCTTCTTGAACAAAGAAAATATGGTTCTAATATTAAAAATCATTTTTATGTAGTTCCATTTTATTTTCATATAGACTTTATGGTCTGAGAATACTGACAGATAATAATTGTAGAAATTACTCCATCAAAAAGTACTCTTTCATTTCTAACCAGGATACCTTATTTAAAAGTTCCCATTTTGCAAATAAAAGCTTTTTGGAGATTTTATTCTTAGTCAGTCTAAATCTAAATTTATCACATTTCTGCCCCTTAAAAAGTTCATCCAATATGTTGAAAAGACCAAATAGGAATGTCAATGCATAACACAAGAGAGGAGGCCTCAGTGCCCTGGCCCTGCATTTCTGTCCTTAGAGTGACTGGGGCTGAGAGTGAAGAGAAGAGGGTCACTGCATTGGGAGATGACCCACCCTCCCCTGGCAGAGCATGAGCACTTGAGTAAGCTCTGGAACTATCCAGGAAACTCCCGCTGTTCCTCCTTTCAGGAGAATCAAAGTCTTTGTAGCAAACCCTCAAAAACTGTCTCATCATAGTCAGGTGACCTGAGCCAGTTGAAAGTCTGATGTTGTTGATACTTTTTTAACCCTTTCTGCTCAACATGTAACTGTGAAGCCACCAGTTTCCATAGTTTTCACTGCGATTTCTATGCTGACCCCTGGGTCCTGATCTAGGTATGCCCCCCAACACCCAAATCAGGAGACTTACCCTTGTGATAATTGTAACTAATTAGGTATAGCTCATCACCATCCAGTACCCCAGTAGCTACCAGGTGCTGATTTTTTAAAAATATTTATTTATTTGGCAGCACCAGGTCTTAGTTGTGGCATGTGACCTCTTAGTTATGGCGTGTGGGATCTAGTTTCCTGACCAGGGAGGGATTGTACCCAGGACCCCTGCATTGAGAGTGTGATGTCTTAGCCACTGGGCCACCGAGGAGTCCCACCAGCTGCTGATTTTGATTCTAAGGCCCTGGACCTGTGCTCAGTTCCAATAGTCTGTTTCATTCTACATCCAAGACACTGATTAGATCAAAGAAGGACCCATCTGACATCTGTGGGAAGGATTAGCTCTCCAGTCTGACATTAGAATCATGAGCTAGATCCACATGAGAGTTCCAAAATAATTAAATAAAGTACATGGACTAAAATATCATAAAAATAAAGTGAGAGTTCCCAAGTTTCAGTTTAGCATCTCTTAATTGGGCTTGCTCAAGGAAACCTCAGGTTCCTGAAGGAGGAACCATCAGGAGACATCTCTATCTGTGTTGATGTAATTGGGTCCAAATATTGGAAATTCCTGGGCTTCCTGGGCAGCTCAGCTGGTAAAGAATCTGCCTGCAATCCAGGAGACCCCGGTTTGATTCCTGGATCAGGAAGATCTCCTGGAGAAGGGATAGGCCACCCACTCCAGTATTTGGGGCTCCCCTGGTGGCTCAGATGGTAAAGAATCTGCCTGCAGTGTGGGAGACCTGGGCTCAATCCCTGGGTTGGGAGGATCCCCTGGAGGAGGACATGGCAGCCCACTCCAGTATTCTTGCCTGGAGAATCCCCATGGACAGAGGGCCCTGGTGGGCTGCAGTCCATAGGGTTGCAAAGAGTTGGACACGACTAAGCCTAGCACGGCAGCATTAGAAATTCCCATGTAGGAACACAGCTGACTGTGAAGCTCTGGGCTGTCCAACAAATTCCTTATAACCAACAGATGAGGAAATTGAGTGAAGCTGAGGGAGGTTGACTTGTCTAAGCTGATTTTTCAGAGCTGATTAATTTATTCTGGAGGAGATGGTTTCTTAAAGGACAATGGATCTCCAGATGGATACTAAGCAATCACTGATCCTTTCTGTTCCGAGCAGTAAGAATGAACTGAGGTAATAAATATGACTTCTAGATATGCAGATCCACATTAGCATCCATCATGGGAAGAGGGAGTGGTATTATTTATATTCCCTGCTCTGTCAGTGGTAAAGAATCTGCCTGCCAATGCAGGAGATAGGAGACAAGAGTTCGATCCCTGGGTCAAAGAGAATGGCAACCCACTTTAGTATTCCTGCCTGGGAAATCCCATGGACAGAGGAGCCTGGCAGGCTACAGTCCATGGGGTTGCAGAGTCCGACATGTCTTAGTGACTAAACAAACAACATTATATCAGAATAAGAATCAGGGCCCTTAATACTGTCATCCCCAGTATTTTCCTTAATTTCTACACAGATTCTCTCAATACATATTGCACTTATAAATACTGGGTATTTGGGGGGGGGGTTGCTTTTTATGGTCTCATGATTGTCTTTAGAACCGCAAAGGAAAGGAGGAAAGGAAAGTTTGTCACACAGTTTTGTCCAACTCTTTGCGATCTCATGGACTGTAGCCCACTACATCCTCTGTCTCTGAAATTCTCCAGGCAAGAGTACTGGAGTGGGTTGCTATTCCCTTCTGCAGGGGATCTTCCCTACCCAGGGATCAAACCCAGGTCTCCTGCATTGCAGGCAGATTCTTCACCAACTGAGTAACTAGGGAAGTCCCTTAGAACCCCAAAGGAGATAATTAAACAAAAGTGACCCAAAAATTTTAATGTTGCTCCCCCAAATGCCTAGCATATTACAAAGTTAGTACCTTACACTCTTAGCATAATCTAGCTTAATACTTATATTTAAAGTAGCAGAATAATGGCCTGCACTTCAAAGAATGTATGCATAAACATTGTGTATCACATCTTTCATGTGCGTAAGCAACTCAGTGACAGATTATCTTTTAAATCTTGTATATGTAAACAAGATACTTAACTGTGTATTAAAATTCACTCTTTTTTTTTTCAGAGGTGATTATGTAAATGCTTTGACTCATTATGAGAAAGGAATAACAGGTGATAATAAGGTAACCTTGAATAAAGATAAGATATGCATAGTTATCTTCGAGTTTGTTAGGTTCTTGTAAGAAATAATCTTATTTGTATTTATTTAGTATGAAGCAGGTGAGCCTTTTTTTTTTCAGTTTATTAACAACTTTGCAAGGACATAGTTAAAACATTTTAAAACACTTTGAACTCTTAAAAACTGACATTGACAATATTTTTATCTGTCTGAAAAAGCTTTGTTTTCCATTGCACCCTAAATATGAGCTTTTTATTGAGGTTGGGAGTAAAATTTGTATCCCTTTCCACTTACAGGCTAGCTATGATTTTCATAAGGCTTTTCGTTTCACTCTTAAAATGTTTGAGTAACCGCTTTGAAAGTGAATTCCCAGTCCATAAAGGTTTTCCTGCCATTTTATTCCTCATGCTGTATCTTTTATGATTAACCTGGTAAGCATATACTTTACCCACCATTCCAGTCCGTTCATTCTCTTGTCCCAGACCATCCCAGAATTTAACTCAAGAAGCTAAATTTTACAATAAAAATTTATATTTTTGTTAGGTGATGTCAAGATTGAAAATCTTTTTATTTTATGTTTTATACCTAGCCTTTTATTACAAAAGTGATAACAATGTCATTATAGTCAATTTGAAAAACCACCAAAGGCTGTTAACCTTACAAAGTGAGAGTTCAACATTCTCTCCTCCAAACACACTCCTTAATGGTGACTTCTGGTCACGATCTTATATATTTCCATCCAGAATCTCTTCTAAGCATATAGATGTGTATACAATAGGGATTTTTACTAAAAATGAAATCATTCACTTCCATTCTCTCAGCGAAGATCAACTGAGAATCCGTCCTGTGAAAGAAAAATAGCATTTCACCTTATGGTCTTTCCAAGTCAATACATATGAACATTTTAATTTTTTAAGAGCTTCTAAACTTTCATTGTTTGGATGTATCATTTTTTTTTCATCCACTCCCTGTTGAATTCAAATAACTATAGTTATTTGGGATTTTGTTTCTGTCAGATACACCGTGGTGAATATTCTGCCTGGTATTAATATATGCATCTTAGCGACTTGAGATAGTATTTCTGCAGGTTATATTCTTACAAGCGGGGTTTCTACGTCATAAAATGTGCACTTTCAGTTCTTTAAACTGCTCGAGTGCTCTCCAAAAGAACTTGTGGTGGTTCATCCAGCTGTCTATGAAAGTGCTCATTTCCCCCACATTCTCTACGCTACCAATCTCTACCAATTTGATCAGCATTTAAAAAAAAGGGTATTTAATTTTATTTTTTGTGTGTTTGATTATTAGTGAAGACAAGTGTGTTTTATTTATTTATTGGCCAACTGTATGTTTTTTATTTTATTTTATTTATTTTATTTTAATTGTATGTTTTTTAAATTAATATGGATTGCCTAATTATATCCTTTGCTCATTTATCTCTTGGAGTTTTGACAATTTGTTTGGCTGCATCTGTTTTAGTTCATTCTTAACTGTTATTAAATACAGTCACCACTAGCCACATGGGGCCATTTAAGTTATTTAAAATTAAATAAAATATAAAACTCAGATCCTCTGTCACAAATAAGTAAAGGTTTTATGTTTCATCATGCCTAGTAGGGAAATCTTTAATTTGATAAATGTTTTTTCTCTTAATTTTATTTGTAGCATAGCTATGTCCCCAGTATATTTCCTCTCACACAAAATTTTATACCAAGAAGACATACAAAAATATGCAAGGTATTATGACAAAGGTGCAGTAAAAATTTGACCTTGAGCAGAAAAGATCTAGACTTCTAAAGAAAAGAATGTGACTTTGTAACAGATGATTTAAAAAAAAAAAATTCAGAATTATTTCAGAGTCTTGAGATGTGCCAGCAAAGACTATTGAAAGTAAACCATAACCTTTAGGCTCATTTTAGATTTAAATTGTTTGGCTGAAATACATCATTTTTACAAATGAACTTACTTAGAAGACAGAAAGAGACTCACAGAGAATGCACTTGCGGTTGCCAGGGGAAAGACTGGGGGGACGGGGTGGTTAGGGAGTTGGGGACAGACATGTGCACCCTGCTATACTTAAAATGGATAACTGGCAAGAATCTCCTGTAGAGCTTGTGGAACTCTGTGTTATGGGGCAGCCTGGATGGGAGGGGAGTTTGGGGGAGAACGGATACACATACATGTATGGCTGAGTCTCTTTGTTGTTCTCCTGAAAGTATCACAACATTGTTAATCGGCTGTATCCCAGTACAAAATAAAAAGCTTTTAAGAAATAAAATGCATCATTTTAAGTTAGGGTTTGATTTGTTAGTTATCTGCCTTCTAATTTCAGGAACACGATGAGGTGTGCCTGGCTGGCGTGGCCCAGATGTCCATAAGAATGGGAGACATCCGCCGAGGGGTTAACCAAGCCCTCAAGCACCCCAGCAGGGTCCTTAAAAGAGACTGCGGAGCCATCCTGGAGAATATGAAGGTAGAGTATCCTGTGAATAAATATTTATGAGGTCTCATACACAATAAAACTAGTATGTTGATAATCTCATACTATTTTAGCAATTTTCAGAAGCAGCTCAACTATATGAGAAAGGTCTCTACTATGACAAAGCAGCCTCTGTTTACATCCGCTGTAAGAACTGGTAAGAATCTGCTGTAAGATGTGTTCTGGGCAGGTGTGGAAACGAGTGTGTGCAGATAAACGAGTGTGTGCAGATGCCCTCCCCTCTGGGTTTCTTGCTGCTCCTCCCAGCTATGAAGCTGTTGCCTCTGTCTGGGCCTTCCCTCCATCGCCTGTTTTTCTTTATAGATTAGTTCATCTTAATAGTTCTTTTCCCAAAGAACGGCACATTTTCTTGGTTTAATATGGGGAAATAACCTGATCAGATAAATTACTAGAATAAAAAAGCCCTGTTATCCACAAAGAGTCAATGAACTCGCCTTCATTTTCCCACAGAGGATGGGCTGGCGGCGTCGGGGTCCCGAGAAAAAGCAATTAAATCTTTTAACTGTAGGGGCCAAGATTTTTTTAAGATCACGATAACTGTTTCTTGAATCCTAAAGATTAATATCTGACTGTAGGAAGCTACTTTTGGAGCAAATGTAGCGCTGACATTATTCTCCTAAACCTCCTGTTTCTAGGGCAAAAGTTGGTGAGCTTCTGCCTCATGTTTCTTCTCCAAAGATTCACTTGCAGTATGCCAAAGCTAAAGAAGCAGATGGAAGGTTTGTACAATGTCTCAATTTTACACAAATCTAAAAGGATGTTTCTTAAAGTAATTGTTGATATCTGCAACCTTCTAAGAAAGGCAAAAACAGAAAACATCTTTACCCTCACCTGGCTTGAAGTGCCAGGCTATCAAGTTTTCCCCATACTTTATATAGTTCATCCAGTCCTTCATGTATTTATATGTGGACTACAATCTCATTTTTACTTGAAGGTGAAATACTAGAAGTTGAAATTTTGATATAATTATGGCATGAAAATGAAATTAGGCAATAGTCATTTTATTAAGGAGGATAACTTACAGAGGCAAAGAAAAGTGAAGAAACATGAATTTCATGGCTGCTCTGTTTAAGCGGAAAAACAGTATTACAGTATAACAATGTATTGTTGGTACCTTAAATAGACAAAGATTTTCTGAAACTTAATATAAGAAACTCAAATGCACTGGGAGGAAATGGGCTAAGACAAGAAGGAGTGCCAGAGGAGTAAATACAGTTATGAAATTATATTTTATACAAATATGAAAATGTTCCATCTCACTAATGGTAATTAAATTAAAGCAACAGCATATCATTTTAACTTACATTGGGAAAAGATTTATTTTAAACTAATAACCATATTGTCAAAAAGCACTTGTTATGCATGACTAATGGGACTGTCAATTTTTAAAGTCTTTAGAAGGTTATTTAGCAATATGTATTAAGAGATTTTTAAAGGTTACTTCCTTCTACTTTTAGAAAAGTAACCTTAAGAAAGAGATACACACTAAATGTCTTGTTAAAATGAAAAGAGCTGGAGAGCTCATGGAGCCTAAACAGAAGTCTTGAGCTCCATCTAGAGGTCAATACACAATGATTTTATAGATTACTGTTAAGTTGTATCTATAATTGTGAAAAATTCCTGATTTCGGTTCGCTAAAATAAGCCTGTATTACTGTTATAATCTTTCCACTTTAACAAAACAATAAAATCTAAAAAATTGTATATATATGATTCAGATGAGAAAACATAGTTCATTATTGGTATTTTACTGTTAGTTTATCAAACCTCTAAAAACAGCATATTTTAGTGAAATGGTTCATGGTATTCTTTCTGATAAAAAAACAAAGAAGAACAAGAAAAGAGCAACCACCATCAATTAAAAAAAAAAAAATCCCAAACATTTATTGACATTTTTCTCCCAAATATGACAGGGTTGAGAAAGTTTGTTTGAACTAAGCATCTCTTGTAGATACAAAGAAGCTGTTGTGGCTTATGAGAATGCAAAGCAGTGGAACAGTGCGATCCGCATCTACCTAGACCACCTCAACAACCCAGAAAAGGCTGTCAGTATTGTCAGAGAGACCCAGTCCCTGGATGGAGCCAAGATGGTAGCCAGGTGATGTAACGCGTTACCTGTGGACTTGCAAAAACTAGCCTTTAAAGAGAGCCCCCATACCCCTTGTCAAATAAATCGTTTCAAATGGAATATTTCTTTCTTTTCAAAATTATATCTAAGTGTTTAAATTCAAAGGCTGTTTGTTATGGTCAACATAAAAGAGTATGTTTACTAAATATAAACATATGGTACAGAACTGCAGTTTACCCAATATGTTTTTGCTTTGGAATAGTTTCTCTGGCTTGAAAAAGATTTTACTTTGTGAATGACAGACTTCTTTTAAATGAGTCAAGCTAATTACAGTGCACTCTGCTTTAGGTTTTTTCTGCAGCTCAGTGACTACGGGTCGGCCATCCAGTTTCTTGTCATGTCCAAATGTAATAATGAAGCTTTCACCCTGGCTCAGCAACACAACAAAATGGAAATCTATGCAGACATTATTGGTAAATATCATTGTTTTCCCCGGTTTCTCTTAAAGATTTTATCTGGTCTAATAATCGGATTGGCTACGTCCACAAGCATATGCACACACACCATTTGTACACAGGCGCACACACCATTCCATTTGTACACAGACACACATACAACTATATGTTACTCGTTAGGTTTCAAGATCCCTCCTGTCACCTTCAAGGTGAGATGGAATCGTAAGACCACTTTGAAAAAGTAAGGTGTTTAGGTGACTTCCACAGGAGGCCAGGTTTCTCTGATTCTCCTATCAGCCAGTGGTAAAGGAAGGTTCCAAGACGAAAGTAATAGGAAATGCAGAATGACTTTTGAAAAAGTAATTGTGTTCATAAAATCTAAAAATTGAGTTGTAAATTAAGAACATAGGATGTGGTTTTTAAAGATTGTGAAAGTCCAAAAGAAAATTTTATATTCTGAGAATACCAGCTTATAGATTTTCTTCCCCTGTTTGTAATTATTCTTAGAACTTAAATAACTTCCAGATTTTTCACTTCATGGGCCATATATAACCTTATTTGTGGTGTGATTTTTCTCTTTTTTTATTGTGGTAAAATACACAAAACATAAATGTACCATTTTAATAATTTTTAAGTGCACAGTTTGGTTGCATGAAGTACATTCACATTGTTGTACAACCGTCACCACATCTGTCTCCAGAACTTGTTCACCATCCTAAACTCTACCCATTAAATAATGGCTCCCATTCACCCCCACCTCCCAGCCTGCTAACACTGTTCTACTCTCAGTCTCTGTGAATTTGATGATTCGTGGTACCTTATATAAGTGGAATTATAATATTTGTCCTTTTCTGTTATTTCATGTTTTAAAATTCAAAAAATGAAAAAAGAAATAAAATAAAATTTAAAAAATGACCGTAAGAAATGATTGTGGGATTCATAAGAAAATTTTTGTTTCAGTCTTCAAGGGAAATAATAGGTAAAAGCATCTTGTAATATCTTCGGAAGTCATTCAGATAATTGGAAATACAAAGAGTTAAAGAAAAAAAGAAAGTACAGATAAAAGTCACATTATAATTATTAATATTTAACATGGCCGATGACATTTCTGTCCTAACATTGCAAGTCATCATTGCACTAAAGCATTTTAAGTTTTTCTAATTTCATGAGGATGTGGCTTATCCGATACACACACACAAATTCACAGGCTCTCCAATCCCCAAACATAACACACACTTTGCTTTATCTTTCTTTACTCTCTTCTTTTATAAACTCTAAATCCGCCTTGGTCTGGAGATACAGGGCTGTTCATACTCTGGTGCCCTGTTGAGCCTTCAACTCCCGTGAGTAAATGTAAAATGAATATAAACAATGAATTGGAATTCCAGCAGCTTTGGGGTCTTCTGTGCTTAATATGTTTAAACCTCAAACGAAGAGAACAACAGTAAAAAAGAAAAAACAGTAATTATCTTTAATAGCATCTATTATCCACTTGAGTATCATCTTCCCTGTCTGACAAATACACACAAACTATTGTTTAAACCAGGCATTGGAGAAGCTGAGAAAGGAGATGGATTGCATGTGCATTATGGTTAACTTGGCTCCCAATTGTTTTGAAACCCTAGGGAAATCCTAGATTGTTCCTGTTATTTTAGGAAATGAGATTGAAACTTTAAAAGAAAGGTAAAAGTCCCTAAGGATAGTGTCAAACTATAACCTAGCTTCTCACGACACCTCATAGCTTCCTCTGCTGATTGCTGTTTAGAGAGAAAATAAGGTGGAACAGTTGAGGTGGATCTGTGAGGTTATTCCCGTGAATGTGTTTTGTGATGAAAAAGACACTGATAATAATATTTGCTGTTAAAGGATTTTAATTGCCTCTTTTTAGATCACCTGTTTTTATATCTTGTTTTTGAATTAGCAATAAGAAGTAAACAGGTTATGCTCAGATATTTTACTCAATGAATTTCTGATTTCTGTTGTAGGTTCTGAAGACACCACTAATGAGGACTATCAAAGCATAGCCTTATATTTTGAAGGAGAGAAAAGACATTTTCAGGCTGGAAAATTCTTCTTGCTGTGTGGCCAGTATTCACGAGTGAGTGTTTGCCAAGAAAACATACTTTGGACTCCACAGGAATGATTAGGAGAAATATGTTAAAATATATTATGCTCCCAGACACCCAGATTTGAAACCTGAAAGTCAACCTGGAAACCTTCCCCTCTCTCCCACACCCGGTCACCTCTTTCACAGCTGCCTTCATAACCTCCCTCACAGCGCTCTCTTTTGTTCTTACCACCATCCACATAATCCAGACCCAGGTCACGTCTCCTGTTTTCCTTGTTTGTACCTTCTCTCTCTATAAATCACTCTTCATTTTGTTCCCCAAATGGCTCTGACTTTGACTGCCAAGGAGCCCCTAAAGCAGAGGGCCGTGTGCAAGTGAAGCTGCGGAGCAGGGCTGGCATTCGGCCGGTGAAGGGCAAGGCCTGCCGGACGGCGCCTCGTAGGACGGAAGAGGCTGCTACTCACCCTCAGAAATGTGTTGCCATGTAGGTGTTTGGGCCTACTAGTTTCAGGTCATAGGATTTTTCATAAACATAAGTCTGGGTCAGTGTTAAAATACAGGCCCAGATATTTGTATAACATCTCTCTGACCAAAGAAACACGTCTGTGTGTGAACTTGGCCTTCAGGCCACCAAGTTGCTGTTCTGGCCCTTTAGTCCTTGAGTCTAAGTTCCTTCGCTGGATTTTCCGCCATGGATCAACCAGCCTGAACCTCGCAGAGTGGCATCTAGCGTTTTCCAGTGAAGAGTCCTACTCTCCCACTAGCCTTTCCCATCCTTGTTCTCCACTGGGCTCCTCTCTGCCCTCTTCCCCAGCTACCACAGACCTGTTCATCTTCAAGTCCTTTTCCTCTGATACCTTCAAGAACATCGTTTCTACCTCATACCAGCTATAAAACCAACTGGCAGTACTGTTCATTTGTCAATTTAGTACTGACTTGCACACACTGCTCTATTTAAAAATAGATAACCAACAAGGACATACTGTGTATAAATAAATCGGAAAGAAAATACTGCCCATTTGTCTCTGAAACCTTTATAGCCATAAATGTCGTCATAGTTGTGGTATGGTGTTTAGGAATTAGACAACCGTGGTTTTAAAATAATTGGTTTTGGGGATTTCCCTGGTGATCCAGTGGTTAAGACTTCACCTTCCATTGCAGGGGGTGTGAGTTGGATCCCTGATCAAGGAGCCAAGATCCCACATACCCTGTGGCCAAAATCCAAAACATGGGGGGGAAAAAGAGAAACAGAAAGAGTGTTGTAACAAATTCAGTGAAGACTTTAAAAATGGTCCACATAAAAAAAAACCCACAAAACTTTTAAAAAAAATTGGCTCTTTGTATTACCATCACATCACGTGGATCACCCCAGTTAGACTGTACATGATACAAAAAGACAAGCTGCAGAATACCCTCAACTGGTATCTTCCTTAGCGTCGAGCACAGCCTTATATTCAGAGCAGCAGGTTGTCAGTAAATGATTTGTTGAATGAATCAATGAAAATTAATTGCATCTTCCTATCTAAAGAGGGCACATTTTTCATTCTTACTTCATGCAAAACCAGAACTAGATTCTTCAGACTGGATCCTTCTACTTTTTAAACTACACTCAGCCTTTTAAGTATGTGTTATATGACCCAGCATGGTGCAAGCTCCTGGTTGAGATGGAGATACTTTCACAAACTGCAATTACTATGTGTGTGTGAAAGTTTTGTGTTTTCCGTTGTGAAAGCAGTCTGAAATTTTTTAATTGTTATACAATTCTCCTTTCAGGCACTTAAACACTTCCTGAAATGTCCAAGTTCAGAAGATAATGCAGCAATAGAAATGGCCATTGAAACTGTAAGTATAAACCCTGTAATGAAATTTTCAAGAATGCTAACTTTTTTAAAACTTTTTGAAGAAATTTCCAAACATTTACAAATGTAGACCTAACAGTATAACAAACTCCCAGGTACCCATCATCTCATTTCAACAGCTAACACATGGCCCATCATATTTTATTCCTACCCCCACCCTCTTTCCCTGTATTATTTTAAAGCAAATCACAAATATCACAAAAATCACAAATACCATTTCATTTGTGATTACAAAAATGATCTCTGAAAGATAAAAACATTCGGATTTTCTTTTAGATGTAATTTGCATCCAGTAAAATGCACAGATCTTAAATATACAATTCAGTTAGTTTTTTCAAATATATACCCCTGTGTAGCCCCCACCTAGCTCAAGCTCCCCGGAAGGCCCACTCATGCTGCCTCCCAGTCAGCTCTCCCCAACAAGAAAGAAAAGAAATGTTAGTCGATCAGTCGTGTCCGACTCTTTGCGACCCCATGGACTGCAGCCCGCCAGACTCCTCTTGTCCATGGGATTCTCCAGGCAAGAACACTGGAGTGGGTTGCCATTCCCTTCTCCAGGGGATCTTCCAGACCCAGGGATCGAACCTGAGTCTCCCACATTGCAGGCAGATTCTTTACTGTCTGAGCCAGCTGGGACATCCTTGCCTCCCAACAGCGGTCAGACTTCCGTTCTTATAGATTAGTTTTACATGTGTGTGAATCTCATGTAAATAAAATCATGCATACAATCTTTTTTTTTGGCTGCTCCGTGTCTTCAGCACTGCGTGGGCTTTTTGCTGGTTGCAATGAGTGGGAGCTGCCCCGTAGCTGTGGTCCGCGGGCTTCTCATCGCAGTGGCTGCCTTTGTTGCACAGCACAGTCCCTGGGGCATGCGGGCTTCAGCCGTCAGGCTCCTGGGCTCTAGGAGGGCACAGGCTCAGTAGCTGCGGCTCACGGCCTTAGTTGCTCGCTGCACGCGGGATCTCTCCAGACTGGAGATCAAACCCGTGTCTCCTCGTTGGCAGGCAGATTCTTCACTGCTGAGCCATCAGAGAAGCCCATATGTTTTCTTTTGTATCCAGTTTCTTTTAGTCAATAGTAAGTCTACAGAGACAGCTGTGTTATCACACACGTCAAAGGTTCATTCCTACTCCTTGCTGTGCAGTAGTCCACCCTGTGACTATCACCGTTTCTTTACCCACTATTCTATTAATGGACATTTAGGTTGTCTCAGTTTGGGCATATTATGAATTAAGTTGCCATAATGCTGTTCATATCCTTGTGTGGACATAAGCACTCAGTTTTATTGGGTATGTATCCAGGAGTAGAATTATTAGCTTACAGAATACATATATATATATATATCTTCAGCAATAGTTGTAGTTCAGTTGCCCAGTTGTGACTGACTCTTTGTGACCCTATGGACTGCAGCACGCCAGGCTTCCCTGTCTTTCACTATGTCCTGGAGTTTGCTCAAACTTATGTCCATTGAGTCAGTGATGCCATCCAACCATCTCATCCTCTGTCTCCCCCTTCTCCTGCCCTCAGTCTTTCCCAGAATCAGGGTCTTCTCCAGTAAGACAGCTCTTCACATCAGGTGGCCAGAATATTGGAGCTTCAGCATTAGGCCTTACAATGACCACTCAGGGCTGATTTCCTTTAGGATGGTCTGGTTGGATCTCCTTGCTATCCAAGGGACTTACAAGAGCCTTTTCCAACACCACAGTTCAGATTCTTTGGCCCTCAGCCTTCTTTATAGTCCCACTCTCACAGCTGTGCATGACTGATGGAAAAACCACAGCTTTGACTGTACAGACCTTTGTCACCAAAGTGATGTCTCTGCTTTTTAATACACTGTCTAGGTTTGTCACAGCCTTTCTTCCAAGGAGCAAGTGTCTTTTAATTTCACGGCTGCAGCCAGCAATAGTAGGTACTGCCCAACATTTTTTCACGCTAGTTGTACCAGTTTCACTCTACAACGATGCAAAAGAATGTAGTTGCTCCTCATCTTCACCAACTGATCTGTTTCATTGTTACTATGCAGATAGATAAGTAGTGGTATCTCATTATGGTCTTAATTTCATTTTTCTAAAGAATAATCATATTGAGCATTTTTTCAAGTTTGTTGGCTATTTGAATGTCTTATCTTAAAAAGTTCTATTCAGATCTTTTTTTCTAATTTTTAATGGTATCATCTCATTCTCACTGGTTTGTATGATTGTATTATATATTTTGGATACTAATCTTTTCATCAGATAGATGCATTGTTGTAACATATATTGATATATTATTCCTCTTAAGGGCAGAATAATGTCTCTCTGAATGCTGTATACCTTGTCTTTATTCGCCAGTGGTTACACGTTTGGGTTGCTTCCTCTCAGAGGCTATTATGAATAATGCTGCTGTGACCATTTGTGTATAAGATTTTATGTGGACGCATGTTCTCGTTTCTCTTGGGAATACACCTAGTAATAGAATTGCTAGGCCATACGTTAAGTGTACATTTAACATTTTAAGGAACTGCCAACTATTTCCCAAAGCAGCTGCGCCATTTTACATCCCAGCAACAGTGTATTAGCGTTCCAGTTTCTCCAACAATAATTTCTTGATATTATCAAACATCTAGTTAGAGTTCAAATTTCCCCAATGTTGCCTGAGTGCCTTTCAGTTGGTTATTTCACATCATATCCAAACAAGGTCCTTGCATTGTACTTAGTTCACATGGGACTTAAATCTCTTCTGTCAAAAGATTGTTCTTCCCCCATCTCCCTTTCTCCCTCCTTCTGACTCCTTTTCTCTTTTCTTCCTCCTCCTCCTCCTCCCTTCTGCTTCCCCCCCGCCCACCCCCTTATCACTTATTTATTAAGAAAATGGGTTATTTGTGCTAAGGAATATTCCTGACATTTAGATTTAGCTGACTGCATCCTTGTAGTATAATTTGTTTCTCTACCTCCTGCACCTCCAGCTAACTAGGTATTTAATCTAGGTATTTCATTAGATATAGGTTTGATTTTTTTTGGAAACACTACTTCATAGATGATGCCATGGACTTCTTTTTTTAAAGAAGTATCTATTTGTGTATGTGGGTACACCAGGTCCTAGTTGTGGCACGCAAACTCTTCGTTGTGGCCTGTGGGATGTAGCTCCCTGACCAGGAATCCAGCCTGGGTCCCCTGCATTGGGAGCCTGGATTCTTAGCTCCTGGACCAACAGGGAAGTCCCAACGCCATGTACTTGTGCCATCACATTGGCAGACCCAGGCCTTAGTTCCGGCTGCCCTAACAAAACACCACAGACCAAGTGGCTTAAGCAACAGACATTTCTCTCTCACTCAGTCCTGGAGGCTGATAAGCCTAAGATCAAGGGCCCTGCTAATTTGATTCCTGGTGAAGGCTCTCTTCCTGGCTTGCAGACTCCAAAAAGAATCTTAGATATCCCTGGAGATGGTCCAACCTAATCTCCATTTACTAACAAGGAAACCAAGGTCCCAGAAGATGATAAAACCAACCTAAAGACAGAGGAATGGAGCTGAGGCCAAAACCCAAGTCTTCTTTCCAACCGGACTGCCTGATCACAGTCCTCCAGGCCAGTGCTCTGTGCTCCAGCCCAGCTGGCCTCTCACCCGAGTGGCTGAGGGCTCCCACCCCTTTGTTCCTGCTCCTGCTGTTACCCACACCTGGGACACACTCCTCCCTGCAACCTTGCCCCCACCCGACAGGCAGGACCCACTTCACGTGCCACTTCCTGCAAAAGTTTTCCTGAACTGTCCTCTGGATGTAAATTAAGCCTCCTTAGAATCCTGTGACTACTTTGAACCTCACTTACTGCTACAGTTAACCCCCTTCAAATGAATAGTCCCTCTAGGCCAAAGGCCCGTCTCTTTGTAGAGTGCTTAGCACATTGTTAACACTCAATAAATATTCACAGGAATGAGCACATATTGGCCCCAGTTCTGAAAGTACTGTGTAGCTGATGTTAGTCTCCTTCCCATCCCTCTTCTCCTTTCCACCTTGAGAACCCTCCCCTGAAAAAAGAATTACCTTTACTCATGACATGCATTCTCTCACAACCTGTGTGTTTGTATCTGCTGATTCTCAACCAGAAGGCACAGCCCTTAATCCTTTGAGAATATCTTTGAAATGTTCATAGTTCACCCCCACACCCTCCACCCCTCAAAGTTCTGAAATACCTTCTTGGTGTTTGTGTTGGTGGAGGGGGGGTGTGATGGACCCCTGGCTGGGAGTCATCACCAGCATGAACCCACAGTACAGATGGGGAAGATGGGACTGAACGGCACCCGTTAGCCTTGTTGGGGGCCTGCTTACCTCTTTGCAGTCAGGTTTTGCCTTCACCAATCATGACCTTCTCTGAAGGGTCGCCACTGATCTCTTTCTTGCTAAACAGAGACGTCTCCTCCCAGCCTGCACCCTACTCCGTGTTATGGTAGCATCTTTTACAGCATATCTTTCTTGAACGTTCTCACTCCCTTAGAACACTGCCTCTCCTGGTTCTCCAGTTCCCCTCAGATGGGCCTTCTCAGCCTTCTTCTCTGGCACTGCGGCCCTTCACTGGGCGCAGCCTCAGCACTGTCTCCATCCTTCCTTTAATTTCATTCTGAGTGGCTACATCTCTTCTCTCCTGCCTCCCCTGTCCATTTATCCTAGTGTTTGGGATGTGCTCAGCTCTCTGAAATTCAAACTTAACTAGGGAGCACTGTTGTTGTTGTTGTTTGCTCTCTCTGGCAACACTACCTGGCACTTGATTACTTGTGTATTAACATATTTAATCCTTACAACAATTCTGTGAGTTAGGTATTATCTTGATCTCCTTTGCGGTCCCAAGAGTGACCTGCTCTGGATCTCAGAGGTGACCTTTTGACCTCAGGCAGACTGCCTCCGAAGCCCTCGGCTTTAACTCTCTTCGTACAGGTTTATTCACCCAGAGCCACGCACGAAAGCCTTGAAGCTGACGCGCTCTACCTTTCCATCCTTCCCTGCAGCCGTGGGCAGAGCAGAGACGGCAGATTGGCCAGAGCTTAGCTTCCTTGCAGTGAGGACCACAGGCAGCCGCCACCCCCACCACGGGTTCCCGAAGGTTCCTGAGGACCCCTTCTGTGCTCACGTCTCCCTCTGCTGCGGAGAGCTTCTGAACTTCTCCTTACCCTTTCCCTGAGCTGGGCCTCGAGTCGCTCTGTCCCCAGTGAGCTTTCTTCCTTTTCCAGTCGCTTCTCTCCCCACATCACTGCTGTGGCAGGAGGGCAGGGCTCCTTCCTGCTCCTTGGCTGAGCTCCAGTTGGGCTCTTGGCTCACCTTTTTTTTTTTTTTTAATAGACGCAAGACTCTTAAGCCTCCAGATCTTGTCAATAATTATTCCTACTAACTAAAACGAATATATTTCCATTCTCCAGTTTGGTAAATAATTTTCTTGATCAACACTACCCCACCTAGCAGTGATTTAACTCTGAGCTTTGTGGAGCGGACTCTGAGGTCTGGATCTCCAGAACTCCACCCCACACCTCCAGCTGCCCGCCCACTTCTGGGGTCCCCTGGCCATATTTCATTTCTACTATAGATTACCAGTAACCACATGCAAGCGCGTGTCTTCAGGGAGCTGCTGGAGGCGAGGCACTCAGGGGTGCATAGTGGTGGATGGCCCAGTTCCTGTGCTCAGGATGGCTTCCTCTCCACGTCATGATCACTCATCGTAAGAAAGTCTTTATTGAGACACCCAAGGAGTACATCTCTCTGTGTGTAAAAATACTCCTGCAGTATTTTGATACAGCAACTTAGAAAAGCTAGAGCTTCTAAGGATGGATTTTTATTCATGGAAACTTTACAAATGAATGACAGGCTTCCCAGGTGGTGCTAGTGATAAAGAACCTGCTTGTCAATGTAGGTAGACATGAAGAGACATGGGTTCCATCCCTGGGCTGGGAAGATCCCTGGAAGAGGGCACGGCAGCCCACTCCAGTGTTCTTGCCTGGAGAATCCCTTGGACAGAGAAGCCTGGCGGGCTGCAGTCCATGGGGTCACAAAGAATCGGCCACGACTGAAGCGACTTAGCACGGACCCACAAATGAATGAAGACAGAGACCCTGAGCTTACATCATGGTTCAGGCAACTGACTATGGGTGTTTTTACACCCTTTTTGAATTCTGTCTCCTCAGCAGAAGACCTTTTGTCCTTCCTCTCCATTCCCTTCCTAGGTTTAAGATGCTGAACTTACTGTTTCTTTTCCTAAACAGGTTGGTCAGGCCAAAGATGAACTGCTAACCAGTCAACTGATAGACCACCTGATGGGCGAGAGTGATGGCGTGCCCAAGGTACTAAAGTGTTTTCTCCACTGGGATTCTTAAGCATCTTAGTTGTGCTTTTACTTTTATCTGCCCCGTTTTGACACCTGGCAGACTACAGCCACGGGGTCGTAAATGAGTCAGACACAACTGAAGCTACTTAGCACACATGCCTGCACTGTTTTTATCTATTACTGCTTTTGCATCATAGATGTACAGACTTTCTCTCTGGATGCAGCCTTAGGTCATCTAGACAGATCCTGCATTTTAGATACTGTGTGCATTCACTCTTGGAAATGGGTATGAACTGTGTATCTGCTGACACATAGATTATTTTCAACAGTAAATACTCTGGTACTACATGATCCCAAGTCGGTTGAGTCCATGGATATGGAGGAACTGCAGATACAGAAGGCTGACTATAAACGACATGCGAATTTTCAGCTCTGTGGCAGTCAGCACCCTGAACCCCATTGTTGTTCAGGGGGTCAACTGTAACTGATTTGGATACAAGGTGCTGAAAGTCATACCTGGAGAGGATTGGCCATCCTGATCCCCGAGTCCATTTCCTGTGTTTTATAGACACTGAGACCCAGGGAGGCTCGGAGAACCTGCCAAAGGGCACACAGGTCCTTAAACTTGCCAAACCACCTCACCTTACATCCACTTATTCTAATGATCAGCAAACCAGTATCAAGTATGTGAAATTGTTTAGAGTTAAAATAGGAGTGGAAAATGGGCTCAGAAAAATTTTATAGGTGTAAAAATTTTTGAAATTTTGTGAAGTTGGTACATTGTCTCAGCACACTTTTCCCACTGAAGCACATGAGAGGGAACTCTGTGGACTAGGGTTAGGAGCACAGACTCTGACGCTGGTTCAGATCCTGGCTCGGGAGAGGTGTTTTGTTTCAGTTCATAATCACACCTTCCTCCCAGGGAGGGTATGAGCATTTAATAGTGTTGTTATTTCCCAAGTACTTAGAATACTGCCTGGCACATATTAAACTCTGAATAAATACTTGGTAAATAATTATTTGTTGACTCTCTTTAAAAAAATGGCCTCTTAACACAAGCTAAATTATTTTGGGGGGTTTTTTGGCCACACTGTGCGGCATGCAGAATCTCAGTTCCCAACCAGGAATGGAACCCATGCCCCCCCACAGTGGAAGTATGGAGTCTTAACTGCTGGACCGCCAGGGAAGGCCCTCTTTATTGGATTTTTAAAAAACAATTTTAACGCTCAGTTACTATAAAGTGAAGGGCTTCCCTGGTAGCTCAGTCAGTAAAGAATCTGCTGCACAGCAGGAAACCCAGGTTCGATCCCTGGGTCAGGAAGATCTCCTGGAGAAGAGAATGGCAACCCACTCCAGGATTTTTGCCTGGAAAATCCCATGGACAGAGGAGTCTGGTGGGCTGTAGTCCATGGGGTCACAAAGAGTCGGGCACAACTGAGTGACAACGTTCACTGAACTAGAAAGTAAATGTGATTCTAAATGAAAATGCAGAATTTTAGGTGTTTTCACCCACAGCTAATGCAGAATGTGATGTTTCTCTAACGGCTTGTATGTCAGGATGCCAAGTACCTATTCCGCTTGTACATGGCCCTGAAGCAGTACCGAGAAGCCGCCCGCACTGCCATCATCATCGCCAGGGAAGAGCAGTCTGCAGGTGGGTTCCCAACAGCCATGGTTTACTCCCCAAACAAGTAGTAGATGCATGCTCCAGGAAACATGCAATTAAATAAATCATTCTAACTTAATAAGATGATTGACAAAACCCACCTGTTAAATGGTAGTCCACAGAAAGTCCTCAGATCTCATCCTTTGTAGTAATGTCATTTTACCCCCTCTTTTCAAGGAAACTATCGGAATGCACATGACGTTCTCTTCAGCATGTATGCAGAACTTAAATCTCAGAAGATCAAGATTCCCTCTGAGATGGCCACCAACCTCATGATTCTGCACAGTTACATACTAGTGAGGGTGAGGCCTTTGGGTGACGTGGGACATAAGCTGGGCACCTCTCCACTGGATTGGAGCCATCTCCCAGATGTCTGTATTGTTAACTGAAGACGCAAGATACAGGATAATTATATAATATGCTGCCTTTTGTGTACAAAAAGGAGAAAAAAATATATATATATTCATCCCATGTAAAATTAGAAATGCATTTAAAAAAAAAATTAGGGGGACTTCCCTGGTGGTCTAGTGGCTGGGACTCTGCACTCTCAGTGTGGGGAGCCCGGGTTCATTCCCCAGTCAGGGAACTAGATCCCATATGCTGCAACTAAGAGTTCCCACAACTAAGACCTGCATAGCCAAATAAATAAAGAAATAAAAATTTGGAAAATCCTAAAGGGATCAAGGCAGAGGCTCAGAGTAGCACTGAACCCAGTCGAGGGAGCAGAGGGAAAACAGGTCCCTCCATATAGAATATCTTTTAGCTGCTTCTTCAAAATGAAGACAATATAAAATGTGTTACTTGGTCCCAAAAAAAAAAAAAAAGATTTACTAAAAACATTTTTGTTTAACCAGAGTTTCCTAGTTTATTAATTGTAGGGTAATGAATTTTATACAATTCCACTGTGCTTTAATACTATTTAGTTTTCATCTGAGTATAAAATAATACTGAGAAAATTTAGAGAATATATAAAAGTATAATGAAAAATAATTTTCCCCCTTTAAATCCATCATCAGATATAGCAGTTGTTAACACTGTTGTACACAATGTCCTCCATACCTCTAAAATACATGTGTGCACCATTTGGGGGGTGCCTCCCAAGTGTCTCAGTGGTAAAGAATCCGTCTGCCAATGCAGGAGGCATGGGTTTGATCCCTGGGTCAGGAACATACCCTGGAGAAGGAAGTGGCAAACCATTTCTGTATTCTTGCCTGGAAAATCCCATGGACAGAGGAGCCTGGCAGGCTATGGTCCATAGGATCACAAAAGAGTTGGACATAACTTAGCAACTAGACAGCAGCCGTTTTTTTTTAATTAGGAATATATTTATGTCCAGTTGTCTATTTTTAACTACTGATTTTTAGTAAAAACATAGAAAATGCAAACCTGAAATACTTCTATGTACAGTTTACATAACTTATGTGTATATATATATATATATATGCATTTTTATATGCACACATATCTTTGTAAAAATACAGGTAGACTCCAACTTACGTACTTTTCCAAATTTTCATTTATGTCAAAGTACGTCTTCCCATTTTAATGCTAGGTTGGTTTTCAGGCCAGTCCACAAGAGCGTATTCAGTTTGGAAGCTTCCACAGCAGTCAGGTTATGAGTGACTTAGATCCTAATTATGACCTAAAACAGCACTGCCTAATAGAACTTCTACAGTGATAGATGTGTCCTATATCCATTAGCCTGACTATGGCGCACTTGAATTACACATAATGCAACTGATAAACTAAATTTTATATAATCTTAATTTTTTAATGTAGCTACATGCGACTAGTGGCTACCATTTTAGGCCCCACAGGTCTACTGTGTGTGCTTAGTCGTTCAGTCGTATCCAACTCTGCGACCCCATGGACCGTAGCCCGCCAGGCTCTTCTGTCCATGGAATTCTCCGGGCAAGAATACCAAAGTGGGTTGCCATTCTCTTCTCCAGGGGATCTTCCCTGGGTCTCCCGCATCACAGGCAGACCCTTTACCGTCTGGGCCACAACCGCACAGGCCTGCAGTGCCTCTTGTAAGGGAAATCTGAGAATTCCAGTGTGCAGCCGCCGGGGCTGCACTTCCTCTTGAGCCACAGGGGGGCTCTTGTACAGAAAGGACTAGGAATGCAGAGGGAGGGTTTTCTTGGCTTAGACGGGAGTGGCCGCCGGAGTGGCCGCGCCGATGTGCTGAGGCACAGAATCCAGCCAAATGCAGCCTTTGGGCGTGGAGGGGAGGAGAGAAACAAGCTGGTGGAAGATGGGAACAAAGAATACGGATTCCTGTTAGAAGCCCTCCAGGACCAGGGCTTTCTTCTACCAAAAGCCATAGGGATGGCTCTTGAGCCTCCTTTTCCTCTGGCTCTGAGTGGGCCCATCACTTCCCCTGGACCAGACGTCCTACCCCGCCCCCACTCCCCACTGAAGAGCACCCTTGTAACTTTTCGCCTCCATTCCACTCCTTTATCCCAGCACCAGATATATTCAAGGTTTTTAACTGCATCTGGCATTGCGAAAGGAAACTGTTAGGCCTTATCAAGTCAGAACTGATACAGAAGCGTCACAGGCCTCTGACCCCAAGGACTGGAGAAAGCCATCCATGTTTCAGGGCACATGGGGGACTTGGCGTTGGTGCCTGCTTCCTCCCAGGGCTGGGGCCGGGACTCCGGCTGAAGGACAGCCTGGGACCTCTGCACGTGGGTGGCTGAGCTGGGCAGTCTGAGCCCCAGGGAGTCAGTTAATATTTATTAATTACGCTGCAATGCTCAGTTAATTACAGCAGCATCCATCTGTTCAGACCTGATGGATTCGCAGCTGGGAGTTACTCTGTACTCACCCGCCACCTTCTCACCAGACAGCGCCACTTCCACCTCCCCGTCCCTCCGGTCAGTCCGTGTCTCTCCATCCCCGCTCCCCACCCTCAGGGCGCCTCCTCTCACCTGGACAGCGTGGTGGTCTGGCCCTGCCACCTCCCCAGCCTCACGTCATCCTAACAGGACCAGCTCCCCGCATCACAACGCCCCGCTCATGTTCACCTAAGCTCAGGCTCTCCAGCCATCGTTCCTGACACAGCCTGTCCTCTCTCCTGCTGCCTCACTAACTCAGCTTTTGGGTCTCACAGCAAGTTGGTAAAGTTGCTATTGGGACTCAAGCTCCCCAATAAAGGCCAGTAAAAGATGTTGAGTGATCTAGAGCCAAGTAAAAAGCAGGGTGGAGAGCAGGGTGAGGCTGGCAAGGCCACGAGGCCAGGCAGCAGCTGCTGGAAGGAGAAGTAAGGGAGAAACCTCAGGTGAGTGGCATGAAAGGAAGACTACAAGGATCTCATGAGCAACCCGTTCGGGATCACAACTGAGTCGTTTATTTGGGAGAATAAGAGGTGAATTAGTGTTTGTTTTTTAATTGCTTAATTGGAGTATACTGAATTAGTGTTAAAAGTCTCTAAGAGTCTAATGTGTCACTTATTTCAGATTCACGTGAAAAATGGAGATCATATGAAAGGGGCACGTATGCTTATCCGGGTGGCCAACAACATCAGCAAATTTCCATCACGTGAGTACTGAGGGGAGCCGGTTGTCCCCATTTCTGCCTGAGTGTAGCATGGTTAAGATCCAGCCTCACTAACTCTGCCAGCCTCTGCTCTCTACACGTGGTGAGTCGTTTCATCCTCACAGCCTCCCCATGAAGAGCTATAACCGGCATTCCCAAGACCACCCCCAGGTGTGATAATTCACAAGGAAGACTCATATAACTCAACACAGAGCCGTGCTAAGGTTCAGATTTATTATGAGGAGAGGATATGAGGCAGAACCAGCAAAGGGGAAAGGTGAGGGGCAGGGTCTGGGCGTCAGGGGCCAGCAACAGGTCCCCCCGCGCTCACGCTGGACACACTCGGCGCCTCCAGGCAACATGTCATTGGTGTCTACTGGGGTGCGCGTGACTCAGTGCCCAGGGGTGCTCTTGGGGGGCTGGCCACACAGGTACCCAGTCTCGACTCCCAGAATGCTCAGTACAAACCCCATTGTTTGTACAGAGCCAGGCACAGGGAACCATTCATTCCCTGTTGAGGAAATGGCGGGAACTCTCCCAAAATCCATGTTCCCAAATCCCAGGTTCAAGCAGGCCTTTTTCAGGCTACCAGTCTCCAGTCTGCACACAAGTGTCCTATTTTCTCTACTCTATAGATAAGCTAAAGAAGTGAGGTGGCACTTGCCCACGATCACACAGTCAGCTGATAAGTCTTCCTCTGTGTTCTCAACCACTGTAGGTCCCTGCCTCTGAAAGAGGTCCCAGCATTCTAAGACCTGTCGTCATAACATTTTTCGGTGATTTTGTCACATTCTATGACAGGGTTAACTTTTTGTATAAAGTGTCAGATATCAAAGGCTCGGGGCTTTGTGGGCCAATCTCTGTCGTTTTGGCGTGAACCATACATAAATGAGAACAGCTGTGTTCCAACAGAACTTCATTCTTTTGGACACTAAAATCTGAACTTCCTGTAACTTTCACGTCACAAATTATTCTTTTGATTTTTTTTCCAACCATTTAAAAATGTAAAAGCCCATGGACCATACAAAAACAGACAGCCAGATTTAGCTCACAGGTCACAATTCACCCCCTTCTTTAAATGAGTTCATTTTTGTTACATGAAAAAGACCAAATAACTATATGTGGCTGGCAAAGGGTATGCTAGACAGGCACTCTCCTGATTGCTGGTGGGAACAGACATTGTCTTTCCAGAAAGCAGTTTGACAATTTGCACCAAGTGCGTGTGCGTGTCTGTGTGTGCATTTTTAAAGTTATGCTCTTTGAGCCAGTAATTTGACTTCTAGGTGTCTTTCTTGAAGAAACAAGTACACTCAGGTTAGTGCATAAAATTGTTAATCTCCCCACTCATTCATCAGGTGTCCTGTCAAATGCAAAATTTATCTTTGAGGCAAGAAAGGAAACATGCCAAAGATTACCTCAAGGGGGTGTGGGGCCCCGTGTTACAGGCAAAACACAGCATCATCAGGGAAAGACACCCGATCGCACCGCCGTGCCCTTTCCTCCTCAAACAGTCAATCACCGGTTCTTTGCCAGAAAAGGCAGATGAGAGAGATGCGACCCTGGCATCATGCCAGTGCTCCTCCATTTGCATTGCAGACATTGTACCCATCCTGACTTCCACTGTGATCGAGTGCCACAGGGCCGGCCTGAAGAACTCAGCCTTCAGTTTCGCAGCCATGCTGATGAGGCCTGAGTACCGGAACAAGATAGACGCCAAATACAAAAAGAAGATCGAGGCGATGGTCAGGTACGTGGTGACAACTGTTCCTACCATCTAATCACAAGTGTATTTTTCAGAACACAGCTACTAATGTGTTTGCTGTCAAGAACACAGACTGGGGATAGCAGTTAGGATTGCGGTCAGCTACCAGGAGCAGGAAACCCAGTGACGACTTGAGTAAGTCAGGATTTGTTTGACTCACACACAAGACGTTATAGTCCCAGGCTGGTACCTCTGTGTCCTGCTTGTCACCGAGGACAAAACAAGTTCCCGCCTCACAGCCGCACAACTGTGGTCGTCTGACATCACGTGCCCTGTTCACGGCAGGCAGGAAGAAGCAGGGAAGTCAGAAGACGAGCGGGTCTTTGCCTTGTCAGCCAGGAAGGACAGCGCATTGGCCTCTCACGGGCCAGCGCTCCGCTGTGCGGCCCCCTCTGGCTGTGAAGCACATTGCTGAGTGGAAACAAAGCGCTGTTGGCTGGGGTGGCCGTCAGGTAGGCAGCGAACACTTGTCTGCCACGGAAGGACAGAGAGTGAATACTTAGTGTAAGCGACCTGCTAATGACACAGCCTGTTGCCAAAAGAGTTCATTTCCAAACCCTGTGTAGCTCCGAAGGCACACAAGTCACATCCCCCCGTCAGAAAGCAGTATAGTGATCTGACTTTCTACAGGAAACCTAGGGGGACGTAGCACTCATCTTTACAAAGGGAAAAGTTAGTTGCAATCGTGTAGTAATTCTGTACTACCAGGTCCTCAGTGATGACATCTGGGGTACCTGTTAGTCCCATTTTGACCAGGGAACTCAGGTGTACCTGCCTGTTGACCCAGAACTCTCACATCAGCCAAGGGTGATGGCTGCACCAGTAACAGCAAAGGGAAGCCAAGTACCACTGACTGTTAGCTGAGCACGCGGCAGAAGACGCTCACCTGGATAGGGCCACGTGGACTGCTCGCGTTTTTTTTAAAGCCCAATAAGCCTGAGTAGCTTCAGGCCAAATCGTCATGACTGAGCACGCCTGCCAGCATGGGAATGAAGTGGGGAGAAAGTGCTGGAGCGCGCTGACCCGCAGGTTCATGCCACGCCAGCCTGGGTGCCAGCTTGGGGGGTCCCTGGATCTCGCCCACGCGTGAGTGCCTGTAGCTGTGAGTCTCCTGTGGTATCCACTGGCACCTGTGGCTGTTTACACTGAAAAGCGAATAAAATTTAAAAACTTCACACTACCCACATTCCATGTGCTCCGAGCTGTGTGTGGCTCCCAGCTGCCATACTGGGGAGCACCGATGAACACTGCCGCCAGCACAGAAAAGGGTGTTGCGCAGCTCTGGGCAGCCTTTGCCACCTCGGTACACAAAGGGAAGTAGCAGGCTCACTGCTCCAGCGAGCTGGGAGACAAGATACAGCCAGACCCGGCCATGCTTTCTGCACGTAATGTGCTATGGGCTCTTAACCACCCCTCCCGGAGGTGGCCCATGTGATGCTATGGTCTGAGCAGGGCTCATTCCTCTTGCTCCTCCCTGGGCTGGAGCATGGGCCCATGGTCTCTAGCTTGTATCTCTAGTCTCAGGACCTGGTTACGAAGAAACAGGTGCATTTCATGTGATTCTGCCTCACAGGAGACCTGATACATCCGAGACAGAAGAGGCCACAACCCCATGTCCCTTCTGCGAATTTCTTCTCCCAGAGTGTGAACTCCTCTGTCCTGGGTGTAAAAATAACATCCCATATTGCATTGCAACAGTAAGTTTCTATATCATTTCCCTTTCTTTGCATATATATAATCTATAGCCTGCTTGAATACTTGATGAGTTAACACTTTCTTTGCTTCTGAAATAATCTTACCTCTCAAATTTCCTACAACATTTAGCATATAATTGCATGATCAACAAAGCTGAAAGTTGTATTTAAGGCATATAATAACCTAAATATGAGGCACTGTGGAGCAGGAGAGCCCAGACTTGGAGATCAGACGGTCCTGGGCTTAGATCCTCTTTCTGCCACGTACTGGCTGTATAACCTGGTGCGATTTACTGTTTACCTCACTAGGGCCCTCCATAATAATCTCTTGTCTATTGAGATGAACTGCAGGTTGACCAGAGAATGAATATGAAGCCTTAATTCAATACCTGGCATGCTGTAGCACTTAAGTGGTGGGTTTTATTATAAATATTAAGACTTATTATTAGAAAATATTAAAATGTTTGTTCATCACTAGACTAATATAAGCTTTATTTTAAAGGAAAATAAATTTAGGTAATGTCACAATACTGAAGATTATTCTTTTATACACAAATTTGATCAAATCTGGCTTTAGTCCTTTTGATGTCATCTCTTCTTAATCAATTACCCACCTACTGTTATTATATCATGATTTAGAGGTTTGGCTTTTAACTGTAACCATATATTGTAATTGAATAATAAGGGAAATTTGAACAATAAAGATGAGTTTTACTCTTCAATGTGCTATTTCCAGGGTCGACACATGTTGAAGGATGATTGGACGGTGTGTCCACATTGTGACTTCCCTGCTCTGTACTCAGAATTCAAGGTGTAAGTTGTATCATTTCACTTATACAGACTTATTATCAAAAAAATAGACCTTTTATTCAGCCAGTTTTTACTGAGGTCTGTTTATTTGTTCATGTTCCTAAAAAATCTAGAGACTCAAACTGTCTTCTTGGGAGAATCTTCTATGACTTTTGAGAACATTTTCCTTAAAGGGACTACTGCATAAGACTGAATGTTCCTGATTCTTAAGTTGCGTGATGACCATGTACTAATAAGACACAGAAAGGAGCCGTTGTTTCTCACATCACAGTAACCCAACGGTAAAGGAAGGTTACATATTTAACCTACTCTGCCTTTCCCTCCCCACACAGCCTGCTAAGCGCTGAAAGCGCATGTCCTATGTGTTCAGAAAGATTAAACTGTGACCAACTGGAAAAAACCTCTGACTGTGCCCAGTACCTGCACACAGACGTGGAGCAGTGAGCGGCGTGTGCAAGTAAGTTCCAGATCATCACTCACCTCCTCCGGGCACGGGATCCGCAGGGCAGACACAGCCTCACAGCGTGTTCTGCCACTGGTTCCTTTGTGTGCGTCATGGAACCTGTCAGATTTGAACAGCAAACTAACACACAGGTTGTACAGTCTCCGTGGTGACGGTTATTTGACTGCACAGCATCATGGATTCCGACCAGAGTGTATTTTATCAAGTCACATGGGTTTCTTTTTAACCAGTTCATTAAAATTATAGCTAGCTATTGAACTGGAGGTTGTTTTAGTTCGTAACTCAGGAGGGTAATTGTAAAAATTTTTGTTTCCAGAGACCTGAAAAATTCCATTTTTCTTTCCAAGTTTCATTTTTGTTGCATAGAAGCAGCACATAACCCTTCCAGTCTCCACTGGGAAGTACTCACTCATGTGGCCACACACACTGCAGGGAGGCAGGGAAATGCAGTCTCTAGCTAGGAAGCCAAAAGACCCTGCCAAAAGCTCGTCTCAGTTTTCACAAAGCCCATTCTCGCATTCCTTCACTCTCTCAGTAAACTGCAGCTCCATCCCACCCGCTGGTCAGGATGGAAATCTGGATACCCCCAGGCACCCAGTCCATGGGCGGGTCCTCTCACTCCACCTCTGTGTATCTGGCTCCCTTCCACAAGCGGAGCTTTTGATTAAGGCTCTTTGTCTTTTCACCTTCAAAGACCCCTCTACGAGCTGGCCCCAGCCTCTTCCCCTACTTACTCTGCTGCAGCCCCACTGGCCTTTCGCTGTTGCTCCTCGGACTCCAAACTGCTTTCTGTACAACTGCAGTCTCTCATATTCCCTCCAGCAGCATACACGAGTTCTAGTTTCCCCTCATCCTCACCAACACTTCTTATTGTCTGCCTTCTTGATTACAGGCATCTTAGTAGGTGTGAAGTGGTATCTCACCGTGGTTTGATGGTTTGATTTGCATTTCCCTAATGATGATAATGTTGAGCATCTTTTCCTGGGCTTGTTGCCCACTTGTATATCTTCTTTAGAGAACTGTCTGTTCAAATCATTTGCCCATTTTTTAACTGGGTATTTCATCTTTTCATTGAGTTATAAGAATCCTTAATATATTCTAGGTACAAGTCCTTTATCAGATACATGATTTGCAAATACCTTCTAGATAGTATCCTTTAATGTACTCATGTTTTTATTTGGATGAAGTCCAATTTATCTGGTTTTTTCCCCTTTGGTTGGTGTCATGTCTAAGAAGCCACTGCTTGATCCTGGATCACAAAGGTTTTACAGTTACATTTCCTTCTAAGAGTTTTATAGTTGTTGCTCTTATATTTAAGTCTTCAGTCTGTTTTTGTGTATGATGTGAGGTAGGGACACACATGTCCTTCTTCTGCATGTGGATGACCAGATGTCTCAGCACCATTTGTTCAAAAGGCTGTTCCTTTCCTATTATTACTGTCTTATTATTACAAGTTCTTTATATGTGTGTTCTAGATATGTCTTCGTCAAATTTATTTTGCAGATATTTTCTCCCACTGTGGCTTCTCAGTTCTTTCTCTTAATTTCTGTATTTTCTAAGAGTTTATTTACAATGTTGTATTAGTTTCAGGTGGACAGCAAAGTGAGTCAGTTATACATATATTTTAGTGGTCTCATGAGCTGAAGATTTTGACTTTGATGAGCTATATCTCAGCAATTTATCTTATTGCTATGACTTTCTGTGTCTAAGAAAATATTTCCTTACTTGGAATTCAGGAGCATATTCACCTGTGTTAGGTCTGTGATCCAACCTGAAGTTATTTTTTTTTTACAGTGTGAGGTAGGGATTGAGATTTCTTTCCGCCTCAAGTAGATATCTACTCTTCCAATAGCATTTGTTGAAAAGTCTTTCCTCATTGAACTGCTTGCATGCCTTTATTGAAAATCACTTGGGTTTTCAGTATGTATGTCCCTTATTTTTATACTACACTCTCTTGATTACTGTGACTTTATAATACATCTTAAAGCCAGGTATTGTGTATCCTGCAACTTTGTCATCTTTTCCAAGATTGTTTTGACTACTCTTACTTTCCTTTCCATCTCTCTATAAAATTTTAGGATCAGCTTGTCAGATTCTGTTTTAAAAGCTTGCTCAAATTATGATTGGGATCGATCCATTTATTTTTCTGTTGCTACATAACGTATTATCACATATTTAGCATCTTAATATATATCTAATATCTCAACTTTTTGAGGTATAATTAATCATCCTGTGTTAGTTTTAGGCATACAACACAATGCTTTTATGTTTATATTATGAAATGATTACCACAGTAATTAACATTCATCACTACACACAGTTAACAGGTTTTTTTGGAGAACTTTTAGTATCTACTCTTAGCAACTTCCAGATATATAGTATTGTTAACTTATAATCACCATGCTGTACATTACATCCCTGGGGTTTATTTGTAACTGGAATTTTATACCTCTCGGCCACCTTCATTCTGCCTACCCACCACCCTGGGCCTCTGGCAACCAACAAACTATTTTGCATCTGTGAGTTCAGTGGGGTTTTTTAAATTACACATATAAGTGAGATGGGGATTCCGTGGTTGGCTCAGACAGTAAAGCATCTGCCTGCAATGCAGGAGACCCAGGTTCAATCCCTGAGTTGGGAAGATCCCCTGGAGAAAGACATGGCAACCCACTCCAGTATTCTTGCCTGGAAAATCCCATGGACAGAGGAGCCTGGTGGGCTACAGTCCATGGTGTCCCAAGGAGTCAGACACAACTGAGCAACTTCACTTTTCATAAGTAGATAGTACAGTTACCTGCCTCTTATTTCATTTAGCATAATGCCCGTAAGGTCCATCCACATTGTTGCAAATAGCAGTATTTCCTTCTTTTGTATATGTATATATACAAGATATACATCACATATATTTCAGAGACACTGACCTGTAATTTTCTCTTTTGTAGTTTCCTTGTCTGGTTTTGGTATCAAAAGTAACGCTGGCCTCATAAAATGAGTTTGGAAAAGTTTGAGAAGGTAATTCTTTACATGCTTGGTAGAATTCACCAGTGAAGCCATCTGGTCCTAGATTTTTTATTACTGATTCAATTTCCTTTATAGTAATTGGCCTATTGTTTTTTTAAATTTCTTCACGATTCAGTCTTAGAAGGTTGTGTGTTTCTAGGAATTTATCCATTCTTCGAAATTGTGCATTTTGCTGGCCTTACAGTGTTTCATATAAGTCTTCTTAAAATCCTTTGTATTTTCATGTTACTGAATATCATATCCCTTTCTTCATTTCTGATTTTGAGTCCCTTTTTTTTCTTGGTGAGTCGAGCTAAAGGTTTATTATCTTTTGATAATAGTTTCATTGAACTTTTCTATTGCCTTTTCAGTCTCCATTTCATTCATTTCTGCTGTTTGAAATTTCCTTCCACTAACTTTGGGCTTAGCTTGTTCATTTTCTAGCTCCTTAAGGTGTAAAGGTAGGCTGTTTATTTGAGATCTTTTCAGCACTGTTTTTGTTGCATCCCCTAAGATTTGGTTTGCTGTATAGTTGTCCCTCAGTCTTGGTGGGGGATTGGTTCTAGGACCCCTCCTGGGTACCAACATCCATGGATGCTCAAGTCCCTTATTTACAATGGGGTAGTATTTGCATATAACCTATGCACATCTTCCCATACACTTTAAATCACCTCTAGATTACTTATGTAACTGAATACAATGTAAATGCTATATGAAAAGCTGCCAGCATGTGGCAAATTCACGTTTTGCCTTCTGGAACTTTTTGGTACTTCTGAATTTTTTTTGATCCATGGTTGGTTGGATCTGTGAATACAGAACCCACAGATGTGAAGGGCCAACGATATTGCCATTTTCAAGTTTTTTTCCCTCTTGATTTCTTCTGTGACCTCAGTGGTTGCTGAGTCGTATGTTTTAATTTCTACATATTTGTAAATTTTCCAGTTTTCTTGAAACTGATTTCTAGTTTCATATTTCTGTGGTCAGAAAAGATGTTTGATATGATTTCAGTCTTCTAAATTTATTAAGACTTGTTTTGTGGCCTGATATGTGATCTGTCCACTTATGCTTATTTAGTCCATCTGGTCAAACAGATCATTTAAGACCAATGTTTACTTACTGATTTTCTGTCAAAGGAAGATTTATTCACTGATGAAAGTGGGGTAGTGAAGTCCCCTACCAATATGGTATTGCTCCCTCTCCCTTGAGATATGTTAACATTTACTTTATATTTACAAAGGTTATCTCCTCTTGTGGACGGATCCCTTTATCAGCATCGAATGGCCTTCTTTGTCCTTTATTGCAGTCTTTGTTTTAAGGTCCATGTTGTCTAAGTATAGCTGTTCTGAGTTTCTTTTGATTTCCATTAGCAAGGGCTGCCTTTCTCCTTTCCAGTCCATTGTGTTCCTAGAGCAGAGTCTTGTAGGCTGCCTACAGGTGGGTCTTGGCTTTAAGCCATTCTCTTTTGATCAGAGACTTTATAGTTAAATAGTTACTGATAGATACGGACTTACTGCCATCTTGTCTTCTGGCTGCTGTTCCTTTGTTCTTGCTCCTTCCTCTCCTGTGATGACAGTTTTGTGTAGTTTTCTGATGCTTACATTCTTTTGTCTACTCTAGGTTTTGCTTTGTGGATACCACGAGACTTACATAAAATCTAACAGTCTATTTGAAGCTGATAACAACTTAAGTTCAAATGCATTTTCCCTCTCCTTATCCACATTCTGTTTCTGACATCACAACTTACATCTTTGATTCTTCAGATCTCCTTGCAGTCCAAGGGACTCTCATCAGTCCTGGGTGTTCACTGGAAGGAATAATGTTGAAAATGAAACTCTAATACTTGGGCCACCTGATGCAAAGAACTGACTCATTTGAAAAGACCCTGATGCTGGGAAAGATTGAGGGTGGGAGGAGAAGGGGACGACAGAGGATAAGATGGTTGGATGGCATCACTGACTCGATGGACATGGGTTTGGGTGGACTCTGGGAGTTGGTGATGGACAGGGAGGTCAGGCGTGCTGCGGTTCATGGGGTCACAAAGAGACACAACTGAGTGACTGAACTGAACCTTACGTATCATTAACAAATTATTGTAGTTATAAAGCCTTTGCATTATGAGAAGGATATCTATGGAATAGTTTATATACATAGTTTATTTGCTTTATGGATATAATAAAACATTATTAGTTATTTTTACTCTTATTTAACTTTCACACTAGTTATAAGTACCTTTCATTAGATTAGTCTGAATTTATATTTACTTTTACCATTGAGATTTACAATTTCATATATCTTCCTATTATTAAGTAGTGCCCTTGCATTTCAGCTTAAAGAAGTCCCTTTAACATTTCTGTAAGGCCAGTCTAATGGTGATAAACCTCTTTAGCTTTTCCTTGTCTGGAAAATTCTCTCTCCTTTAGTTCTGAAGGACGGCCTTGTCAGATAGACTATTCTTGACGGGCAGTTTTATTCTTTTAGCACTTTACAGGCTAGAAGAGAATGGCCTGATGTCAAAGCTTCTCCTGAAAAATCTGCTGACATTCTTATGGGGAGGAGGAGGAGGTGGTTCCCTTGGACATAACAAGTTATCTTTTGCTGCTTTTAAGATTCTTTCCTTGTCTGTAACTTCTGGCAGTTTAACTGTAATGTGTCTTGGCATGGGTCTCTTTGGGTTGAGTTGCTGAGCACTAATTTTGCATTTCCTCATTCTTCTCAGTAAGGTGGCCGTTGTCCACATCACCCTCACTTTGTAACAGGTTCAACAACTTGCCCATGCAATTTTAGTCAACTGAAAGGCCAAGACTGAAACTCAGTACTAATTATAGACTGAAAATTTCTCACCTACATGTCTTGATCCTGCTTCACATTCCAGAAATGAGCAAAGTATCTTTATCATGCTTAGCTTTTTTATTACTAAATGCCAGTTTATTACTTGAAACCCTTATAAAAGCATATGGGGTTTTTGGTTTTGGTGTTGTTTTGTGCCTTTTTAGGTAGAATGGTCCTGAGAAGACTGCGTTTTTCCACAAGAGGCTATGTTTCTGCCCCTAGCAGATTTAGAGATGGTTCTTCCTGGATACAGAAAAAATAAGGTCACATCTCCAGGTCACCACTGTCAACTTCTACAGAGTGACAGTGATATATAACATGCTGTTATTTATACTTTGTATATTTCCTCTTCTGAGTCTTACATATTCAATGCTCTGTACTGTTAATAGTAACCTATGACATAATTGTAAATATTCAGCTTTTTGATATCTTTTATATTTTGAAATATCCCCTTTAAAATAAACTTATTAAATATTTGTAATGTTTTCCTGCATTTAAAGACAAAGAGAAATAAAGTAGCTTTGAAACACTGAAGTTCAGACAGCACAGATGTTAACAGCGTTAAAAAGTTTAAAGTGAGAGGCTTACACACATCAAGGCTATTTAGCAGAATCAGCCCTAGAATAAAAGCATCAAAAATCAGTAAAATCAATATTTGAAAGAATGAATGAAACTATAAACTTATGTTTCCTGAGTCATTATACTGTGTAGCACAGAATTCCTGTTAAAAAGTTAAATCATTTGACTTCTGCTGAAGATGTACATTATTCAGTATCTTCCCCAAGGTGGCCTTGAGGGTTCCTTCCCCATAGTATGGGGTGTACCACAGTATAGTACACCGCATACTATACAGGTTAAGTATATACTTCCTTGCCATCCAAAACCAAAGTCTGAGCAGAGACAGGGTCATGTAGCCTAACTGTGAATGTATCAGATGATATGACTTTAGTGACTGTCTAAGCCCCTTATGAGTAGGTTTACCGATAATGACTTGTATCACTTGTGAGGCACCAGCATCCTGAGCATTACAGAGGTACCTACGAGCCTAGGGTGGAAACCAAAGTGCCAATGAAGTTTTACAGCACCAGGCACCCATATGAATACCTCCAGCTTTATCATCCCTTTCTTCCTCCCAAAGGCTGGCTGGAGGCCTTGGCCTTACTTACCAAGTGATGTAAGTCATCATCATTAAACCTACCCACAAGGGGCTCCGCCACTCACTAATGAACATAACTGTGCCAAAACTTATTTAGGAAGATACTCTTCCCAGTACCTACACCAGTATACTCCTTGTTAATAACCTCAAGAGGCCTGATAATGTTGCTGCAAATAAAAGACTGCCAAAACTTAAAAGGTGAAGGATAAAGTAGTAGTAGTAAGTGAGAAACTAGTAGTTTCTTACAGACTACCAAATAGCCAAGATTCAGTGGATCTCAAAAAAAAGCAAGTATGCTGCAGGGATGATGTGTGGCCTCCGGCGGCTCCAGATCACACTGAACAAGTAAGGGGCACCACCTGCTGCCTGGGGGCCAGGAGATGACAGTCACAGTCTCTCCCCCGGGGAGCACAGGGCGAGTTAACAGGCACGACTTGCATACCCAAAAGCAACAGAAGAATATGCGGCAGAAATTCAAGCTCACCCCACTGGTGAGGTGAGGCAGTCATCAGTCAAGGACATCTTCACTGAAGCAGAAGTTTCAAGCGGGGCTTTAACACAAAGAGGGACATGGCTCAGTAAGCAAAGGCTTAAGGAAACGTTTTATTCCCATAATAAACAATCTACACAGAAGACGGCTTTCACACTGGTAAATACATTTTAAACGTCTCGAGACTTAATCTTGTTAAAGAGGTGAGAGAGACAATCAGTTCCCTAAAGGCTGGGAAGAGAATCCAGATTTCACATTCCTTTTAACACATACCTCACAGAAGTAGCACATACCTCTGAGCATTTACTGACAAGATTAAAGAATCGCTAGACACCCAAACTCCAGGCTGGTTCCATAGCCTCAAGGTCCCTCAACAAGCGCAGCTGCAGGTACAATCTAAAATCCCAGCAGGGTTTGTGGAGACTGTCAGGACAGAACTGGCTCTCCCGGGGACAAAGTCCACAAAAGCCTGTGTTCATTTTGTCCCACACCACAGGAAGATAAGAGTCTGAGCCAGCCTAGGCCTTTCTGGTTTGAACCTGATGAGCTGAAACTCTGGAAGGTTAGGAATGTCTGACAATCCTGCAGCCACAATACCCTCTAGTAACAACAAAGAGGCCTCTCCATGAAATTCTGTTCACAGCAGCGGTGTGTGTGGTTGACTTTCACAGGGGTAAGGATGTTTGGAATTAGAGTTTGACTCTTCAACTGCAAAAGTTACATGTTTTACACAAGAGGTTAGTAGGAATATAGTTAGCTTTTGTATCCAATCATTTGCAAATTAGTAAGGAAAAATATACCAACATAATATTTTACTGTACAAGGTAACAATCTTAAGAATCTGTACATGTAGCCTGTGAAAACATTTTTATTCCTAGTTTATATTTTGCAAGATATCTGACAATGTACAAAGAAAACCCAGTTCTAGGTGGTGATTATTTTGTATTATGATTTATTTACAAAAGTTCACCACATTTTAGTAACTATGCTTTTTAAAAAATCGGGACTGGTCCCATAATGGCCATAGGATAAACTCGTAAGCCTACAAAAGCCGCTTTAATACCTCTGTTCCCAGACATATTACTGTTAACTAAAAATCTGACTCCAAAGCCCACATGTAGTTTCTAATTCTGATTATACAGTCATTCTGAAGTACAATCTTGTTAGACTGACAGGGGACAGTGGAGGACCTATGCGGTCCTATTAACCTCTATAAGAGGTGTACATCAGCCTACTGGTTACATCCTTCTAGCTGTACCACCGTTTATTTGCAATGAGACCATGAGGTCCCACTACACTAAAACATGGTTCCTTTGGGAAAACAAGATATTCTCTAAGACCAGCTGAGACTGGTCAGCAGAGTAAGCAAAAAGTAGCTGTCAACCATGAAAGAAAGAGTTTCATTTCTTTGAACTTTTTCCTTTTCCTTTTCTGGACTCCTTATCTTTTTCTGATTTTGAAGGCTTTGAAGATTTTGTCTTTTTCTGTTGGGAGGGAAAGATACACAAAATAGTTAGCATTTGTGTTTATGGGTAAGTTCATCTCTACAATAAATCAAATCTTTATCCGCAACTTAATAAAGAAGCAAGGTTGCAAATGCCTACATCCTGAACTGTGGCAACCCTTGATGAGCTTACTAACAACAACTGGCTAGGTGTGTGGCCTTTAACTACAAAGCTATTTAGCCTCTAGAACTAGAATGTGTTCCCGGATATGCAGTTTCTTAGACTTCAAGTATAGATATACTGAGGAAAGACAAAACAAGCAAGAGATAATTTACACACACAGTAATGCTTTCATGAAGAATTGCCTTTTCTTTTGGTTTCAGATTAGAGATCCAAACACACAGTTTGAGCAGGGGAAGGAGTGGTATGTCTAGACAAGACCAGTGCGAGCCACACTGGAGAGGCCACTATCCCCACCCCCCCCACACACACAAAACAGGATCGAGGGGCACGGATGATAAACGCACCCACACCAAGGACAGAAGGGGACACAAACTAGATTTCCTTTGCCTTGGCCCATGGGAAACAGTGGATCGACACCATAAATGATTTTAATCTTTCCTAGGAAAAGATGAGGATGTTTTGCTCTGAGAAGTTTCTATAGGCAGTTCAATAGCTACAGCAAAAAAAAGACAACAGAAGGGAGGACTAGTTTCATTAAAAATGTTTTTCTTAATTATGCTGTGAAAATGTGTCTGTGGGTAAAGCACACACCAAGAGCGGGGGCGGGGGGGGGGGGGGGGACAGTCCTTTCTCCAGCAGAGAACATGACCATCAACATGATGGCCTATTTTCTTGCTATCAGGCTCCTACACCTTGTAAGAAGCTCTTTATAAAAACGAAATCTATACTTTCTCTACCCTTGGAACTGTGATGAACAAAAAAACTTTTTCTCAGCTTCCTCTGCTACTTGCTAAACAGGCTCTGAATAATTTCAAAAGGCAAGTTACAGACAAGGTGAGCTATTTTGAGGGAGTATCATGGCTTCTCCTATTGGTATATTAAAATAGTACCTTGATCATAGCATCAGTTTCCAAAGTGTCCTGGTCCTTCTCATCCGATTGAGAGTCATCTTCATTTAACTCTTCGTTGTATTCAGAATCCAGCGACGGGCCTGTGCTGGGCCTGTGTGTCTTCACTGCCTGGAGTGAATACGGAGTGAGGTGGACTTCTTTATTGTAAGCTCTTGTGAAGGCGGCTTTTACCTACACAGAAGGAACAGAGGAAGGTTTTTAAAACTTCAAGTGTCAGACAACCCCTTTAAACTCTGTAGGCCTAGAGGCTTTGAGAGACCCTAGGAACCCCCTGAAATTGTTTGTAAAATATGCATGCATGTACATGTAAGTCTATCTATCTGCATTTTTCTATGGAAAAGTTCCATATTTTTCATGACATTCTTAATAAAGCCCATGACAAAAAATAAGAATCAAACATTGTAAATCAGGGGCTTCCCTGATGGTCCAGTGATTAAGACTCTGCACTCCCAGTGCACGGGGCCCAGAGTCAATTCCTGGTCAGGGAACCAGACCCCACATGCCGCAATGAAGACTTGGCACAGCCAAAGAATCAGTATTTGGGAACATTAGGCAGATTTCTAATAATCGTTTTAAGTCATCATTTTTTTCTATTCAGTGCTCTCTACAGTTCTACAAAGTGACAAAATTGATCAGTAAACCAACAAATCAAAAAAGATTTACAATAAAGTACAGACTAAAGGTGGCCTTTAATTACCACAGAATATATAAATTACATTTCCCACAAAAACAGGTTATTTCAAAATACTATGCAACTTGAAAAGCCTTAACTTCAAGCTTCTAAACCTAACTGCTGAATTAGTGCAAAACTTCTAACAATGGATGTCTCTTGTGAGAACGTACCTCTAGTCATTCCCATAGTCCAGTCAAAGTTCTAGAGAAGTCACAGAGAATGTAACTTCCAGAATAGCACCAAATAAAAGGCACCAGGTGAGGTCTTAGAGATCACAAATTCATGCCACTTTAGTTTTTTCATGCTCATTATAAAAAGTCTGTGTCTGTTACTCCCCCAGGCTCATCTGCCCATCCTTATAAAGAATACATTTATTAATACATTTGCTCCTCAGATTTCACATCGTGCTTTCCCATTTAGCATAAAGCAAAGATAAAACTATAAGTTACAGCCAAATCGCAAAGTCTACTCTTAATATTGTACTCATATAGTATCTTTGGAAAGTGCAGACCATAAGCAAAAAGCACTTAAGAAAAAAAAGCTTTTGAAAGCATCTAAAACATTTCTGAAATACTCCTTGTATATGGTAATTATAAAGTGGTGGAGAACCAATGGAGTACATAGTTTACCTTGGGATCCAGTTTAGAGAACGGACTAGGTCTGCCTCCCCAGTTGCTAATTTCCATAATATTCTCGAAGTCATCTTTCATCAAATAGTATGCGTCCATAAGAGCAACAACATCCTGTACTCCTTCTATCCCTTGTGAGGCCAAGGGCTGTACAAGCGCATCCCTTATATGTGACAGATAATCCATGTTTACTGTCCTTTTGCTGGAGTAAGTTCTTAAATCAAAACAAGAGAGATACAAGTGTAGTCACTGGCAAACTACCACCAGCTCACAGTTTGCTAGAATTTAATCCACTTACAGTAAACCCGAAGGAATGCTTACTTATCAATAGCTGGAGGAGGGAAAGCTTAGCACTTGTACCACTAGGGTAATGGGTACACATTAGTGTATCTACACAAATACAGTGGAAGCATCAGAGAGGGACACCTGGGCAAAGTGATGCTTCATCTTTAAAAAGCAATGGGCAGAGAACAGGAAAAGAGCTGAGATGCAGGCCTTCAGCTTTATTAATGAGAAGAGCTGGGGAAAGAGCCCTTTCCCGCTTCTGGAGACCACCTACGTCTCCTGGCTCACAGTCCCTTCTTCCATCTTCAAGTCAGCAGAGGAAGAGCAGCATCTTCAGATCTCTGCCTAACTGCTGCCTTCCCCCACCACTCTTTTTTTTTTTGGTAAAAACACAATTACATTGGGCCTATCCCGATAATCCAGGATGACCGTACCATCTCAAGATGAGAATAAACTTGTGTTAAGACAGTAAGTTTTGGTAATTTGTTATGGCAGCAACAGAAAACTAATACAGGGTGGCAAAGAACGAAACTAATAAACACCCCAGAGCACAGGCTACGAAGAGGGGACACGGCAGGAAGCAGCGTTCTATAGGAACAAGAGAAAGGCGCGCCTTGATTCAGTTTTAGATAGAAGTTAACAGTAGACTGATACTCTCTTCAGGGACCAGAAAGGAAAATGCAGTTATTCAAGTAGTTTTTCATGGGTAAAAATGAATCCCTAAAAGTTCACCCAATATCTGTGTGCACATACATTTTCTAAGTTTCTAAACTGTAACAGAATTTTACCAAATAACAAGAATTTTTGAACTTTTTAAACTCCTCTAAGGAGACTGGTTTTTCAGTTGTCTCAGTATCTACCTTCTGTAATATGCTAAACTGTATCCCCTACCCCAAATGACCAGGTCGGTTTACTATTAGCATAGGAGGCAAAAAGTAGTTCATCTATTTAAACAGTTCTCTTTCTCCTATTAAGTATTTTGGAGACCAAGACATTATGTAGGCCTCCTGGTAATAAACGTACTCACAATAACAACAAATAATAGCACTACCTCAGATTTATATAGTTTTAAAACTTAACATTATGGCACCTCTACCATCTGGCTTTATTTTCCAAAGTATCCTTTTAAGTAATAAAGCAGTGTTACACTAATTATAGATAATAAAACTCAGGGCCATGAACTTATCCATGATCATTTATCTAATTAGTAATAAAATCAAAACTAAAACACAAATCTTTGTGACTCACGCTGTCATTATTAGATAAAGGCTAAATACACTACCCTGATTTTACAATGTCGAGCATGGAGTAATACTGCTTACCTGAGACTCATATGCAAAGCTAGGTCCTGAACAATACGATCGTGTTTGCCCATAGATGAGTACTTCCCCAACCAACTTGGGAAGGTAGGAAACTGGGTCATGTACCCCCTCATTAACTCTCCAGGAAGAACACTGGCATAAATGGCCTAAAAAAAATTAATTGCAGTCCACAAGTTAAATCCAGTACTAAGTTGCTTCTTTAGCAGCTGGTGGCTTCCAAGCAGCCTCTGGAAAGTGAGGCAACACTGTCCCCGGTGCCCAATTCCAAGACAGTCAGGCCCTTCCCCTGTCTCTGTTTTGCTGATATGGGAAGCTTCGACTTGAGAAGACCGCTAATTGCTGTAAATGCCTTGGACCAAAACATGTTATGACCCTCAGAGGTCATCTCACCAACCTAGCCGCCGCAGTCAGCGGGTCTCAATACACCAGTTACTTCAGGCCAATGTCATGGAGAAGATTTTAAGAGGGATACGATTGTCTTTTAAAAAAATATATTGATAGACCCAGGCCAATCAAAACATGGAAAATCTAATAATTAGAGAAATAAGTAAACTGGCACTTGAGGAAAGTTCTTTTTTTTATAGGTATCCTTGGTTATCTTTTATAGCCACGGGTTTTAACTTTTTTAAGGCTGGAATTATACATAAATTTTCTACCCTGCTTTCCTCTAACAATTTTCTGTCATTAGTGTTCTTTATATTAGATCATCTTTACAATTTTAAAGGCTGCATAGACATACCATCAAGAGGATTTACCATAATTAATCAGACTCCTATTGCTGACCATAGAGATTTTCTCCCATTTCTTGCTATCAGAATTAACGCTTTAGGGAGTATTTTCGCATATTAAATTCTTGCTGTGTTTAGCATTATTTCCTTAGGATAGATCCTCATAGGTATAATTAATTATTAGGTACAGAGAAAAATGAACACTTCTAAAGCAAAATAAAAAGTTACCTTTAAAAGAAGAGGAGACCGTGCAGAAGCCCCCTGCCTGTTACTCAGGCCAGTGATTAAATATGCAGAACTCAAGAGCAAGTAACAGTCTTAATAATGAAAGTCTGCAAAATTCTGTTTGAGTAAAAGATATCAACCTACATAAAGTGCTCAATATAAAACTGCCTCTGTAGCAAGGAAGTTAAAATCAGAATTCATGGATCAGGAAAGTGGCTGGGGACCTCCCCTGCAGCCTTTCTTAAAGAATAAGCCACTTAGTAACAATATGGGAAAGCCAAGAATGACAAAAAAGAAATGGATTCTTAAGATAAAGTAAATGAAACTAGATTCACATCTTAATTACGACCAAAATCTAACTTTCCTATTCCATATGTCCATTTATATAAAAACATTGAAAAATAAGGCTAGATTAAGGAACAGAATAGTGACCAGAGGATACTTTATAAAAGACTGTATTTTTGCCATTAAGAGTTTAAATGTTTATCTGGTATTCAAATAATTACAGGAGCTAAAAGCTATTTTTGCTCCAACTAAAGCAAAGTCTGCGCTTTAAGGGGAGCCCTATGCCTACCTGTGTGGGCAGAAGACTCCAGTTTTGCTTGTTCCGGATTTGGCGGTCCACTAGGTCACCGTCACATATGCTGTCTGCTGCTCTGCTTAAAAGCATCAGGTGCTTTTTCGCGTCACCCCTGTAGGAATACACCAGTCTGGGTTACACCACGGTCCGCACCCCACATCCCTCCCTCCCAGGGTATCTGGCCTTTGGGGTGCGAGGGTGCTGATCCAAACTCCTCACCACCTCTGAACACTCACCCTGCAGCTACAGGCTTCACATGGATGTAGTTCTCCTGGACAAAGAGGGGTGCTATCGAATAATCATGGAAAAAGAGATCTGATTTGTCCATAAGTGACATATGAGCAGTCTCCTCTCCAGTTACGAACACTTTGCGGGCAACATCAAACGGGCCCTAAAAGAGAGAGGGACGTAGCTAGTAGAACAGCCAGTATCCAAAACGCTGACAACAGCGAACGTGGGCTAAGACACGGGGCAGCAGAAACTCCAGTTCACCGCTGGTAGGAACGCAAGATGTTACAGGCACTTCGGAAGACAGACCTTACACAGCTCTTACCATCCCATCCAGCAACTGTGATCCTTGATGTTTACCCAAATGACCTGAAAACACAAAATAACCTGCACATGAATGCTGACAGCAGTTTTATTCAAAACTGCCAAAACCTGGAAGTAATCAAGACGTCCTTCAACAGGCAAATGAATGGATAAACTGTGGTATATCCAAACATTGTGCTACCATTCAGCACTGAAAAGAAAAGTTATAAAGCCATGAGAGGATATGGAGAAGTCTTAAATGGACACTACGAAGTGAAAGGAGCCAATCTGAAAAGGTGACATACTATATGGCTCCAATTGTAGGACATTCTGAAAAACCTGAAATTATAGAAATGGTAATAAGATTAGTGGTTGCCAGGAGTTGGGAGAAGTGAGGGATGACGAGACAAAGCAAAGAGGATTTTTAGGGCAGTCAAAGTATTCTGTGCAATACTACAATGGTGGATACAAGCCATTACACATTCTCAAATCTCACAGAACGTATAAAACCAAGAGCAAACCTTAATGTTAAACTACGGACTTTGGGTGAAAATGATGTCAGTGTAGGTTCATCAGTTATAACAAATATAACACTCTGGTAGGGGATGTTCATAGTAGGGGACATTAGTTTCAGAGAGGTCAACTATAAACCATTTGAAACAAGATTATTCTGAAGTTTCAAAACCATTCAAAACATGAAACCCATACACAAGGGACTCTGGAAAAGCTATTTTATAACTACTAAGGTATAAACTTCCTTTCTCAAAATTTACAATTATACTGACAGTCCTCAAGGAAAAATCTGCTTGAATTAAAACACTTTTATTAACAGCTATATCTATATTTATTTACTATAAACATCCATAGGTTGTGTAGATGTCTCTATGAACTATAATAACCATTTCCATTAGATTAATACTGATAGGAGAAGAAATGTTTTGGCTAAGAAAGTAGGAAATTCATTTTACCATTTTGATATCCTTTTTGGCTCTATGAGAATCAGCCTTGGCCTGGTCATAGGTCAGTGCCTTATTTCGTGCACACCACATATTCAGATTGTGTAAAACCTAAAAGAATCACAAGCAAGATACTGTCAAGATAGGAAAACACTGCCACTCCCTGTCCCCGAAACACTTAAAGGCATCAGCTCAAAAAAATTGTCAACTGCTATATAACATATATTTAATTTACCTGTCTGATATCTTGATTAGCTCCCAAGATTATTTCATTCATAGCTGGAGGGGGTATCTTTAGACCCTCTTTAAATGCAATAGACATCATAGCACCCTGAAATTGACAATGGAGAATGACCCTTCAATGATTTTTTTTAATTCACATAATCAGATATTTTATAATATTTATCAGGTACTTTTAAAAATTGACCCAAAAAATACATGACAGTGTGATGGAGAAAAAATTCTAATTATCATACCTTGATCTGTTCGACCCGAGGTCTTTGAAAACGAAGATCAAAACAATAATGAACCAAAGAGCGGATCTTGGGATGATTTCTATCATTGCACATACAAATAATGGGAATTTTTGTATGTTTTATCAGGCCAATTAATTCCTGAAAAGCAAATTTGTAACATAAATGTAATTTGTAAAGAAGAAAACCCACAAAATGTACGTATTTTAGGTTTTTGTTTATTTATTTTTTTACTTTACAACATTGTATTGGTTTTGCCATACATTGACTTGAATCCGCCATGGGTGTACACGTGCTCCCCATCCTGAACGCACCATCCCACCTCCCTCCCCATCCCATCCCTCTGGGCCATCCCAGTGCACCAGCCCCGAGCACCCTGCCTCATGCATCGAACCCGGACTGGAGATTCATTTCACGTATGATAATTTACATGTTTCAATGCCATTCTCCCAAATCATCCCACCTTCACCCTCTCCCACAGAGTCCAAAAGACTGTTCTATACATCTGTGTCTCTTTTGCTGTCTCACATACAGGGTTATCGTTACCATCTTTCTAAATTCCATATATATGTGTTAGTATACTATACTGGTGTTTTTCTTTCTGGCTTACTTCACTCTGTATAATAGGCTCCAGTTTCATCCATGTATTTTAGGCTTTAAAACCTCCTCAGCAACATGCCTTAATTGCCATAATTATAATTAGCTCTTCAAATTTTTTTTTAAACCTAAAAATTAACAGTACCACTATAAACATACAGTCCTTTCATTACCTGAATTCCTCCTCTGTCCTCATTGCCAGCCATGCCATCTACTTCATCCATGATGAGAGCATGCTTCATGCCTACTGCATGGACTGTTCCACCTGACCCATGGTGAGAAGCAATGGGATGGGACACAAAAAAAAAATTGTTGTTCAAACACTGCTGCTTAAAAAAAAAAAAAACATATATACACATACATATAAATAACATCAGTACATGATACAAAAGTCAAAAGGCACAAGAGTAGGCAGTGAAATTCTCTCCCACCTCTGTCTGCTAGGGCATGCAGTTTCTCTCTCCAGAGGCAAATGAGGTAAACAAACTTAGGTACGTACCCCTTAAGAGATATCCTACACGTAAAACATGTACATAAAAATTTACACCTTCAGGACTTCCCTGATGGTCTGGTGGTTAAGACTCAGCACTTCCACTGCAGAAGGCATGGGGCTGATCCCTGGCAGGGAACGATAATCTCGCATGCCACATGGCAAGGCCAAAAAAATAAATAAAATGAAATTTCTATTTTTAAAACACACACACACACACACCTTGGTTTTACCACTTAATGTATTTTCGTATTCTGCTCCTTATCTGTAGATACAGAACACCTCATTTTTTAAAGGCTATAATATTCCATTTTACACATATATCAAAAGCCAATCACTTTTCATTGATATAATAGGAAGATCCTTCAATCTTTTGCTATTATGAATTGTATGAAATGAATATCCCTACATGTATGTGTCATTTTGCATATACACAAATAATAACAGTTGCTAAATTCTAGGAATCAGAACTTCCGGGTTAAGGGTATGTATAATTTATTAAATAACTTCAAGAAATGCTGTCAGATTGCTCTCCAGAGTTGTACCAATTTACATTCCCAATAATCATGCACATGTGTGACATTTCCTGAGCGAATTCTTTTTAACAATCATCTGTACCATTCAGTAACCCGGCAAAATACCACAGATTCTAAATACGCAGTACGGTCTGTAATCTGAGTATCCTACTTGCCCCATGAACTCTGGCCACACCAGCCCACTGGCTGCAACCTGCAACAGCGGCCCTTTCATACCGTGTCTCGTCTCCTTATCTACTGCCTTTGCCTGAAATAATCTCTTCCGCCTGCAAACGATTCTTTCTCATTCTTCAAGGCCCCTTGAACAAATGTCACCCTATCATGGTAGCTTTCCCCAATGTCCCAAATAGAACCAAAGAAAAAAAGTTAACTACTGCCTATCAGGGTTATGTCATTCTCTCAATAACCCCAGGATTTAATAGGGTGTTTAGCACACAGTAATGTTCAATCATAGTAATGTTACTGAACGTTGAAATGAACCCATTTTTCTTACATAACCTCCCCCCACCCCTCCGCCAAAAAAAGGGAAACCCACTTACTTGAATAAAAGCCTTTGATGCTGGTATTATTCAGTGACTCAGCAACAGTCTCCTTCAGACTGTTCTTACTCCGAGTGTCACTTGCATTCAGCTCCACATAGCTATATCCCAATTCCTAATCAAAATGTTGGAAAACATTACCATCACAATGCAAATTATTAACTCTCCCCACAAAAACAAAGCAATTAAGAAGGAGGCCAGAAAAGTCACATAAGTAACCATGGGTAAAAAGATAAAGTAGGATACTAACAGACAATGAGATTAACTATAACATGAATCACAATAAGATTTTTTTTTAAATATCGTATACATACATAACACATAAATACACACACAAGTGTAGTCTTAAAATCTCAACTGCTACATATAACTAATCTGGAAGAGCATATCTGAGCAAGCAATTTTACTAAGTTCACTTCTTAAAGTCCCCAAAAGGATTAAATATAACTACCCCAAAATTTCAACACCAGATACAGAATTAAGATATCAAAAAGTACATTAAGATAACAAAAAGTAATCACTGACTCTTCAAGATAAACTATAAAGTTAAATTGTTCTTTGTCAAATTATCCCAACATATAATCTCCCTCTCAAATTGTGAAAAATCAACTAACTTGGGCTTATTTCCCCAAAGTGATCATTATATGTTAAGGCATTATGCAAAACCATTAATTCCACAAAAAAGTAATGATAATAATAAAGGGGGAAAAAGGCGTCATAGTCACAATTATAAAGACTAGGGAAAACATTTTTTGTTTTTGTTTTTAAATGTTAAATAATAGAGTAGAAAATATATAGTTATTATATGAGCTAAAAATTTATGGTTTGGTCTATAATAAAAAAGACTAACCAAAAACATCAACCTACGGGACAAAGGGTTGGGAAATGCAGTAATAAATTTAAAGTAAGTTTAAAATCTCTCATTTAATTTTTCTGATACTACTTCCTGTATTGTTTCACACCATTCTGATACATCTGGACTCCCCTGGTGACTCAGCGGTAAAGAATCCGCCTGCAACGCAGGAGCCATAGGAGACTTGGGCTCCATCCCCGGGTCAGGAAGATGCCCTGGAGAAGGAAATGGCAACCCACTCCGGTGTTCTTGCCTGCAGAATCCCACGGACAGAGCAGCCTGGCGGGCTGCAGTCCAGGGGGTCACAGAGAGTCGGACACGACTGAGCGACTCGGCACACATTCTGATACACGAGTCCCGGCCGGCTCCAGCGCCTCACGCGCTCCCTGTCCAGAGACGTGGCAGCCGTGCAGACAAGAGCAGAGGCAGGACCCCACAGACCGTCTGGGCTCACACTGTGCCACCACCCTCAAATCTGTTCCACTTCTCACGTGACAATGGCAAGAGTACACGTATTCGGTACACAGAATTCTTCCTACAGGGCCATATAAGGTATCTGTAGCAGTCTGTAAGGCATCCTATCTATACGATTATGGGCCCAAGGGCTTATTGCACACGGCCTGGCACACAAGTAAATATCACCTATTATTATAAGTACCAATATTTTTAAAAGGGTGAAAGTGACAAACAGGCCCAGAACCTGCAGAGGCTAGATTTTAGAAAAGCAGTGACAGAATGCCCACCTGACAAACCAGAGAAGCTGTGGTTGTTTTGCCAACGCCGGGAGGGCCTGAGAGCAAGGCCGCTTTGAAACTGGAGCCATCATCTTTGCCAGCGAATTTACCAAACTTTGCTGCTAGGGAAAAAGAAATTCCAGAATGTTAACCTCTACGACCTAACAGAAATGCAGGAGTGACAGGAATAACTGTGCATTAGGTTAGCATCAAGAGCAGTCCTCCAGTTTCACTGAAAATCTGCAAAATATTTTTTTGCAAAGTTTAAGCAATAGTTTCCCGAGCATTTAGTGAAATTCTACTCCCTACCTCATCTTCACTCAAATAAAAAAACTTCAAAACAATAATTTTATGCGCTTCCTTTCCTACAAGAGCATAGGTCACTGAGCAGACTACCTAGGTTTTGGGAGAACTGCAGGTGACTTAACCCCTGTCTGTGTCCTCCTTTGTAAAATGAGGGGAACAGCAGCGATGTGCCTGGAGGGGAAGCTGTGAGGATGGACAGGCTGAGCACGAGCCTGCATGTCTTAATAAGTATTAACAAGAATGGCCACAGAAAGAATGAATTGAAGATGTTGCATCTGCAACTATCCTGCCCAGCTCAACTCCTCCCCTTATCCTGGGGGCCTGGAGCATAACAGGTGCTCAGTACAAGGACTGAGAGAGATGGTCAAGCCTACCTCAGGCCTGGGGAAAGGGACCACACTCGCCTGCAGCCTCAAAACCTCTTCTTTAGGCACACAGAGCACTTACACCACATTTTATTTGGTTTTGAAAGAGAAAAGGGGTCAGTTTGAGTTTAACCCTGTATCATCAAAATTATATTATTTAAATATTATAAATAAAATAAACTGGCACTGTTGAAAAATGTCTAGTGACGACCTCGCTGCGAATAACCCAGCCATCACTTTGGAAATTCACTACGATGCTCACTAAATTTTTCCTTTTTAGTTCTCACACAATATCCCCCAGGGTTGTGGCTGGAATTCAAGACTTTACTAGCATTTGTGACTGGAAACTTCAGTACCGATAATAAATACTTTGGACATTAAATACATATGACCGCTCATTTTCCATGCCTAGCAAAAGCAAGCATGCTCCCGGGGTTCTTAGGCTGCCTACTCCGCAGTGTGCCTCCGCTTTTTCCTTGCACCTTTCCCCCCGATCTCTCTGGCCCTCTCGGGGGTCTTGCTCTCACAAGTCGCGGACCTTGGTACACATGTGCTCTCCCACCTGACGCTCCCCTCCCTTCCCCAAGCTAACTCCTTTGAGTTTCCAAGTCTTAGCTTAGCTGTCCCTTCCTCCAGGGATGGGAATCCCTGTCCACACTCTTCCAACCCCCGAGTGCCCTACACTTAACCCTGTAACAGTACTTAGCACAGTACATTTTAATTGCTGGTTTATCTACGTCTCCCTCACTGACTGGAAGATCCTTAAAGGGGACTGTGCTTTGGGTCCCCACTTTTGGAGTCTAGTATGACAGACTGTGCTTTGGGACCCCACATTTGGGGTCTAGTATGCCACCAAGGCTCAGAGCAGGCTCTTAATAAATGCTTGCTGAGCGATCAATAACCAACTATTACACTTCCTAACATATGGGTTCCTGGGCAATGACGTGGTGACAGACACACACAGAATGAATGAAGCTGTAAAATCACCGTGTTTCTTATCTTCGGATGGACTCTTGTGCCAGTTTTGGAGCCAGCGCAGGAGTTTGTTGGCACAGCTCTGGTCACCTTGCTGTCCAATTATGGTCTTGAGTGAGGCTGGCTTATACTTATCCACCCAGAGCAAACTCTCCACTCTGCTTTCACTGCTGTCATCAGCCAAATTCCTAGCCCGGCCGTCACCATGTGTCTCCTCAGCCGCCTGCTCCTGGAAGTCCGGGCCTCTCTGAGACACACTTGCTTCCTTCTTTAGTGACTTTATAGAGCTTTCCCTTTTGGGAGTCAGTTTGCACTTTTTAGATTCTGATTCCTTCTTAGTTGGACTACTTTTTCTTTTTCCTTGGTCATTTTTTTGGGGTGTTCTTTCCAATTTGGATTTTTCTTTCTTCATCTTAAAAATTGGAGGAAAAAAGAAACCTGATGAGATATACAGAATTTCTATCCTGCTAAATGTACTCTAGAGGGCAAGCTGAGGTCCCCAGGTGAGCTACTCAACCTGGATCTGTCTTCTCACAATAGACTCTGCTGTTTGTGGAAATCTCCACGTTCCAAACCTAAAAAAAAAAAAATCAACAACACACCAAAAGCATTCACATGCAATTTTAAAAATAAGAGTTGAAAAAAATGAAAATAGCTCTTTGAAAGTAATTAAGTATTGTAAAATTAGTTTTAAAAAAATTAAGAATTTTTGCTTTGTGACTAGTTAATATTTTATTCCTCCACAAAAACATTTACACAAATGTTCATAGCAGCATTACTATATTTTATATATACAAATATTATAGCCAAAAAGTGGAAACAACCACTTTTGGCCAAGTGGATGATGAACAAATAAAACATGGTATATCCACACAATGAAATACTAATCACCAATTAAAAGGAGAGGAGCACCAATGTATGCTTCAATATAGCTGAACTTTGAAAACAAGGTGCTGGGTGAAAAAAGGTAAGAGGGCCACATATTACATGTTTCGCTTTATACAAAATGTTCAGAATAGAGCAGTGGTTGCCAAGGGGTGGGTATGAAGAGTGACTGATAGAGGATCAGAGTTTTTGTGGGAGGTGATGCAACTGTTCTGGAATAGATAGTACTGACAGTTGGACGATCTTGTGAATATACTAAAAACCACTAACATACTTTAAAGCAGGTGAATTTTATGATCTATGAAAACTAAAATTAGTGGGAAATTTGACGAAAAACAAGGTACTAGCATTGTATTGAAGTGTCTCTCCAAGATACTTATCAACTGCAAAAGGAAAAACTGCCACTTCACTACTGGAAAAACCAGGCAGAAATCACATGAACTAAGTAATAAAGGCTGACACCAGCAGTAATAAGACATATCAACATCATGCACAGCTGACGGGATGCCCTGGGGAGGACACAGTATCACTTATATGGTCTTCTTGCCCAAAATGCATAACCTCAATCTCACCATGAGAAACGACCAACAGCCCAACTTGAGAGACACTCTACAAAACAACAGAGCAGCGCTCATCAAGTCAAGGTCATAGAAAGACACAGGGAAGACTCCAGAGCCACAGACTGGAGGGGACTAAGAAGACACAGCAACGCAGCGTGAGGTCCAAGGACGACGGGGCTAAATGTGAGGCTAACACACAGCGCCAACGTTCACCTCCTGGTTTTGAGAACTGCACCATGTTACGTAAGTTGTGACTATTAGGGGGCGTGGATGACGGGACAACCCAAATCATTCCCCAAGACTTTTCTAACTGGAATAAACTGGAAGGCCCCTCACCACTTGGGCGTCAGGGCTGGGGACATCAAACCTGGGCTGCTGGCACCCCGTGTCCCACACACGGACATGTATATAGAGGAAATGAATGAAGCTAACACTCGGAGAAGCAGAGAGACGTATTAAAAGCACTGCAGTCTGTAGACCCAGCAGTCCCCACATCAGACTTGTCAGAGTTTACTTATGTGAGGCAAAATGGCTCCCTTTTTCGCTAAAGGTAACATGGGCTTCCTTTCTGTCACAACTGAAAAAGCCCCAATATAGTTCTAAATGTAAATGATTTTATCATGCTGACAGCTATGATATAACCTTCAAAGAATTCTTAATCAGGAAGCTCTGCACAGTTTTACTGTAAGAATAAGGAAAATATGGACATCTGAATCAGTAATTAACAGATGTGGGAAATTCAATGTACTTCCCCTCCTCCTCCTCATTCTCCTTTGAGAAAGGTAAAGAAGCACATCAATGACAACAGGCTACAGCTGAGTCCACCGACTCAAAAGGAAACGAGGGAAGCTCATTTGCGGCAGGAGGAAAAGTTAATTTTTTAGCCCACAGGCCTGTATTCACCCAAGAAATGTCTCTATGAAACAGGAAAGGTCTATACACCAACAAAAATAAGTTCATTTTATACAAACCTCAGCTTCAGCGGCTATTTCATACTTGGACTTCTTGCCTGGCATAGTTCGAATCAGATTCAACAGGCCATCTTCATCAATAATATTTGTCCCCAAGGCTGCTGCCTAATAATTTAAAATGTAAATCATTGAAACTGTTACTTTCTGTAAAAAAAAAAATCTGATTCTCAGGCTTGTCAGAAGGTGAAAAACCACATTTGTAAACTAGGTAACACTGGAATATTTTTTAAAACAGTATGCATGAAAAAGCACCGTTAGAAAGAAAGTAACAGAGCCTCCTCTAAGAATGGTGGGTTGGCACCCAGGGTGTCGCACTGCCCCTGCTGTGGGCCGCCTTCCCTTTCTCTCCACCCTGAGAAGGTCAAAGCCTCGAGAGCCTGTCCAGCTCGCCACACCCTCTCCCAGGCCCGACTGGCTGGCAGACAATCTCCTCCGCCGTCTCCCCTGCTGACAGAGCTCCGGTGTGTTCATCTCCAAGGGACGACATGACTGGTCCAAGAATCAGAAGAGTCTTCATCCTCCGCAAACTCTTATCACTCTGTACGGCCACAGGACAGCTCTGGCCAATGAGACTTAAGTGAAATTCTTTAAGAGGTATTTCCGGGAAAACTCTTACGAAGTCAGTTACACCTAGTGTAACATCTTACCACTGCTCCCTATTTCCTGCCTTGAATGTGAACTTGAGAGCAGCAGCTACCTTGCAACAAAAGGCAACATGCATGAAGACAGAAGTGAAGGATAAAACTAAGTCTAGCTACATCACTGAGGGGCTGAACCATCCCCAGCAACTGCCTACCTCTGGAATCCTCATAACGTAAGGAAATAAGAAGCTGTCTCTCAAAACCACAGTTAGTCAGGTATTCTATTATTTGGAACTAAGTGTAAAAGAGAGTTTCCAATTAAAAAACTCAAGATGGAGTCCACAGCAGCATATATAGGAATACTCAGGACTAGAAGAAGAGGAAAACTAAATTTGCTTCTATCTTCAAAAAAAGATTTTGGCTAGAATACTACACTAAGAAAGCCAAGTAAACAGGAACTGTGCCTTCAACTAGAAAACCAAAATCCCAGGTCAAAGCCAAACAACACTTCTGTGGAGAGCAAATAACGTACAGAAGAAATTACTTTTCCATTTTTTCTCTTCATTTCCCTCTGTGTAAAGGACATTACTACATATGGTCACATCATGAGCCTGCCAAGGCAAGCAGGCTATTTCACTGTGCTGAGAACACAGCACTACCCACCTTGTCACTCTTGGATTGACCACTATCACGACCCATGACCAGGTAGTTTGTTTTCTTGCTGACATTTCCTGTTACTTTTCCCCCATAACGCTCAATTAGAGACTTGGCCTCATCTCGTTCAATGGACTCCAGCACTCCTGTGATTACAAATGTAAGGCCTTCCAAGCAATTTTCAGCTCCCTAAAAACCAAAATGTTCAAGCAGAGAGGAAATTACATGGTAGCTTTCCAAAGAAATATTTGGCATCAAAACTGCAGGAAGTTGACTTCATTTGACATCATAAATAATCTCAGCATGAAAAAATGTGCAGGAAATTTACAGTGAACACACAGAAATTAAATCCTGAGGAATTCTTATGTAGGTTAACATTTAACAAGCTTATAAAACCAGCAACAAAAAAATGTACGTTCAATATGGTTAGGAAACCTTATTAAAATTATCCATTCATACTATCCTCACTTTTTAAAGAATACTTAAACTACTAACTTGTATAACTTTAAGTAAGCAACCAGATGTAATGCATCTACAGAATATCTTGCTTCTGCTAAAAAAAGTTTCAATTCTGGAAAAAAAACTACACAGGTTTGAGCTCTTACCCTATCACACTATCTCTTGATTGAAAAGTTAATCTGATAAGACAAAAGACACTCAGCCAAAGAAGGCTAGATGGAAAAGACATTTAATCTTAATTGGAACTGTGTGTAGGTATAGATTTTTTTTTACTTTCACAATGGTTCAATATGGTATAATCCCAAGCAAAATGAAAACTATATAAAACATTCCAAGTTACTTATTACTTTTGAAAAGAGAATCGAGATCAACATAGACTTAAAACATGCTTGCAAAGCAGCAGCTAAGCAAAATTCCAAGCCTGCCCCAATACAAGCTCAATCCTTCACCATCCAGGTGAAGAACTGTTGTTGGGAGGGTAGGGGGAGTGTAGTAAGTCTGTTTGGAGAGAAAAGGTTTGACTAACAACATCTCAAGGTCCCCATGACTCTAGGATTGAAATGACCTTGTGGATCTCCCTACCACGCTCTTTCATTCCCAAACTCTCACTGCAGGACCAGCAAACCACCCAATATTCTCAACCTCTTCTCCAATATTCCCTCCACGGCCTTGCTTTCACTGAAACCTGTCCACCCCCTAAGAACACCACTTGGCTCAAGCCCTCTCAAGCAGAAGCTTTTTTATCTTTCATACAGGAGGCAAGCCTGGCATCTTCCTCCAGCCTCTGACACAGCCCACGAGCCCCTTCTGGCTCATCCTCTGCCCCTCTTTACTATGGGAACTACACCTCCATCTACGATCTGAATCCCCTGCCCTTACATTCTCAGAAACCTCATAGTACCTTTGATTATCCTTCTCTTTCTGGGATATCTTCAATCTCTCACTTTCTGGTAGATCAATTCCATCATCAAAAAAAACATGCTTTAAGCATCTGACTCAGTGGTAAAGAATCTGCCTGCCAATTGACAGCTCAATCCCATATCTGGGTAGATCCCCTGGAGTAGGAAACAGCAACTGGCCCCAGTGTTCTTGCCTGGGCAATCCCATGGACAGAGGAGCCTGGTAGGCTACAGTCCACGGGGTCGCAAAAGAATCAGACATGACTGAGCGACTGACCAACAACAAACCTTAAAGACACTCACATCTTCCCCCTGAAGCCACCTCCCATTTGTAAGTAGAAGTCCTCTCTCTCCTCTCCCGCCACAACCAACATCATCTACTTATGCTGCCTCCATTTCATCTCCTCCCACTCACTCTTCAACCCACTTCCGCCAGGTTCTGCCTGCGTCATTCTATCAGAACTCCTGCTAAGATCACTGAGGACCGTTCCCATTACTGAACGCAGTGGACAACTCTCAGTGTCCTCGATGCACCTTTAAAACCCCTCCTACCTGTGCTACTGCGATGCCACCTTCACCAGGCTTCTCCTACACCTGTGGCTGCTGCTTCTCAGCCTGTTTTTGGGTTTCACCCTCCTCCACTTCATGAGGACGAGGTCCAAGGTCTCTCCTCATTCTGTCCTTGTTTGCCACGTGACATCAAGTCCTTCCAACATCTTCTACATGCCAATAACGCCCAATCTTTTGCATCCCATCGTGACTTCTGTTCTGAGCTCCAGTCCTGCAAAGCTACCTGTCCACTGAATATTTCCAAGTGGCTACCTTGCATACATCTAAAGCACAGCATGGTCACAATGAACTCATTAGCATCTCCCCAAATCTGCTCTGCCTCCAGCCGCATCAGTATCCACCCACAGATGCTCACGCCAATAACGAGGAAACCACCCGATGCTCATTCTCGGTTCCCACTCCCAATCATCACCATGTCCTACAGATTTTCCTTTTTCATTGAAGCTACTTCACTTCTCAGCCTGGTCACTGCTACCACCCTAGACAAGTCTCTTATCATTTCTCATCATCTCTCCTCATTGATCTGCCTGTATTTATTCCCCCTCCCTCCACTGCACTCTGTATTTAGCAGCCAAGAGTGCTCAGCCTGAAAGGCAAATCCGGTCATACTGTTCCCCCACCAACAACTCCACTTAAGGACCAGATTCCCTAAAAGAATCTCTGATTTTTCCCTTAGGGCACATATCACAATTATAATAATGAAGTACCATGAAGGCAAAAAGCATTAGTCCTGGGACCGCCGTATCCTACTCCCTAATTTGTAAGGTCGGTGACTAATGTTTTCCTATTCTGTTTGGTTTGTTTATTTACTCTGGGCTGTGCTGGGTCTGTTCTGTGTGGGCTTTTTGCTGCTGTGGGGAGCGGGGGCTACTCCCCGCTTGCAGCGTGAGGGCTTCTCCCGGCACTGACTCCTCCGGTTGCCGAGCACCGGCTCTAGGGCACGCGGGCCCAGCAGCTGCCGTTTCAGGCCCCAGAGCACAGGCTCGGCAGCTGCAGTGCGCGGGCTTAGCTGTTCCACGGCACGTGGGATCTTCCAGGACCGGGGGTCGAACCCACGTCTCCTGCATTGGTAGGCAGATTCTTTACCACTGAGCCGCCAGGGAAGCCCTGTTCATTTTTAATTATTAATTTTCTGCTACTGTAGACATAGTGAATACATACATGGACCCACAGGCCAGAGGCCTTGAAACATCCTCTCAGTATTCTTACCTTTGGTATTTCTTTGGAGCCCAGAGCTTTGGGACCTTCTCGATTTAAGTAGCTTCGGTAAGCTTGGTAATTACTGCGTCTCTTTTCAGCATCGTCAGGACTTATAGACTTTAGGGAGACGGAAAGAAAACTGAATACAGTCATACAAAATTAAAAATACATACCAAAAAAAATAAATAAAAATACCTATCAATAAACATTAAGTCACTTCGGTGCTTGAGCCTGATACCAATATTTTCAGCCACACAGGTACGCCCCCATCTACACACGCCAGGCTTACAAACAGCCCTGCCGTCAGCCCTTCTTAAACCCCTCAACTCTCTCTAAAGGCACAAACCTCTCGGTAGACTGAGCATACAAGCCAACTTGCTAGCCCCAAGCCACAAAACAAAAAGATGCATTTTATTTCAAAAATTCGTATGAATTTTAAATTCTATTCCATAACACATCATGTGTATTTCAGTGGGAAAATTAATTTTTTCCCACGTAAACAATCACAGAAGAAAATATACTATTTTTATCCAATGGCTCTGAATACCCTTAAAGTAATGTATCCCCTTTGCTCCTGGGGAAATAAGCACTACAGTCTAAGAATTAATGGCTTTATATACACACCTGGCTCAAACGAGGGGCAAGCTATACTCCAAAAAGCAGACACATTCTATATGCTACCACTCTCCCTTCTGGGTCTAATCTCTCCTGTTTCTCTCAAGGGTTCTGACCATGGGTGTGTCTCAGAAAATGCTGGGGAAATCTTTTAAACTTTAATCCCTGGATGCACTCCAAGTTTTTGATCCAGAGATAGGAGGTATAACCAACATGTGTATATTTGGGGAAAGAACATCCTAAATAATTAAGAACCACTACAAGAATGATCTCTGTCATTTTTTCCACTTCCTAATTTTACATTATTTTTAACTTGTAAGCCACCTCAAACCCTTCTGAGAGTAGACAAAATACCACTTTTATACAAATAAATGATTTAATCAACAAAGGAGAGTAACTTGCTTGGTTTTGAGTTAATTGTGCCATAGGCTACAGGCTAATCCTAGACTCTAATCCTACTTTTTAACAATGGTTCTCAAATGACGGTGTGCAACCATATCTGAGAAGCTTGTTGAAATATACCTGCCCAGACCACATGCCCTAGGAAATCATATTTTTAACTAGTATTATAGGAAAGTACAATGCATGCCAAAATGGGAAAATCATTTATAACAATAATTCTGTGAAAAATAAATGAATTATAAATGAATTATAAAAGAAATCTGAAGCACATTCATTTGTGAAGTAAAAATTATTTGACTGAGATAGACTGAATTTATAAAACAGACTTTCATGTTCCCAAAACTACTTAAGTTCTCTGAGTCATTTCTAGTCCAACTTTGAAAAATAAGGTGAACAGCAACAGCATCATTTAAAAAATTATTCTGCTTTAATAAAAATAGACAAGCATCTGTAAACTGAACATGTTTAGTGTGTCTGAAGAAAAATATTCATTCTCCAGCTAAGTACTTTGTAAAGAAAAACCTGAGACCAAAAAGTTAATTGTTCCCTTAAGCATATTTATCAGCACTAACCAAAAACAAAAGCATCTAGCAATCATCAGCATATCAGTTTTTCACTAAAAAATAATGGTGATGAGCACTTAAAATAGATAATATTCTGCTTTTAACTCCAAGTGCCAAATAGGCTTGAAGGAACAGTGGCTTCTCTTATGATCCTAATAAAGTGGTTTCAAACTGGAGACTCTAAGAAAAAATTCTCAAATATATATGAAAACAAAAGAAACTTCTAAAAATCATTCTGCATTACTTCACTGTTTATCCCTCTAAAAATGATTTCAGTATCTCAACACTGTTAAAAACAGGAGCAAAAAGGCAGGACAAATCCAAATAAGTTATTTTAATAATAATAGCCAAAATTTATGTAGCACGTATTATGTACCAGGCACTGTTCCAAGCGGCTATACACATTATCTCATTGTATACTATTATTATCCCAAGTTTACAAATGAAGAAACCGAAGCAGAGAGAGAAGTAACCAGACCGAGGTCACATACCTGCCCAGTGGCAGGACTAGGATCCAGAACTGGCTCCGGAGCCCATGTCCAGAGCCACAGCGTCACATTACTTTTCTCTGACCTTAGAGGACCTGAGTTCGAAACGACTCTGCCACGTACTCACCAGATGATCTTCGGAAAGCTACTTAAACCCCTTCAGCCTGTTTTATCATCTTCAAAAGTTGAATAATAAAAGTAAGTATCTCTTGTGGTGAATATTACATGACATATCACCTGTATGAGCTCAGTATCTGATACACTTTAACCCTCAATACATACTGGCTTATTTAGCTATATTGTTCATAATAACCTATATTCTGCAACAGCATCTTTAAATAAGAGAGTGTCTTTAAGATACTATAATGCTTTATAAAGTTAGAGACGAAACTTGAAAACAAACCAGATCAACACATGCCCCGCCCCCCCCACAATGATACCCTTTTCGAAAATGTCTACCTCTTTTTTAGCTGGAGAACTTTTGATTTTCTTAGGAGTTCTTGTCTCTTTTAACTCAGTAACATTTTCTTTTCGTTTTGAGGCCATAGACTGTGTTTCTTTATTATAACTCTCTTCTTTTTTTTTCAAAAGTGCCAGCTTAGAACTGGCTTTTGGAGAAGTTTCCCCTGTTTTATGAGCTGATGACCTGGAACGTTGCTGGGATTCTCTTGAACCTACACACTTAGTTTGCTTCTTAGGGCTGAAGTTCTTTCTTTCATCTGAAAATTGCTCTGTTTTTATAAGGAAGAAAGAAAGGATTATAAATGTTGTTTTTGCAAAATGATACCCAATATCAAGATTATTTTTTCATTTTCAACAGAATAATCTTAGTAGGACATAATGTCATATGGTGACTTCATAACATTCACATTAAAATTTTAGTTCTTAAGTTTACACAAAATATTTTAAAAATATTTATTTTTAAAATTAAATATTTGTATATTACTTCTTTGTGTAACCATTTCAAATTAAGAGATCTGCCCTTTTAACTATAAATTATTCATTAATTGAAATGAGATGGTAAACTACATGACAACATGGACTTTATTCCACAGATAAACTTCAATGATCCAAAATTCACAGAGAAAAGTTACTAATTAGAATATCCTGTCACATAAAAGTTCTGTTTGTAATAAAGTCTGAAAGAATCCTGTGGTTTCAAGAGTAAAATTATATGAACAGATATATTAATACTTATAAGATTAAGCCCATCTATTAGCATCTAACCACACTAGCACATGGTTAGATATCAGGACCACGTAAAAAAAACTAAAACCTACAGACAACCAGCAGAAGGGCTTCAGATGACCTGGACAATGATGATTGAACTACACGAGCTCGAAACATCTAGTCTTTTGTCTTCATGTACTGAAGTCCACACACTTGCCCTATACTTGGAAATTTATGTGAAGCCAAACAACAGTTACAGAGCAGATAGGCGTTCTGTACCAGCTAACATCCACACAGTCTGCCAAGCATCTAAGTAGAACATGCTCCGGTACTTCTATGAAATAATGTCAACCTAAGAACACCAGGCAATTATTATACAGAGTGAAGGAAGTCAGAAAGAGAAAGACAAACACTGTATGTTAACTGTACTCAATCTAGAAGATGATACCAATGATCCCATGTACAAGGCAGCAAAGGAAACACAGACGTAAAGAAGAGACTTTCGGACTCAGTGGGAGGAGGCAAAGATGGGATGATTTGAGAGAACAGCACTGAGGCATACATTACCGTGTGTAACACAGATAACCCGTGCAAGCTTGATACATGAAGCCGGGCACCCAACCCGTCACCATGTGACAGGCACCTTGCACACAGGTGCCCTGTGACAATCTGGAGGGATGGGGTGGGGAGGTTCAGGATGGAGGCGCATGCACACCTATGGCCGTTCTATACTGATGTATAGCAAACCATCACAATGTTGTAAAGTAATTATCTTCCAATTAAAATAAATTAATTTAAAAAAAAAGAATACCAGGCAATTATTGAACAAAATGTTTAAACAGAAGGTTACATGAAGTTTCTTCCATAAAGATAAATGTTCCAGCTTACTTTGTTCTGCTAGTTTTACCTTTATGAGGATATTTAGGTTTCTCTGCTTTACATAAATTCACTTGTACAGATGAAAACGTCTCTTTTTCTTCTGCGTCCTTTTCAGCCTAAGAAAATGTAAAAAGTGTCAAATGCGACAACAGGAAAACTTTTACCGCAAAGTTATGTTGTTAAAATCAACCAAAGATTAAGGGTCATCTTCCAAAGTAGCAAAACAATGCAATAAATTTTCATTCATTCCTACACAAAATTTCTAGGGCAGATGAAACATGTTTAATTACTTTTAATTTTATAGATGAGGAAACAGATGAAAGAGTATAAAAATATACCTAAAAAAAACTATCCCAGTTGTTCCCCACTTGTGACTCTGAAAATGAAAGCCCTGTTTCTGCTGCTTTCATCTCAATTCTCAAACTGTTAGCATCATGCAGTTAAAAACTAAAATCTAACCCAAAAGACTAACAACAATCTAAAGCTCAAAAGAAAAACAGAGTACTTTCTCAAAAGAGAAAAAAATGTCCATTCTCTCCACTGCTCTTCAAAACTCCATTTTAAGAAAGGTCACAACTGGGGTGTATGATGCAGTATTTTCAATTTGAATATGTTTAGATGAAATAATAAGGCCTTTCTAATGACAAAGTCTCCACCATTCCCTATACTGCCTTACATCTGCCTGCTGTAAAATCTCTTAAAACGGTCAGATTGATACTGACAATATTAACAGAGTATGATTCAATAGAAATAAGGCTAGTTTTTTAGAGATCAAGTGCTTAAAGAAAAAAAATCTTGATGCTTTCAGAGATCCCCCAAAATACTATTTGAGACTGTTCTAATACAGATCTTAAAATTAGCTAGCTACAAACAGCAAATTATGCTTTTAAAAAGACAGTAATTAATATTACAGTTATTAAACTTTAGATTCCATTGGGATCTTTATTTATCAGTGTTATTCTCTGAACAAGAACATAAGACCCTCTTTGGGACAGACACTAAGTCAAAGTTACAATTTGTTTTTTTGTGAAGAAGGGTTCTGATTAGCTTTGGTCTTATCAACCTTCCTTCAGGAAGAATAAGTTTCTCAGTGAGCTTCCCCAAAAACATTTTTGTTAACTGAAATAATTTTAAGCATCTCTCTAGAAGAGTTATTCATGGTTGTATCCCCAGAGCCTAGAATACAAAGGTCTGAAAGGAAACACTGATCTGTATTGTATATTCAGAGTGCAAACAGCCTGGTAAAACACTACCTTTTTGGTCTTGGGTTCTTCATCCAACATGGCTAACGTTCTAGCAAACTCTTCATCTTCATGCAGCTGTCTCTCCAGCTGTAAAAAGTGTCAACAGAGTGAGTTGCTTTTTTTTCTTTTTATAAATAAAAAGCTTTAAAATGTTTGGTTCATGATACTTAAAAGAAACTGAAAAACATTTTCTAGAAAGTGACATTTTTTCACTTAGAAGTTAAGTATCACAGGTTTGTTTTGCTAAGTCAAATTAGATTGCAAAACATATACTGCCAGTTTTGCAGGCAAGATAGATGGATCTGAGCATAAAGATCCAAGTCTTTAGCTTTTTGTTAATGGTCCCAATGCAATACTTACAGATCTCATTTCTATTTATTCTAAACTCTAAGAAGGGCTCAGAAAAGAATCATTATCCTAACACAAAAAGCAATAGCCTGGGTGGGGGCACAAAAAACTGAATAAATCAAGAAAATTATACAGTTTCTTTGCACATGACACTAAGATACAAACTATTGCAACTACCACTAATATCATCAAACTTCTATCTTCAATTACTAACTCAAATGTATCTGTTCCTTTTTTTTTTTAACTGAAGTATAGCAGACTTAATTTTATACTAGTTTAAGGTATACAACACAGTAGTAACTTATCTGTTTTAACTTCTGAAAATTTAAGTCATTATACCAGAAGTTTTCCTAACATGCTAATATAACATACAGACATTCTAGTTACCTTGCTGTTATTTCCAAATATTACATTTTTACTTTCAGCTAAACGGAACTCTTCCAGAAGAGAATGTGTGGAAACAGATTATATTTCTCATTATAAATTTATGCTCCCTGATAAAATGGCCTAATACAAAACGTTATTCAAACAAAGGAAAGGACCTCAAAAGCAATCCAAAAGAAAAGATTTGCAAACTGGCATAAGCCTGTAAGAACTCAGTAACCAAGCCTCCTCTTATCTGTAAAATGAATTAGCTCAAGCTACACAGAACTATAAGCAGCCAGACAGACGCACATCAGTATGCTCTCTGTTGTCTAGCATTTCTTTACCATAACTGAACTACACATCTAATTTCTAAAAAAAAAACTTCATCATATAAAGTTTCTCCAAACTCTAAACTTCCAGTGGTCCTGCAAGGATTTCTGGTTGAACTTTACATCATTTTTCTAAAATTTCACACTATGTAGCAGTATACTTCTAGTAAACAAGATTCTAGTTGTTTTAGAAGAAATTTAAATACTTCCATTAGGTTGGATGCATGAGACAAGTGCTCGGGGCTGGTGCACTGGGAAGACCCAGAGGGATGGGGTGGGGAGGGAGGCGGGAGCGGGGATCGGGATGGGGAACACATGGAAAACCATGGCTGATTCATGTCAATGTATGGCAAAAACCACTACAATACTATAAAGTAATTAGCCTCCAACTAATAAAAATAAATGGAAAAAAAAAAAAGAAATTCAATGATAGTCTGAACAAGCAAAATAAATAAATAAATAAATAAATACTTCCATTAGAAATTCATTATTGGTAATTATGGTATTATGTGGTCAAAAGTCTTATATTTTAATACAATGTATATCACAGTGTTTAACATACTGACTTGCAAGTTAGATCTGGGCACACATTCAGTAAATGAATAAACAAAAAGGTGAAAGTGGAGAGGAAGAAAATAGAAGCTCTTAAAGGGACAGTTAAGAAGGACAGCGTCAGTCAGTGATTAACACCCTGAAAGTCCTTCATAGACTAATAAATTGCCCAAACAAGATTCTGAAAGAATGTGACAGAAATGGGAAAGCAGAGGATTGTTTGGAACGGACAGGGTAAGCCTTCAGTACTTGGGACAGACAAGAAGTCCACCCCTAAAACCCACTCCAGTTTTACCGAGGCCAGGTGTTTTCCCCTGAGTCACACGGATACCTGTATGTAGTTTATAAAATTCAGTACAGACCGTAAGATGGAAAAAGATTTTGAAAACACAAACTATAAACTGCCAAGCCAACAAAACGTGAACAGTCACATACACTGCAGGAGACTGGAATACTGTTCTCTCACAACTGTTATCAAGAGCCTCTTCCTTGCGAAGCACTAAAACAGGTGCTAATGTACGACAGCTGTGACATAAACATCCCTGGTAGGTAGAGTTTAGAGTCGACATACAGGAAGACATTTAAATAGCAATTTAAGAAGACACTTAAATGTTAACAGCAGCTACAGGGCGTTCAGCAAAGTACACAGAAATTTCTAACATAGTTTAGGGAATATGAGAAAGCGACATTTAAGCTAATCAACAGGAAGAGGGTTCAAACAACAGGCACCAAGGTCTGGAGCCTTGACAGAGATGAACACTTGTCCTTGAAATAACCTTCTTCACTTGGCCTCCATAAAATACCAAGCCATCCTGCTTGCTCCACTTCCCTAGACACTTTGGTAAATCTCCACTGGATCCGCCTCGTCTCCCTGACCTCTCATTGTTAACAGGGCCCCGGAGCTCAATTCTGACACGCCTTTCCTGTGTACATTCTCTCTGTGATCTCATCCAGTTACACTGGTTTTAATACCATTCAAATGCTACTGATCCCAAATAAGTATCTTGAGCTCAGACCTCTCCCGAGCTCCAGATTCCTCTACCAACTACCCACTCTGCATCTCCATCTGGAAGCCTATTAGGCATTTCTGAGCAAAACAGATTTCTTGACTTCCCTGTGCCAATGTTCCAGTCTCAATAAATGATAACACCATCCACCTAGCTGCTCAAGTTAAAAAACATGGAGTTATCTCTGAATCTTCTCTTTCCCTCAGACCTTGCATTCAATCTATCAGCAACAACCTGACGGTTATATCTTCAAAAAGCACATACAGATCATGACCACTTCTCACCACCTCTTCCATTACCACCACCCTGGCACAAGCCAACATTGTTTCTCGCCCTCCCCACCCCCCCAACGGTCTCCAAACTGATCTGATTTTGCCCCACCATGGTTTATTACCTTCATAACAGCCAGAATAATTTTCTTTTAAGATCCATCAAGTCATGTCATTTCTCTATTCAGTACTCCAATGGGTTCTCATCTCACAGAGACTAAACTCCAGACTCCTTTCCATCCCAAGTCCTTCTGGTAGGTACCAAAGACCAGTCATGACTCAACAAGATTTGCTGCTCTTTCTTTCAAAGTCATCAAGCGCAAACATTTCTACCGCAGGAGACTTGCACTTGCTTTTCTCTCTGTTGAGAGGAAATCTTCCTCCAAGTGGAGGGAAGCTTACCACTTAATTTTATGCCTCAATGTCACTTCCTAAGAGGGGTTTCCTAATGTCTGAGTTAAATAACCCCATTGATTACCCCAAAAGTATCTATCGCTTTTCTTGTCCTCATAGCATTTTTAATGACCTGACATTATTTTTTTTTAACTGCAGTAGCCTTAACACCTAGAAGTGTGCCACTGTAAGTGCTCAGTAAACACTTATTAAATTAATATTACAGGTTTATTACAAACAGTACTCTGAATGAAGGTAGATCTAGGGGTCACTAACAATATGCACACTACCTACTTAAGGCCACAAAAGTAGATGAGATTGTCCACAGTGAAAAGAAAAGAGATATGACCAAGTTAAATTATTTAACTTATACTAAAGGACGCTTCCATTCAAAGAAATCTAATGATAAATCTTTAAACAATTATCCTCTGCTCTCATCATTTATCTTTTATATAAACTTAGGTTTTCATATAATTTTAGATTTTAACTTATTTTACACATAACTCTTAGAATGTGGCTCAATTCAAAATAAGACTACCCTAATTGTCTGCCTGAGTAGACTAAGTAGTAAGCAACAACTCCAATAATTACAATTATGTAATGAAAATGCCAATACCTCTGCATCTTCATCAAGCTGTAATTGCTTGGCGATGGCTTCATCATTTAATCTGGAATCATCTGCATTTTGTGAAGGCTATATTTCAAAGAAAATCAAGCAAGAATAGCATAAACCTTAAGTTCAAAGTAAGGTGCTTTTTCTTAAACGTAGATGAATAAATATTGGGTTGACCAACAAGTTCGTTTGGGTTTTCTGTAAAACTGTATGGAAAAACCCAAATGAACTTTTTGGCTAACCCAATACTACAATGAGAGATAAATATAGTTCAACGCAGCATCAGCCAAAAAATTATGTTCACAGCTACTCCATGATCACATTCAATTTCCTAAGGAGCAAATATCCTACAGACAGATGATTCTCACTTATTCTATTGAAATATGCAAAAGAAATATCCCCAAAATCCTATCTAGTGTCTTGACTTCAGAAATAGCCCAGAACATTGGCAAACCAATAGTGAGAGAAATTACACTGTCTTATGGAGGCAATAATGAAATACACACACACACACACACACACACACACGCACACCCATGTGCCTGGTTTCCACTCAGAGAACTACTTTCATTTATTTATCTGTATTTCTGTTTCCTAAGTGTCCGAAAAAAATGAATCCAACAGCCTGAAAGGTCAAACGTATAGAATGGGTGGGCTCTATTCGAAGTTATGTATTCATGACCTCACTTGGGAACAATTGTCCAGTTTTGTCTAGCTGAGGTTAACAGTAAAATTAGTTTACATTATGAGTATTTAAACACTAAGAATTACAATTTATTCTCATGATTTAAATGATCTTTTCCCACTTTAAATATTAGCAGCTTCAATGTGTGATATGCCAATTTCTTCATGCTCCAAAACAGCAGCCACACATTTTACCCATAGGAAAATTATTTTCATCAATAAAATGTTGATCTATTTATAAAATTCACATTTCACCTCTTATTAACAACAGCGAATGGGTACAAATCCTGAACATTCTTGCCTACATGGAGAACACTCACCTCTTTTCTTCTGCTTGCCACCATCTTCTTGTCTGATCTTTGGATGCTTCCAGTTCCAAAATAATCCAGCACTGATGTGGGGGTAAGTTTTATTGGTGACAAAGGCTTATTCTTGGTCTTGGTGTTTTCCTCATTCTTTTTCACGTTTGATGCTCCAAGATAACTATTTGTAGATCCTCCATTTTCTTTTGATTTAGAGGCTGTCTTCTTACACACACAGTCATCATCTTCATCTTAAACGAAACATAACCAAATGTGGTTTGATAAAACATCAATTCTAACTACAAAAACAACCATTTCCACCAACTTTCTAAAAAAATATACACATCCTATGGGATGCTAATGACTTTTTTTTCTTCCTATCTCCTAAATTCAACAGTTACCCTCACATTTACCAGTGCTAGGTCTGTAATACACCATATCCCCCAGCGACTACCCAGAGTATATAAACATGTATATTTACTCACATGATCAACAAATATTTACTGAGTGTCCATTATGTGCAAGGCACTGACAATACAGGAGTGAATAAGACAGACAAAATTTCATGCAATTATCCTTCGGTTAAAAGTAAATAATCTTTTTTAAAAAGATAAAATTCCTGCCCCTACAGAGCTTGGAGCCTAGAAGAGGAAATAGATACAGATATAAACAAACATAAGCTGTCAAATTATAAATGCTATGAAGAAAAGTAAAATGAATGAAAGATTGAGAGTGGATGAGAGGTTCTCATTTAGACAGGGTAGTATAATATAAACAATCCGATTTCGGTAGTGACCATCTGGTGATGTCCATGTGTAACGTCATCTCTCATGTTGTTGGAAGAGAGTGTCTGCTATGAACAGTGCGTTCTCTTGGCAAAATTCTGCTATCCTTTGCCCTCCTTCATTCTGCACTCCAAGGCCAAACTTGACTGTTACCGAGGTATCTCTTGACTTCCTACTTTTGTATTCCAGTCCCTTATGATGAAAAGGACAACTTTTTCTGGTGTTAGTTCTAGGAGGTGTTGCCGGTCTTTACAGAACTGCTCAACTTTTAACTTCTTCAGCATTAGTGGCTGGGGCATACACTTGGATTATTGTGATGCTGAATGGTTTGACCTGGAACCGAGACCATTCTGTCTTTTGAGGTTGCACCCAAGTACTGCACTTTGGACTCCTCTGTGGACTATGAGGACTACTCCATTTCTTCTAAGGGATTCTGGCCCACAGTAGTAGATACAAGGGTCATCTGAACTAAATTTGCCCATTCCTACCCATTTTTAGTTCACTGATTCCTAAAATGTCAGTGTTCACTCTTGCCATCTCCTGCTTGTCCACGTCCAATCCACGGGCCTAACACTCCAGGTTCCTATGCAATGCAGGGAATTTTCAGCAGAGCTGGAGTAATCCAAGTCAAGCCATGGCCTTTGGATTACACAATGTCGAGGGATAAAAGTAAACGCAGGGAGCCCATTTAGGAAGCTGTTCTGCACAGTTACAGAGGAAATGCTGAAGCCTTGGATTAGGGCGGTAGCTGCCGAGGTGGTAAGAAGCTGAACACAGCTATGCTTGGAAGGTGGCACACCTAGCAATATCTAACCACTGAAGACTTTAAACACTTTGCCGTGTTGCATTTTATGTTTCTAAAATGTTTTCATTGAACATCTGGCAAAATGAATTGTTATAGGAACCCAAACAATTTTTTTTATATAATTTATTGTTTGTCAGTTTTAAATCCCTACACTCAGTTAAGGTACAGCACAGGCAAACTATCAGTGTTCAGCAACTATTCTACCTTAGTAGCCAAAACAAATTACACAAAACGCCCTTAAAAGAAGATTCAAAACAAAATTGCTGCTATCTGGCTTTAATAAAAATAAGAAAACAACAAACCTGGAAGCTCCTAGGTATGGACACCCAATATATCTTCTTAGGCCGTAAGTGCAAAATTAAAAGCATAGCTAGTATGTATAAGACTGCCAATCATATCTGAGAGCTTATTAAATTTTATAATTTTTACTTGGTTTAAGTTCAACTGTACTTTTGGGGAGGAAGGACTCCTTTAATGGAGAAAAATACATTGTATTTACGAAATGACAGTCCTCTACTAGTTTTTCCCTCACTTTAAAAATGTGAAAGTCAGTAACATTTAATTTCCACTACATCCACCCATGCGTACAAGCAGTATGACAGAAAATCTTAGAACTGAATGGATCAAGTCAACCACTATGTTTTCTGTTACAGTTCTTCCTGCTCCACTCAAGAACTTCATCTGTATACAAAATATCATAACTGTCCTTAAGGAATTAATTCAGAGGCGATCAACCACTGCTGCCGCAAAAAGGAAGCAACAGTATTAGAGATATTTGCAATCCCTGGCTTAACCCTTTCTCTAGCAATCTCATAAATATTCACAGGTAACAGACTAGTATGAAATTTAGTGAGATCAAGAATTTTTAAGACTATAAGATTAAAAAGATTGTTGGCAAGGGTATAGGGAAATGGGACCTTCATATATGCAAAAGGATTTTCTGGTATTTAAAAACAGTAAATGTTAAAAAACATTTTTGGGGGGCAAACCTGCAATATGTATCAAAATCTCAACTATGCATACCCATTAGTCGGACCCAGCAATTCCACCTCTAACTAATTACTCTAAAAACAAAACAGACTTCCCTAGGGATCCAGTGGTTCAGATGCCACGCTTTCACTGCAGGGGCCGTGGGTTCAATTCCGGTTAGGGAACTAAGATCCCACATGCTGCAGCCAAAAAACAAACAAACAAACAAACAAAAAACATGCACACAAAGATGAATGCACAAAAATGCTTGTCATGGCACTTGTCCATTCAAAAGTAGAAAGAATAGACTGCAAGAGGGTAAGAAAAGGTGAAAAAAAAATTAAGGGACTGGAACTTCTCTGGTCCAGTGGTTAAGAAGCCACCTGCCAACGCAAGGGAGATGGGTCTGATCACGGGCTGGGGAAGATTCCCCATGCCGAAGAGCAACGAAGTCTATGCGCCACAACCTCTGAGCCCATGCTCTGCCACAAGAGAAGCCACCGCAAAAAGCGGCCCACCATCACAGCGAGAGGCGCCCGTGCTCACCGCAACCAGAAAAAGCTCATGCAGCAACAGAGACGCAGGGCAGCCAAAAATAATAACCAAATAAAGGACAAATACAGCTGAGGCAAAAAAGACAGCCTCAACCATGAAGTGGCACCAAAGACAGAGGTAAGTGAACACTGTTTATAAAGTGAGAAAACAAATCACCAGAATATCTACTACTATAAATTCAATGCTGTAATGGATTCTATGCTCCAATAGAAAATTACAATGCATATACATATTTACTGATCAAGATATGCTTATGTTTAAGTGATAAAAGAGACATTACAAGATGTTTAGTGATATACCTAAATCTACTCATTTATGCTTTTAAATTCATGTTCAAAGATCTGAAAAGAAGAAAATGTTAGCAACTTTTATCCCTAGATAGGGGATTACGGGTGGTTTTAATTTCTTTCATCATATGTTTTTCATCTTTATATTACATCTGTCTTTCTTTTTAACCTACACCTAATATTTACAACAAATTGACCATCTCCTAGAAACTCTGTCCCTTTGGCTTTCTGAGACACAAAGGTTTGGCTTCAGCTTCTCTCTCCATTTTTCTTTGCTGCTTCTTTCATTACTTATTAACATCTCTGCTTATTCTGTCACTAGCTTCAGGGACTCCATGGGATCTATCTAATATATGATATAATAAAAATTTATAATAGCTATCATTATTTGGCATTCAACTTCATGCCAGCTATTCTACCACATTCTTTAGAATGCATTACCTTTAGTCAACTAGTTTTCTTATTCAATACTTGGACTCCACATGTATTGAATGTGTTTTCCACATTCCTGGCAAACACAGACTGGGCTTAAATATTTTCAAAACAGAGCACTGTAACTCAACACAGCCCCCTCTATCTTTAGTGAATAGCACTACTGTACTCTTTAGGAAAGTTCTTCCTTATACCCTTATACTAAGCCAAAATATCTCCCTGTGAATTCTACCTGTTTTCCTTTTTTCACATTCAGCATTTGAAGACTGCTCTCACTCTCTTCTTTAGCTCCTCTTCCCTACAAATGGTAAAACAGTTTCAAACGACCCATCATGTGAGTTACTGGGAAGATTAGATTTTTAAAAATCAAACTGCCCAGTATAGCAACTCATCATGCTATAATAAACAGTCAATAAATAATAAAGCAGTATTCTCTGGTAAAAACAATACTGAGCCAGAAATCCAGAAAACTAAAATTCTAACCTGACTTCAACTTATTTTAATTAACTATCTGAGACTCACTATCCTCCTCTGCAAAATGCTGGACCAGACAAACTCTTCAGATTTTCTTTAATTCTGAGAACCTGTGGATGGTCACATAGATTTTGTAGCTTTCGTACTCAGTACTGGTGAGAATGTGGTAAGTCTGTACTACTATAAACACTGACTGTGAAAGTGTAAACTAGCACAACTTTTCTAGAAAGCAATTTGGCAAAGACGTTCATAACACTGAGCACAGTAATTCTTAGAGATAATCAGAGGTGCTGAGAAATATTTATATACAAATATATTCATCACACTATTGAGAACATAAAAATGTAAGCAACAAAAAGTATTTAAAACTGGAAGGACTATATAAACTGTGATCTAATCATATAATCAAAGAGAAAGTGTTAGTTGCTCAGTTGTGTCCGAATCTCTGCGATCCCACAGACTGTAGTTTGCTTGCCAGGTTCCTCTGTCCATGGAATTATCTAGGTAAAAATACCATTCCCTTCTCCAGGGGATCTTCCCAACGCAGGGATCAAACTCGGGTCTCGTGGATTGCAGGCAAATTTTTTTACATCTGATGCACCCGGGAAGCCCAATCATATAATAGATTCATACAAAACCAAAAATGTATCACTTTGTTCTTTTAAGTTAGCCTTAAACATCATTCCTAAAACAGAGTTTCTTTTCACAGCCTTCTCTACTAGAGATCTCTTTACAATGGTGGAGGGTAATAGAGTCCTTCTCTGAAATTTTGGCTTAGAATACATGGATTTAAAATTAAAAACATCTTCAAGCTATAGATCCCAAAAATATATTATATCTATAATTTTATAAATTATAAAACATAATTTTTATGCTTTATAAAAGCATAAAAACATAATTTTATAAACATTTTCATAAATACTGAGTAAAATGTAATTTTCAAG